GTTCATCTGAAGCGTGCTGCATCCCATTGGTCCCAGTGTCCTTGGCACCGGCGAGCGCATTATCACCGCGTCCGCGCACACGACAGCCTACATGCTCCATGCGCCGGAGAATAGCACTATACCGTTCACTTATCGTCCGCTGACACGATCAATGCTTTAAGTGCATGCGCCGATGATTGTTACATTATACGCCATTCGGCGGTTGGCATCCGCGGATACGAATGGGTAACTGTACTATTGTCTAGTCTGTTTCACTATGCTGATTGCAGTCTATTTTTGTTGTTGGCGCCGTCCGCGGACACGATGCGCCACACCGTTCGCTGTCCTCCTGAACACGGCGTCGGCGCGCCGCCCACACATTGACATCCTGTGTGTCATCGGCGCGCCGGCCGTCCGCGGACACGGTGTTGTCGTGCCGTCCGCGGACGTCCGCTGGCACGACGTTGTCGCCAAAATGGCCCGTCCGCTGGCACGACGTTGTCGGCGCCGGCTGCCTGCATATCCTGTATGCTAAGCGTAGGCTGAGAGGCTTGCTCTTGCTGAGGCTGCATGAGATCTTCGTAGTGTCGTCGCGCAGCCTCGCTTAATGTGGCTGGCATCTAAGGCAGTATTGGCAAGTAGAACATCAAGCTCGAATAGGCCCTATCGAACTTACATTAAGAAATGATTCACCGTCGCATGGCTGTTCTGGCATAGTGCGAGTAGGTGTTTCACGAGCCTGAGTCGAGTCTCGCTGAGGCACATCCGAGTCAGGGTCAGGCGCATTGTCCATGGAAGGCCCTATCTTTAGAAGCACAGATAAGAATTCATCGAATTTAATCTGTGCCAACTCGGAGAGATCAGTGTCAGGTTTGTAACGATGACAAGGTAAGAGAAACCCTACATTAGTTTCTGCTGTTTCACGTTCCCCCTCGTGATTATCATCAAGTCCTTCCGTCGATGTAGACGCATGAGTGGCATAGTCCCGTCGAGCATCTCCATTTCTTACTGTCTTTTTCCTAGTATAGTCTCTATAAAACCTGTGCTTTGGTGGAAGTCAGTATCGTTTCTCTGCAATAAAAGTAACAAGAAGGTTACGTACGAATTGACGAACTTCATGTTCCTCCTCGTTCGAATATCCCTCCGTCCGGCTTAGATACTTGATGGGTTCAGGAAGGATGTTCAGTTGTTTAAACTTATCGAGTACATCGTGTACTGTCAATTCACCGAATTTCGTCCCAACCACGAACCGGGTTTGATCTGACAAAAATGCTAAAGCAGTCGGATCCATGAGGCGTGGCTCGGCACGTTGGAGTTTCCAGAGGCGGTCGCCGGTCGTGGTGTGGAGCAGCTCGACTTGGCCGTTGGGGCTTGCCCGTAAAATTACGAGCCCGTCGGGGGAAAACAATGACTTAGGATGTGATGGGAGGATACCAGCCCCTAAGGCGGGAGCCTGCCAGAGTTTCTCGCCGCTAGCAAAGTCTAATAGCACAGTGGTTCCGTGACCAAACTCGGGAGGATTTGTGACTGCTTCGTCAAGACCAACGGGTTCTCTGGGCCTGAGATCGCAGCAAAGATATTGCCCATCTGGTGAAAATAGCAAATGTGCTGGTATGCAATCCGCTTGAAGGCGTAGACTGATCTTCTGTGTGATCTCCTTGGTTTGAGTGACGCAGACGTGGATTACGTCACTAAAAGCAGACGAACGTCCTCAATGACCTCCAACAGGATATACCCTTGCCCACAAATAAGCAAAGACATCACCACCTGGAGACAACGAAACGTCAGAAATCAGAGCATCCTTGAGGCCGTAATCTTCGCTTTGGCCTCCGTTTTTGAGGTCCACGAAGTGAAGGTAGGAGCCCCGTCGTCCATGAGAAACAAGGAGTGCTACCAGCAGTGACCAATCCGCTGAAAACTCGAGCTTCCGGGCCGCCCCTCGCCGCTCGATCAGAGCTGGCCCTAGCTTGCGTCCGGATCTGACATCCCATTGTCCAACGGATCCCATGAACCGCGTGGAGCCGATGGTCAGTACGGTCTCATCCGGAGAAAGCTGAGTAAGCGCCCCCCCAGGGAAGTGTATGCTTGAGACTTCGTTTCCTGTTTCTGCATCCCAGAATCGGACATAGTCGTCCTGGTCGCTGCTGGTAATGAACTGCTGACCATTTGAGAACCAGTGGATAGATGTGACTCTCCCTCGGCCGTGGAGGAATGGCTCGGGATCACCAGCAGTATCCGTTGGTACCTACCAATAGCTAGTGTTAGGACGAACTCATCTAAATCATGAGAGTCACGAACACTTACATGGGGTAGCGTTAATTCGCCCGTGAGAACATCCCACTCACGAAAATCCAGACCCAAGCTTGCCACCCGTTTCCCATCTGGGGAAAATGCAACTTCTCTGACGTGAGGATGTTGCACTGGCCCTAGTACGATTTCTCCAGTGTCGATATCCCATACAATGACTGTGCCGTCCTTCGAGCCATCAGCAACTCTCTTGCTATCCGGCGAAAAGCAGCAGCAAGTGACGTTGTCGATGTGACCAAGGAGGGGTCCTCGAGTTTTCTCTCCCGTCTCAAGGTCCCATATTTGAAGACCCAAGTCGCCGAATTCGTTATATATTATTCCGGCCCCCTTTTTGCCGTCAGGCGAGACGCGAAAAGTGCTCCGAGTGCTATGAAGGGGTGAATCGAGCAGCGGCTTGAGCAATATCGACCCTGTGTTTTCCACATTGACGATAGCAAAGAAGGAAGACGACCTTATGCGAACTGCGAGGAAAAGCTTTCGGCTATCAGGGGAAAAGCATACGACTATGCAGCAACCTGGGCCGGGTAGTCGCATGAGTACTTCTCCTGTTGTTGCACTGCGCACCTGGGTTTCCTTCGGCTCGCCTACGGCACCGGCAATGAACTTCCCGTCAGGAGAGAACACGACGGTATCGAACATTCCGTCAGTGCGGGCTGGCTTGGCTAAGGAAGCATGGGATACATTTTGTACAACACTGTAACCATTCTCCATATTCACCGACAGGAAGTAGTAGGATAAACTACCACTCAATAATCGGTTTGCTAGTACAGCTTCGATCCTACGGTGATCCGAGGAGAAAGACAACGACTGTAGTTCAAGTCGTGATCGATCCAGCGGCAGCGAGCAGGTGCCGAGCAGGTGCCCCGTAAGAGCATCCCACAGCTCGATGCGCCGTCTCGAGGCACTGATCCCCGCGATGAGATTTCCGTCAGGAGAGTACTTGAACTTGGCGTATGAAGCCGAGTAACCAGTGAGACGTGAAACAGAAAGTGATGGAAAAAGCTGGGTAGAGACCTGTCGAGTCGATGAGGTCTGCGATGAGCGCTTATGACGGAGCCGTGGGTCAGAAAAGACGCGGGGTGGATCGTGTGTGTTAGCTCTGGACTTGGCTTTGATTGAGCGCTGACGCATGATGGTGGTCGAAAACCAACACAAGGATCGTGCGATTATAAGCATTATATATGAGGGTTCAACAAACCTTTTTCTCATGATCACGCGCACGACGCGCTGCCCAGCTATTTATGTGCGCGCCCGCCTTGCAAAGATTCAGCTGTTACGCTCATCGTCGAGGTCGTCCGAGTATCGAACACGGAGGACTAGAACGATAAGGAATAGCACCGACGAGCAGCGAGTGAACTTCGTGAATTGGACAAAAGAATCCGAGACTGGATGTCACGACCTGTCACGACCACATGGCTGTCAAGGTGATGGTACTGGAACGCAACTGGAACGTGTCACTGTCAAGACCCATAAAAAACTGACCAGATAGAAACTCAGAGCAGCCAAGTGCGCTATACCACCTTTTTTGTTTGTCAACAACCATCCGAATCCTGAAGGACGCATAGGGGTGGAATTAGACAGCTTTTCAATTCCTGATCTACGCAAAATAAAAACACGACGCAGTATTATGCCAGCCGTCCATCGTACCGCGATGTCAATCGGATGCAGCTCGGGAATTACGACACCTAAAGGGCTCTAGGCTCTAAGCTTCGAAGGCTCTATCTATCCGGCGTCGCATCGGCATCTAGTAGGTAAGCGAGGACATGTCCGCACGGATGCGGTTGTAGTCGAGGAGACCCTCGATCGGGCCCATGGCGGCCAGAGAGAACTGCGAATCATCATATAAGAATACAAACAACGAACAAAGAGGTATGGTAAACTCACGTCCTTGTCCCAGACGTACTTCTGTGCGACGCGCTTGATCTCCTCGGGCGTAATAACGTCGATAGCGCGCTCGATCTGAGCCGGGTTCATCCGACGGCCAGTGGTGACGATCTGGCGACCAATGTCCTCCGCAATGGCGGTGGTGCCGTCGAGACCGAGGAGAAGACCCGCCTTGAGCTGGCTCTTGGCGCGCTCGACCTCAACCGCCGTCGGGGCAATCGACATGCGTGCCCACTCCTTGAGCGTGAAGTGTGTCAAGTCGTCAAGGTTCATGAGGTTCTCGCTGATAAGGTAGATACCCCAAAGACCAGTGTCGGAGTACGACGTCGAGAACGACATGAAGCTGTTGGCAAGGTTGTTCGACGAGATGATGTGCGAGAGACGTGAGCTGAGGAGCGGCGACGCGCCGAGAGCACGGTCCCAGTTGCCCATAATGGACTGCATGACGAGCATGGGGAAGTAGTCAGGCGAAGACCAGCTGACACCCTCAACGGCAATCGCGATGTGGGCACAAGGAACGTCGTCGTCACGGAGGCGGAACTCGGAGCCGACGAAGTTAGGCTTGGGGTGCGACGCACGGCCAAGAGGGATGGGAGAAGGAGAGACAGGGAGGGAAGAGAAGTGCTTCGAGGCAAGCTCGACGAGCTCCTCGTGAGCGATGCCACCAGCACCAACGAGAACCATCCGGTCAGCGGTGTAGTTGGTCTTGATGTACGAGGAAAGGTCATCCCGCTTAATAGACAGGATGTTCTTCCGCGGCCCAAGGATGGTGCGTCCAAGAGGCTGGCCTGTAAACCGTTGAGTTTGTCAAACGCGATGGAGTTAAGCGGACACATACCACGGAAAGCGACAGCGTGGAGGTGATCAAACACAACCTCCTCCATCTGCTTGTCAACCTCCTGCTGTTCACGGAGGATGACATCGCGTTCCCGCTCGACAGCAGGCTCCTCAAGCTTGGAGTTCTGAAGGATGTCCGAGATGATCTCCACGGAGTTGGGGACATCCTTGCGGAACGACTTGGCGTAGTAGACCGTCTGTTCGCGCGAGGTATATGCGTTGAGGTGGGCACCGAGGTTCTCAACCTCGAGCTCAAGGGAGTGTTGGGAACGCTTGCCAGTTCCCTTGAACGCCATGTGTTCAAGGAAGTGGGCAGTACCGTTCGTCTTGTCGGTCTCTGCACGCGAACCGGCGTCAATCCAGACACCAACAGTCGCGGTCTGAGCGTGCGGGTGCGACTCGGTGGCAACGGTCAGGCCATTAGAAAGGGTGGAGACCTGAGTTGTTGGTGAAGGAAGAGGTGCGGCAGTTGCGAATGGGCGGAGTGAACGCTGCAAAAGTGGTCAAATTTCTGTTTTCCTATCAGAATCGAGCTAAGACATACCGCATGGGGGCGCGCAGCGCCTTTTACAATACGCCTGAGCGATGCCGACACAGTACGAGAGACCATCGAGGATGTTTGCGAGAGTGAGCAAAACTTGGATGTCGCGTGTCGGGAGGACTCGGTCAAACGGTCCTTGCCGCAACTTTTAACTCCGCCAGGCGCACTCAGCCAAATAAGAAAGCCACTCCAGCTTCGCCGACATCTCTTAAGATACCAACGACATCTTCCTGTTAATGTCTTGAGTGCAACATGCAGTCCACGAAGGTTATGCCTTTTTTTGCTCGCGTATGAAGGCCTTATGGTATCATCTTCTGAGACATTTAGTGATGATGTGACTCGCACTCGAACTCACACTTGACTCAGCTAGCACCGACGAGGGCCGAAAGAGCTATCGTTAGCGCTCATTGCGTCAGATTGTTATAAGAAGACTATCGTGGCTTCTCCGGCTTTCCGTGGGCATGTTTGCCGGACGCCGTGCGTTGTCGTCTCTCCGAAATACTCCAAGGATTTTCTCCCAGCTCTCGCGATCCATGTCTACATCACCATCCGATAGTCTTGCACCTGCGCGAGCTGTGTGGCTCGCCAACGGTCTTCCCGAGGACCTTTTGAGTCATTTGCGGCTCAGTGAGCACCCCGATCCGGCCATTCCTTCATCCTTCAGACTCGGCTCAGCAGCGCAGGTGTGCTTCAACCTAGAGCAGTTAAATCGCAGTCACTGAATTACCTCGGCGCATGTCCTATAGACTTCGATCGGCTTGTCTGGTCTATCTGCTGCGAATTTCCATGCTCTTAGGACAGGGGTAGAGCAAGATGTCACCGTCGACGCTCGTCATGCTGTATTTGATATCAGTAAGCGACAACGATGTTGTTTGATTCACGGCAGCATCACTGACCAATTGGTCTGTCAAGGCAGCGAGAAGTGGTATACCATAGATGGACATCTTCCCGAAGGAAACTTTTGGGATCCAATCGCTGGCCTGTATAGGACTCAGGACAATAACCATGTCCGCATACACACTAACTTCCCTCAGTACGGCTTCGGCACGATATCTATCTTGCATATTCTCATTCTTAAACTAGCCACCGAGACGGCATCCTCCAAATCCTCGGCTGTGAGGCCACCCGAGATGCAGTTCAAGCAAAACTCACACAATGGAACTCCTACGACTTCGAAGCAGAGGCAGCCTCGCGTAAAATGTGTGCTTTTGCCTATCGATCGTTCGACGAGTGGGACAAGCATCCTCAAGGCCAGGCACAGGCCAACGCCCCCCCTGTGCAACTGATCAAGATCGGCGATGCACCCAGACGTGAATTAAAGAGCAATGCAGAGATGCCCCTTGAAAACATACGTGTACTAGATCTCTGCCGGGTCCTCGCCGGGCCAGCTGCCGGGCGCGCTTTAGCAGCCTTCGGGGCCGACGTTCTCTTGGTGACCTCACCTAGTCTCCCGGATCTCCCTCTTCTAGACATAGAAACGTCTCGTGGAAAGCGGACAACCCAGCTTGATCTCACTTCACCCTCAGGCGTCGACACCTTACGTTCGCTCGCAAAGGATGCAGATGTATTCCTGCAGGCCTACCGACCTGGTGGCGTGGACGAGAAAGGCTTCAGCCCCTCTGAACTCGCCGAAGCGCGCCCCGGCATCGTGTGCGCAAACCTACGTGCGTTCGGGTGGGATGGTCCTTGGAAAGACCGACGTGGAGTAAGTTCAGAACTTGCATTGTCCTACATTGGATATCAAATCTCAACTTGCTCTCCGCAGTTTGACTCACTCGTACAGACGACCACTGGTATCAATCATGCAGAAGCAGAAGCGTACTCTGCGTTTACGGGTACAACATACAATGGGAAGCCGCCACCTAAACCCTTGCCCATGCAGGCGCTGGATCATGTGGCGGGCTACTTCCTCGCGTTTGGGATCAACGCGGCGCTCTGCAAGACCATAACAGTACGTGCCCACCATCCTAATTTTGCTGACTACGCTATCCTTGACTCACTAATGAAAACATGAACTCTAGGAGGGCGGATCATGGGAAGTACGCGTCTCGCTTGCAGCCATCGGGCAATGGATACGCTCGCTGGGGCGTCTCGACCCAGCGGAAGCGTTTAGTCCACAGGCCAAGGGGTTTCCTAAACAGACAGCCCCAGTAGACCCAGAGGTCGCCGGTTTCTCCACTAGCCTGACGGAGTCCCCTGGAGATGACGGAAAAGCCAGAAACCAGCTGAGAACGATGACGGCTATCGAGCCTGCCGCTGTGCTGTCCCGCACCCCGGCGCGACAGACGGAAGCACCGATGGGCCTAAACCGTCATAACCCAGCGTGGCTTCCGTTGAAGCCGTGAGGACTATACTCTAGGTTATCTTCGCTAGGCCGTTTGTCCGAGAGACTCGGATGGACAACTTCTACTCGCCTGACAGACTCCAAAGCAGCTCCCAATTTGTTTTCTTCCACTTATAGCCTACATTATATACTCCACACATCCGTTATATCGCTGCTCCCTGAATCCCGATGTCTACCACTCCATTTCCCCAGCTTGCTTCATGCTGAACTCATATGAGTATCCTTCATGAATCATTCTTCGGATGCTGCGCAAGACCATCCAGTGGCTTAAGCCACGCCCGACGGTGCGCACAGAAGATCTCGCTCATCGGCTGCATCGTAGCGTCGATAGGATCGTCGAGCGTGCCCGACGGGATGACCACAACCTTATCATTCGCCGCCATCCTTGTTGTACAGCGGCGATCCGCATGTGCCACAGAAATGCCTCATGAACGCTTTGCCCGAGGTCGTGTTGGTCGTCGTGTAAACCTTGACTTCTGCCCTTTCAGCTCCCTTAGTAAGTTTCAGATTCTGGAGATCAAGTATCGATACATTAGTGTTGCCCATAGCTTCCCTTGATCAAGGAGGGTCGTTGTAGGTCGTTGTTGTCGAAAGCGAGGGCTCACAGTAGCGGGTAATATAAGGCTGCATGCGTACGTGGATCCAGTATACTTTTGACAGTCCTTGCAGTGGCAGATGCCGTACGTGTTTTGATCGCCCTCGGCCACGGTGACCTCGTATTGGACAGCCTGGCAGAGGCAAGAACCTTTGTGAGTCGACATGATGGGGTTCGGAAGACAACGTTGGTGAGTAGTGACCGATGTGGTGTCTCCGGACCCTGCAACATTAATGGGCATACATTCCGAATCTCCTTTACATTGCTCCCTGAATCTTGATGTCCACCGCTCCATGGCCCCAGCTTGCTTCATGCTGAACACAGATAACTATAGTATTTCATATGCATTTACTGCAACCTCTCCAGCCTCTTCGGATGCTGCGCAAGACCGTCCAGCGGCTTAAGCCACGCGCGGCGGTCTATGCAGAAGATCTCTCGCGCAGGTTGCATCGCCGCGTCGATTGGATCATCGAGCGTGCCCGACGTCACGACCACAACTTGATCGTTCGCCGCCGTCTTATTGTAAAGTGCCGACCCGCACGTGCCGCAGAAATATCTCATCAGCGCGTTGCCCGAGGTCGTGTTGGTCGTCGCGTAGACCATGATCTCCGCGCCTTCAGCTCCCTTCGTGAGTTTCAGGTGCTGAAAAGCATGAATCAGTGCTTCAGTCGGAATGCGGCTCATGGGCTTCCCCTGATCAAGGAAGATCGGTGTTTCATACTACGTGAGGACTCACGGTAGCGGGTAAAACGAAGTTGCTTGCGTACGTGGATCCAGTATACTTTTGGCAGTCCTTGCAATGACAGACCGTGTACGTGTTCTGGCCACCCTCGGGCACGATGACCTCGTACTGAACAGCCTGGCAGAGGCAAGAACCTTTGTGAGTCGACATGATGCCAGAGGTCCCAAGACAACTTTGGTTATCGACGCCCGGGTCCCTCACGCTTAAGCTAGTCGCGAGTCAATATTCTCCGGATAAATAATTTACAATTATCGTCGTTCAAAATAAAATAAAATAAAGTGTCCAAGCTGGGCTGCCAACTTCTGCTGGCAGCTGACAAGTTCCAAAGTAGCTCCCGTTTGTGTTTCTGATCTTGAAACACAACATACACTCCGTATGTCCTGTACATTGCTCCCTGAGTCTCGACGTCCACCACCTCGTGCCCTATTGCGTATGTACGTCGTGGCCCGTCAGAGTGGGAAGAATCATGCTTCACGTTCCATTCACTCGAACAGCTTATGAGTCTGCTTGGCACCATCCAGAGGCTTCAGCCACGTCCGGCGGTTAACGCAGAAGAACTCGGTCATCGACTGCGCCGTCGCATCGATGGGGTCGTCGAGTGTACCCGACGCGATGGCCACAATCCTATCGTCCACCTCCGACTTGTTGTAAAGCGCCGATCCGCACGTGTCACAGAAATACTTCATCAGTGCTTTGCCCGAGGTCGTGTTGGTTATCGTGTAGACCTTGATCTCCGCGCCCTCCGCACCCTTCGTAAGTTTCAGGTCCTAGAAATTGTTCATCAATGGTTTTGAATAAGCTCTCTTTGCACAATTACGATTAGTATTTCAGGCGCAAGAGCTCACCGTAGCAGGCAAAATGAAGTTGCTCGCGAACGCAGATCCGCTCCACTTTTGGCAGTCCTGGCAGTGACAGACGGTGGACATGCTCGGGCCACCCTCGGGCACGGTGGCCTCGTACTGAACAGCCTGGCAGAGACAGGAACCTTTGTGAGTCGGCATGACAGTGGGGATTGGAAGGTAAGTTCGATGATTCAAGTGGAGTCCTCGACGTGACGACGCCTTGTGTAGTACCAGACTGAAGGTGCCAACACACAGGGATAATCGAACGAAGGTAAGAACTGTTCTGAAGAATATGGATATAAGGTTGAGAAACTTGATGTGGGCCCTTTTATATACAGGAGCGACGGTAAATAGCGAGTGGCGCATCACACATCATGGCATGACATGGAACATCGTCGAACTGTCGTCGAAGGTGAGCTGTCAGGTATCGTAGAGCTGTTGAATATGTCGTTGAAAGAGCGCAGCGACACGTGTAAAGCGGCTGCAAAAAGGAGACTGGAATAGGATAGAACATAACGGAAGGAAATGGTGATGGAGGACTATAGTGCCCGACCTTTTCAAGGCGTAGCAGACGGAACGAAGTCCGGACTGCTACACTCAAGCCCGTCCAACGTTGTCGAATTTAGCTTATCATAATGTGCATGTCATCGACCCGATGTCAATAAGCGAGATCGATGGACAAGAAGTGGGTCCAACACGTGTTAGAAGCTCAACAGTAATGTCAAGGCTTGTCAAGGATGGTGGACGCGGACGCAAGCAAACGCGTACCTATCCTGGAACCGTGACGAGGCTAGCAGGCTCTCGTCAATCACCAGCAATTCCTATTAGATACATGACGACGATTTGAAGGTACATACATTATTGCTCTATGGCTACTAACTTGGGTGTAGATTAGCTTAGGTTTAGTAACGACCACTAGATGGTATTGTTCCAACCCTTTGCGGAGAAAGGATTAGAACCGAGGTAATTTGTTTATCGTAGCAGTCCAGTCAGCCGGCGGTTGTGGGTACACAAAGTCTTGCATGTCAAATCCTTGGTCCGTAGAGTACGACGGGGTATGCTCTCCGAACGAAGGGTGAGGGATAGACATCTCCTGTGGCCCCTCAGATTCCCCAAAGGCCGCCATATTGAATTCGCAAAGGTCAGGCATCTGCATCTGCACCAGAGCCTGAGCCTGCCCTTGTAGAGAAGCTTGCCCATGGCCGAGGGTGCCTTCAAACATAGCATTAGTGATATCTAGACCGATGGGGTCGAAGGCGACGTTGCTCAAGGGCACTGATAGCGACGAGGCAGCGGTCAGCGGAGATGACTCAAACGGCGCCGGTCTCCCCTGTGAAGCTGGCGTGTCGTGCAAGCTTAGGCTCCGCATCATCTGCTGTATATCCGGCACATCGAGCTCAGGTGAGATGTTGTGCACTTTCGGCCAGGGCATCGGAGGGATCGCGTCTGCGTGGTGCACTGTCTTGAGGCCGGCAGCAGCCATCGGTGCCATCGCCCGCCTCGCTTCATCCGAGCCGAGGTAAGAGGGCCAAATGCCTGAGTCCTCCCCATGTCCGGCTTCGGAAGTTGATGGACCGTGCTTGTCTTTGAAGTTAGAAGGGTATAAGCCATACGAGGTACGAGGGATATGGTCGTGCATGGAACCAGAACCATAGACGCCCCTTCGAATCCCTTCTTCGACGACTTGCTGAGTGCGTTGTACCAAGGGGTCATCGAAAACACGTGGCCAAGACCATGTGAGAATTTTGAAGATATTCAGCAACCTAGGTCACGAAGGCAATCGGATGAGTAAAAGATGCACTGCATGTCCAACAAATACATACGTCTCCAAACTCGCTACCCTTTGCGCTCGGGTGACACCTTCACCACCATCCTCGATAGGCGTCGAGTCCAGTATGATGCTGGCCCAGGCTCTCATGGGCTCGTTACCTGTTAGCACTGGTGACTTAGTCCATACACTGTCGCAGGGAAGATATGACTGAACTCACCTAAATGCGTGATCCATCCAAGGTTTGACCCCCACTGGATATCATGCACGACTCCTCTAGCATACGGTAACAAAGCCATCCTCAGCCTGCCAAGCAGAGCCTTCAATTGGTGTATATCGTCCCCAACCTGCTTCCGAGCAGCAGGATATGTACCTGAATCCTCCTGAGACTCAACCCCGAGGTGTTCAATGCGGGCCTGGAGATCAAGGTATATGGGGATATTCAACGAGCCAAGAGCACTCTTCATTGCAGTCAAGAAGAGGCGACCCGCGAAGAGAATGTTACGGTTTATTGACCAAAATCGCACATTTCGTTCATCATTGGACATATCGGGCGTATTCTGATGAAGAGCTTGATACCTGAGCGCCAACGCTTCGTGGTCAAACATGATCGAGTACCGCGCTTGAGCAACAGAGAGCAAAGCGTGAAGAGGGGTTAGATTAGATAGGTGCTGGTCCAAGCGGGAAGTGGAGAACGGAAGACCGTTGAAGCGATCTGTAACATTAACGTTCAGAGACAGCAGGGTATCAAGATCTAGGTAGGAGTAACATTTGGACATAACACTTACGCATCTGCCATTGTGTACTGTCAAGAGCCAGCTGAGTAGCTCGATAAGTAACTGTAGCGTAAATGTCAATAAGCGGCCAGAAGATCATAAGATACAGAACATACATGGTCGTACTAGCAGCAGAAAACTGCCAAAGTCCCACCATGGTAGGTCTGCGCCTGCACCAACAATAGCCTCCTCAGGCGATGGTGGTGGGGGACCAGCAAGCATCGCCTCATCGTGCATGGTACTGCAAGTCGATGTTCAGCCAGGTGTCCTATGGTCATCGAAGCGGGCGTGGCGTACGTACAAGATGCATATCTCGTTCCTAGTGGCGGCGATGACCGACTCTCTCATCTTTGAAACGGGCCATCAGCAATCATGGAGAATAAAGTGGGTTTGGAAGGCGAGTAACATACTATGTGAAGGCACCAGCGCAAGCCCATTTCTCGAATGTTAGGCTCCCGCACAAAAGCCACGCCTAACGGATCTTCCCTCATGCCAATGTTAGGATACAGTTCTGGAGGCGCAAACGTCTTGGCAAGGTGGAGCTGGTTCATAGACTTGGCGCGTTGCGGTGTGTCTGGCTCTCCATGGGTGGAAGAAGAGGATATTGGGATTGCGCTGCGTGGCGAAGATACGGTTTTGCTGATGGCAAGCTCTACTGGGACATCGGGAGACGCATTCGACCAATTATATGCTTTTTTCTCAAACATTACTCGTAGCTGCTGGACGAACGCGGCACCCCACGTCCGCCGGTCTGACGCGCTATCAAGGTCTGTGACAAACAAGACGCGATGAGTACATTCATTTCCGAAACACTCATCTAGCCACTCACTGTCCGCCAAAAATTGCAATATGAAACATATAGCCAATGACTGTGGGCTGCTCTCCTTCATTATTCTCAGTGACCATGCTTTCTCGATTGCCATATTTCTGAACTTCTCACAAGCCTCCTCCCGCCTGCGCCCCCATGCTGACGGAGCTTCAGCTGCTACAAGGTTCGGATTGAAGTAGATGGTGGAAAGTGTTGGAGGCGCCCGTCCTCCACCAAAAAGAACGGGATTCGATGATAGTCGGGCAGTCATGGCTGCCACGGTGAGCACGAGCGCCTGCGAGACGGGTGGAATGGCCCCAAGACGGCGCCCAGCTACTTCAAAAGAGGATATAAGGGATATACAAGGGAGGAAGCGCGATCGAGGAACACGCGTGTATACTGTGGTGTGTGTTAGCGTCGCACAGGGCGTTGGGGTTCAAATACGTACAATAGAGCAAATCAGCCAAGAGCGTGCCAGAAAACTCGATGTTAATGAGATCTGATTCAGCACTGAGGTATGGCAAGGGACAATTAGCATAGTCGCGGTAGCGAGATAGGGTGCCATTAGGACTCGCGGAGCTCCTGCTGCCTCCCGCTGTGGAGGCTTCAGTTTCATCGGAGCTTGGGATAGAGATGACGACAGGGTATCGAGTTGCAGGGCTTTGAGGCGAAGTAGAGGATACATAAATGTCATGGGAAGGAACAAATGTAGGAGGTACGGAAGATAATGTGGACGCAGAGTCTGGCACGGAATTCCCGACGGTGGAGCTAGGGGAAGCAGAGTCTTTGTGCGAGGACTCTGAACGAGATGCGAGCTCGCCCGGGGCGGATCTCGACGCGTAGTTCACGGTACCAAATTTCTGTCTGCAATAGCTCTCAGTGACTGCTCTATTGATAGGCAAGAGGTAGCAACGACAGTTCCAAGAGGATCTCTCACCTAGCAATCTCAATCCGTTTCCCCGTCCTATGCGTTGGCTTCTTCCTTATGACCGGAGTAGTCGTGCATCTAGAGCAAAGAATGTCAAGCTGACCTTACGTATGTGAGGGCGCCATTATCTTACGCGATACCCTTGGTCTTGCAACACGAACAGGCGTCCGGAGGCGCGACAGGAAAGCACCGTATCCTCCTGAGCTTGCATGAGTCGCAGGCAGGCAGACGCTTCTTTATCGACTGGGTTGCCTCGGGAGGCATCTTGAAGAGGGCTTAGAGGAGAGCGGAACCGGAGATATTGTGACGAAAGAATTTAGTGCATGCTGAGCCCGGGAAAGGTGGTCGTAGCGTTTGTCTAAAACCCCTGGCAGCGTAACGATTGGACCGTGTACTACGCAGTTGACACAGCCACATGTCGATTGTGCCTTAAGGCCTTATTAATTATTCCTCGTTCTGCATGTCGTTGAGTCGACACTAGCTCTCCCGTCTGAGGCAGACCTTGGGCAGACCTTTATAAATTACGGAAGATAGTAGTTCCTAGTCTACACCGCTCTTCATAGATTCCACACTGGACCAGTATATTGCCCATCATGTTAACCAAGTCTGACCATATCATCATCCTCCATAGCAAAGCTTCTTTCGTTCAAGCCTATGGCTCTGCCTGCAGTGGTCGGAGAACAGGGCTAGTGGCCACATGATCTTAAAACCTGCTTGAAGTTCACATTGCCTCTGTTTTGTGAACCAAGGTGGATTCAACGACTATGAATGAGCTATGTCATTTTACAACGTGCCAGGTCCCCGCATTTGTCCTCAGCATTGACATTGTTGAAGTTCTAGTAGACAATAAATGTTTAACTCAATGAATGACTTAAACATCATGATGTGCTAGGACTTTGCTAGTCGAGACCGTTTGAAACAACGGAGGCCAATCCAGACTGCAAGCGATCATCATTTCATCAAATCGAAAACTTGTACTCGTTATCAAGCAATCCATGAAGTAAGCTAAAATATACATAAGTGCTGCGATTGCTATTCTATGGTATTCCACCTGCTCTCGTACAGACTCATTAGAACTCGATCAAATCCCGGCATAAACCTCTGAACATCTTCGCTGTGTATTTCCAACGACCTAGGACCAGAAGTGGCCCACCGTCCACTCAAGCCATCCTGTCGGTGATGTTTGTGAGTAGCCCCGCATATGGATTCCTGGGTCCGAGTGGGCTGAAGGGATGCCAGCAAAAGAAGGTTTTGGAAGAGAAGTTGTGGGCACTGCTTCCCCGCCGAAGAAAGTCATGTCGAACTCGGACAGGTCCGGCATCTGCAGCGGCGCGCCAGCTTGAGGTCGCGTTTGCGTCTGCGTCTGCGCTTGAACGCCTCTAGAGCTGCTTCTAAATGCAGCCTCGTTGAAGTTATATAGGTCCGTGAAAGCAACTTTACTGGTCGGTGCTGATGATGGTGGTAGCGAGGGAGGAGCGGAACCCCCAGCTGGCTCATCGTGTAGGTTCAAGCCCTGCATCATCTGCTGTATATCCGGCAGATCGAGCGTCGACGGGATACTATGCACCTTCGGCCACGGCATCGCGGGGATTGCATCCGCAGTGTAGACGGTCTTCAGGCTGACAGCAGCAATGGGTTCCATTACCTTCCAGGCCTCCTCCAGGCCGAGGTAGGAAGGCCAGATACCTGTGTTCTCTGATGTGAGAGGGTCGATGCCGAATGAAGAGCGAGGAACATGGTCAACCATGGACGACGAAGAGTATACGCCGTTTCGGATCCCCTCCTCGACGACGTGTTGGGTATGCAGAACCAAGGGATCGTCAAAGACGCGTGGCCAAGACCAAGTGAGAATTTTGAAGATCCTGAACGCACTAAGAAATGCCAAAATAAGCGCAAGTTAGGAACGCATAGATGAAAAGTCTGTCGAGGGCGTACGTTTCCAGGCTTGCTACCCTCTGCGCTCGCGTGATGCCATCGCCACCGTCCTCAATAGGCGTTGAATCCAGGATGATGCTGCACCAGAGTTTCAAAGGCTCGTTGCCTGTCATGACCAGTAATTTAGCTCGAAACCACTCTAGAAGTCAGAAGACAAAACTCACCCAAGTGCGTAATCCACCCTAAATTGGCTCCTGACTGAATATCATGCAGTACCTCCCTAGCATACGGTAATAACACCCTTTTCAGATTTATCAGCAGCTGGGTTATCTGCTGCACGTCGTCGACACCCCGCCTTTGACTCGTGGTCTGGTGTGTACCCGAACCAAATTGCCGCTGCGCCTCTTCATCTCTTATGCGCGCCAAAAGGTCCAAGTATATTGGAATTGTCAGTGCACCTAGAGCGCTCTTCATTGAGACAAGGAAAACACGAGACGTATATAGAATATTCCTGTTCATCGTCCAAAATCGTAGATTGCGTTCGTCGTTAGCCATATCGGGCGCAGAATGGCACAAAGCTTGGTATCGAGCCGTTAACCCCTCAGGACTAAACAGTCCTGAATATTGCACTTGAGCGCGTTTCATTAACGTATGAAGAGACGATAAGGAGGATAGGTGTTCTTCTAGACAGGACAGAGAGAACGGTTGTCCGTTAAGCCGACCTAATGAGATGGAACACAGGTAAGAAAGCTTAGATATGAGTTAGAAGAGTAGCGCTTACGCGTCTGCCACTGTGGACTCTCGAGAGCAATTTGGGTTGCCCGGTAAGTAACTTACGCATCGCAGTCAGTGCGAGTAAGGCATCACCGCAAAGCATGACGTACATGGCCTAACGAAGAGCAGGAAACTGCCGAAATCCCACCACGGCAAGTCGTCGAATGCGCCAGAGATGACCTCCGCAGGTGAAGGCGGCGGAGGTCCGACAAGCATGATTTCGTCGTGAATCGTACTTCATTCGAGGCCTTTTGTCAGCTTGTTACATAGCGGAGTAATCTAAAAATGTACGCACTACACACAGATTTCGCTGCGGCAAGCAGAGATGAGCGCCTCCCTCATCTTGGTCACATAACGATCAGAGAACAGGGCTGAGATTAGCACAATGACAACGTACAATCTGGATGCACCAACGTAAACCCATGTCACGAATGTGAGGCTCTCGTACATATGCTAAGCCCAGCTGGTCCTGATTCATGCTGATGTCCAAAGACCAACTCGCAGGTGCGAACGTGTTGGCAAGATGTAGCTGTGTCATTGACGTTATCTGCACCGAGGACGGAATCCATGTCTCCCAAGTAGGAGCGGGCATTGCACTATATGATGAGAAGCGTAGATTGTTGGTGATGGCCGGCCCCGCTGGCCCATCAATGGATGAGTTAGAGCCAATAGCAGCTCTCCGTTCGAACATAACTCGCAGCTGTTGAACAAAGGCGGACGCCCACATGCGCCGGTCTCCAGCGCTACCCAGCTCTGTTGGTGGGAGCAGTTCCCGTTAGCTCGCATATACGTGCTGGTCTCCGAAAATGCCGCTTACGATCTTCAAGAAACTGCAGGATAAAGCACACAGCCAAAGACTGTGGACTATTGTCGTTGATGACCCTTGCACACCATGCCTTCTCGATGGCCATCTCGCGGAGCTTCTCGCAAGCAGCTTCTCGTCTGAGTCCCCATTCAGGGGAGAATTCGATGGATAAACGATGTGGATTGAAGAACGTGGATGAAAGGGCCGGCGGCACCCGCCCTGAACCAAACAGGATTGGATTGGACGAGAGGCGGGCGGTCATAGCAGCTATGGCGAGTACCAGCGTTTGCGTCACCGGCGAAATGGTCTCGAGCCGACGCCCCGCCGTCTCAAAGGTTGAGATAACGGATAGACACGGAAGAAAGCGCGACCGCGGTATGCGAGTGTACACTATAGGGTACGTTAGCGTATGATGCAAGAGTAGATTTCAAGACGTACGATATAGTAAGTCTGCTAAAAGTGCACCGGAGAACTCGGTATTGATGAGGCCGGACTCAGCGCTGATGTGAGGCAAAGGGCTTCGAAAACAGTTGCGGTACAAGGGGATGTCAAGATCTTTGGAGCTCTGCATGTCCCTCACTGCGGACTCGTTAACAGGAAGCGGAGGCGGATTTCCAGACGAGGACAATTGTGTGAGTCGAGAAGATGTGTATGTATGAGGTATCGTAGAGGTAGTTGATGCAAAGTCGTATATAGGCCCTTCGATGATGTCCTCGATGAGGGGGGTAGGACTGGAAGACGGGGTCCGTCTGTTGGCTGGTTCTGAGGTAGAAGCAACCTCCTGTAGGGCAAACGTAGACGGATATTTCACAGTGCCGAACTTCTGCCTGGAAGAAGTTGTTAACGACGAATGCACCTATTACAATGCTAGATCCAGCAAACGCAGACCATAGAGATGACGACTCACTTGGCTATCTCAATCCGTTTGCCTGTCCTATGCTTCGGTTTCCTCCTCACAACCGGCGTAGTAGAGCACCTAGAGCGATGAGCGTCAACTGGACTCAGCTGGGAGTTGATAGGGATGTTGTGACCCACACAATTCCCTTGGCTTTGCAGCACGAGCAGGAGTCCGGGGGCGGGACAGGAAAGCATCGTATCCTCCTGAACTTACAAGAGTCGCATGAAGGCAGACGCTTCACTATTGGCTGGATGGTCTCGGGAGGCATGTCAAGGCAAGTGAATCAAGGCTAGAAGGGTCAAGTTCAAGGTGGAAATGAAAGATTCAGTGCATGATGCGATATGATTAACTCTGGCTTTTGTCTTGAACGCCCTGGCACAGGCAGTGTATCGAAGCGCGTCTTGAGCGCGTAATTGACTGCGCCGTATGTAACGAACACAGCCACACGTCAGTGCACTTTGGCGTTCGACAGGTCGCCCCTTCGTCGGTCTGCACCAGTGTTTGAAGTCTGATGGCAGAATGGCGGCGCTGGCCAGCCATTTCCTGGCACGCCAGTGGCATGCCAATGGCATGCCATTGGCGGCTGGCAATGGGTATGACTAAGTTTCCTATTGTGGAAGTTTCTGTGAACCTGAGTCGTGTTAGACCCGATGTATCTATTCATATGGCTGTGAGTACCACCATCAATGTAGCCTTCCTAGTCTAGCGGTTTTGGTTGCCATTGATATTATTTTGTTTCCAGCTCGCGAGTTCGATCCTCTCACCTGCCCTTCCGAGTGCCGTCGCCAAATGGCATGCCATGGCACTGCCATTGGCCGGATCATGGCATCCACTGGCATGCCACTGGCACTCCAAACACTGGTCTGCACCGTCGATGCCGCCGGTCCCGGTCAAGGCGGGCCATTGTCTAACATTCCGCGCTGGACCTTCTACAGCATGACAAGCCATTGAACACAAACTTGTGCATAGCATGAATACAGCTTTGTACCACTGATTACTGCTGCGCACCGACAGAGGCACACGCGCTTCGCCTCGGTCCGGTTGGTATGTCTCGCCGTACGTCATGCGTCTGAAACCATGGCCGCCGCCGTTCTGCCAGTTTTGCTTGCGATAGAGTGGGATAAGGACTGACAAGCAGGTTCTCAAGGTTCGGATGCTGGCACAACAACCACCGACATGAGAGAAAAATCTTGAAGGAGTCTTCCGTCCATTTTGTAGTCCGTTAAGTCTCATCGATGCGTCGGTTGGTTTCTGCATTCACGTTTCATGTTTTACGTAGGTGACCTCTGCCAAGGTAAAGCATTACTTTACCTCTACTGTGTAATTGGCCCGACCAAAAACATCATCTTTTCCCTAGGACATCATGGGCCTGGTCACCTGCCCCACGCTACACCCGCCATATGCACCTTTCCCAACGACTTCATGGATTCCCTGGAGGCCGACGAAAACACGACAAACTCCCAAAATATACCCACCGCGGAATTAACTCATTGCTTCACATGGACTCGTCTGCGACGGCTTCGAGCGGGCCGCGTATGCAGTATATGAGTGCATCCTGGCAGAAATTATCTCTCGCCGAACATGATGCGGTTCCTTGCTCTCGTCGCCCTCTTCAGTGCCCAGGTCCTTGCCTTGTCTCCTACCTACATTGATTGCCAACTTCAGAAGGACTCGAGCGTCTCACCCGTTCAAGGGTGTCCGGACGGCACACTATTTGTATCCTCGACAGACTCCAGAGCAAACTACACCACTGTTCAAGCGGCTGTCAACGCTCTGTAAGACGAGATTTTGCTTCCGCATCATGCATCGCTTACATCCTCTTAGGCCCTCTACGGGCGATGCAACGATCCTCATCGGCGAAGGGGAATACTACGAAAGGGTAGAGGTCTCTCGGACGGACCCACTGACTCTGCTTGCAAGTCGAGCGCTACTGTGTCGAAGATTACTGAGCTAACAACTGAACAGGGACAACTCAACGCTGACACGGCTTATGCAGCGAATGCCAATGCGTCGACGCGTAACCTTGTCACTATCTGGAACAACACGTATGTGCAGGGCGATCTGACGGACGAAGACACCGCCGTGCTTTATGTCGTTCCGGATGGCACGTCATTCGGAAACAGTGACTTTAGAGGGTACAACATCAATTTCCAAAACCGAGCGGTACGTCCGAGTCGTCAAATAGCAAAAGAGCTGATGATCTGACGTTTTGTTTAGGCCAACTATTCCATCTCTCAAGCTCTTGTCACAACATTTGAATATACGAACGCATCTTTCTACGGTTGCACGTTTGCGAGCTATCAAGACACTTGGTACACTGGTCATGAGGCAAACACTTACGTCTATGACAGCATCATCTTTGGCGAGACAGATTGTGAGTGGCTTGATCACTTGCCAATTGCGATGTCCCTACTAAAGTATGCGTGTAACGCACAGACTTGTTTGGCTTTGGAACTGCGTAAGCCTCTGTCATTTGCACAGAAGTCTCCATCCATTTGACACGTACTCGTCTAGCTGGTTCGAGAACGTAACTCTGGCTCAGCGCGCGTGTGGTGGAGGTTTGGTTGCCTGGCAAGGAGCCAACCAGACGACGGCGCCCGGAAACCGTTACGGTGCCTACATATCTAATTCCCAGATTATGCGGGTCCGTATGTTCATACCTTGGCTGAAGAGACATTTGCTAACGTTCACCGTAGTCTCCCGACGCTAACGCTACCACGGACACTTACCAAGAGTGCTACTTGGGTCGCCCTTGGAACCCCGAGGCTGTGACGGTCTACCTCAAGACGTACATGGATGAGACAATCATTCCTGTTGGGTTCAAGCCCTGGGACGGCGAGTATGTTGTATGCCATTTCTTATGTTCCGTACCACTCACCCGCTTTATCAAGGACGACCGTGCCCAACACAACTTATTACGCGGAGTACGACTCTTACGGTCCGTCACTTCACATGCATGCCTTGTTTATCGTCAAACTGATTGCTAAGTACAGGTCCTGGCGCGAACAACTCGGCTCGCGTCCCACAAGATCACATCTTGACCACCTCTGAAGCCAGTAACTTCACTGTAGACGGCGTATTCTTGGGTGCGCCTACGTGGATTGACTACACGTACGCCCAAGGTGGGTCGACTTAGAGATTCATCGAGGCGTCTTGTGATTGGTGCATATTGCATCTGCTGGAGCGGTTGTAAAACAGGAATGCCTGCTTTTTGGACGTTTTCTCAGGTGCTACTATCGATTACTCACTACAAACGTACTATCGACTACTCAAATCCAGAGTCGCTTGCGGCCCTGATCACGGCATAAGCTGACTAAGACCACTCATAGAGTACGCTGAGCGTAGTTGAACAGCTCGATCGCGACGACCACGGAAAGCTGATGCGTACATGATGCTTTCGGAAACGAAAGTTTGCGATCGCAAAGGTTCGGATCCGGGAGTACTGTGCCATGTAAGCCTGAAACACCGGAACCGCCGTTCGCTGCAAATCAAGCCAGATAGATATCAGGATAGCATTTGATAGACTCTTGGCACGATCCGCAAGAATTCTGGTCAACGGGCATAGGTAGGCATTTGCCCAATTTTAGTCACACAAGGACACGAAGTGCACTAGACCAGGAACTTATCTCGCTAAATTATCACGGAATGCTCATTGCCGGTCAAGTAAAATCAGGAATTGATCTGCCAGCTGGCAAGTGTTGCCGCTTGAACGAGCGATGCGAATGAGAAGCCATGAAGTTTTGAAACTGAGCTTCGCAGTCTGATGCAACAGCATATGTGTATCAATCATCGTTTGATAGTAATTCTTTCCGAATCATAGTGGGTGTAGTAGCATTGGTGATACTTTTGCTCGTTGGACAATGACCAACTCTGGCTTTACGGCGAAAAGGCGAAAGGTAGCCATTGAACCGTTGCGTCATAGCATTGGCAAGTCCAAGAATTCTCAATAAGAGCGTGCTCGAGGTAGTGGGAGGATGAGACCACACCTATGTACGTCAATTCATATGATCGTGGGGGAGGCTGGGGAAGGATCCGGACTTTGGAGTTTTAACCGACGAATGATCGACACCACCTGTCAAAAAAAGCAGGTGGCGAGACGCGAGAGCTCCAACTTGCTACCAGTTGGTGACTTGATCATTCGCGAGAATCAACCACCTTTGCCTGCTCACTGATTGCCAATCCAACAGTACCACCTTGAAGTCTTACCGCTCTCAATAGGATATATCCAGGATAAACCACGGATTACAGCTGGGCCACAATCACACCATCAGACTCCTTCTTCACGTTGTCGGTCTTTGCTTCCAATTCTCCCCCGTTGTCAACTTGCCATGATAACGGCTTCCGGTGATGGACCACGGGTTGAAGTTGAGGACCCATTTTCCTGCTGATGCGCGCAACCGGCCAGCTGAAGCTTGGTGAAGCTGATCAGCCTGCAGCGCCAGCCCTCCACATCTTGGATGTCGTCAAGTTCGCACGGCCTTCTCCTCTCCTGCACCGCCAAACTAGCACCAGGGGGGACATGCTGAACACGGCGGCGCAACGACTGACAAAGAACACCAGAGAACACCTTCATCGTCCAAAACTCGGCTTGGCGTCGAACATATGGACAGAGGGCTGTACATATGATCGACGGCAACCGCTCAGACAGGCTCAACCGGGGATGATCGTGCAAGGCATTGAGTGCGCGCCGGAAGCTTTGTCTGACGCTAGCATCTGATACGCATCGCCTCAATGTCGTTTTTGATGCATCACCAGATGCGCCCGAGTGATTGAGGCTCTTATGCAGTAAGTTTCCAAGTCCGTCTAGCTGCAAATCCTGTGCTGTGCTTGTGATGAAGGTCAACGAACAAATTCGGTTCTCAATGTTCACCGCTGCTTTCTCGGTGGGCAGGCAGGTGCAGGCTCGCTCGGCTGCTGTTTGCTGTCTGACTATGGGGCCATGCTTGGGGCCATGCATTACATGAGCGCCAATCAATCATAGTGAATGCTTCTACTCAGGTGCCTTACCAAGAGCATCATGCAGAGATCTGGATATCCTCCTAGGTAACAGGAGGCTATGTAGCTGCCAGGATTGATGGAGTCGTAACTCTGTTTCATCATCGCGCCTCATTTCCTGCTGCATCGCATCAATGCCGAGCAGACTACCATCGCGCCCAGGAGCCTATAAAGAGGGCCTCGCATCCGCCTCCTGCTCATCCTCAGCCTCTTCTCTTCGTTCTCGGCCCATTGGTTAGGTACTGGCTAGTGAGTATCCCAGCTCTACTTTCGACTGCTCATTATCTAACTATGTCCTCCTCAGCCGACCTGTTCACTCTTTGTTGATAAACTATTGCCTGTTGAACGTCCATCCACGTCCTTTGATCACACACCCTTTGCTATCTACTCGATCTACAGTCATCATGCGCTTCTTCGCTCTCTCCGCTGCCATCATCGCCATTGTCGCCCCCGTCCTCGCGGCTCCCACTCCCTTTGCGTATGTAATCACCCTCGCTTCGCGCAAGTTACCTGTACTTATATTGTCTTTACAGTCCCCAGGGTGCTCACGTCGCTCGTGATGACATCAAGTCTGAGATTTCGACGCTCATCAACGATGCCCAGTCCTCCGGTCTCATCAACTCGACCGAGGCTGGTCAGCTTGAGCAGATCGTGAACTTGGTTAACCCTCAGGACATGCAAATGCTCCTTGGCGCGATCCAAACTGATCTCCAGGGCTTCCTCAGCATGCTGTCCAGCTCTACCCAGGCTAGCAAGCGCGACGCCGCTAGCGACCTCGACAGCTTGATTCAGCAGGCTCAGTCTGCTGGCATCCTCTCCCAGCAGGCGGCCAGCGTCCTCGAGGGCATTGTGGCCGCCGGCGAGGCGGCTGCCCCCGAGATCGAGGCTATCATCAACCAGCTCAAGGGCCAGCTCCAGGCCGCGGGCGTCAGCAAGCGCGACAACTGGGTAACCAAGATCGAGACCGATGCTGCTCAAGCCGTCTCTCTTGGCATCATCTCCCAAACAACCGCCGATGGTATCGATGCCGCTGCCCTCATGGCTGAGAACGATACCGCCAAACTCGAGCAGATCTACAATGAGGTCGTCGGGTACCTCCAGGCTGCTGGTATCACCCCCAGCGCCAAGAGGACTGACTGGGTCTCGATGGTCGAGGACGTGACCGCCCAGGCCCTCGCTGCTGGTCTCATCAACCAGGCTGAGTCCGACTTCATCGACGGTGTCGCTACTTCGGCCTCCACCGACGCTACCAAGCTCCAGGGCCTCTACAACCAGGTTGTCAGCTACCTCAAGGCTGCTGGCATCGTCCCGAGCGCGCGTGACTCCAACCCGGCTCAGGATCTCGAGACCCTCATCAACGACGCTGTGAACGCTGGTGTCCTTACCCAGCAGGACGCTCAGGTTTTCGACAGCCTGATCAACTCGTTCAGCTCTAGCCAGATCGAGAACCTCATCAACCAGCTCAAGAGCCAGCTCGGCCTGCAGAGGCGCCACATCCCCTTCCCGACTCTCGGCCCCCACCCTCCCTTCCCCTCGAACCTGCCTCCGTTCCCCACGCTTGGCCCGGTCCCCCAGGTGCCCAAGAACAAGCGCGTCATGCCCCTCGAGCCCCTCCCGCCTTCCTCGGGTGAGCCCAAGTGGGCCCCTGGTCCCGTAGTCGTTGCTGACGTCGAGGCGCGCCACATCCCCTTCCCGACGTTGGGCCCCATCCCTACGCTGCCCTCCGACCTGCCGCCCCACCCCACTCTCCCTCCCACCCCGACGCTGGGCCCGCACCCCTCGGGCAGCATCACGCTCCCGCCGGTTCCCACCCTCGGGCCCACGCCTACTCTCCCGGGCCGTGCCGTTGACCTCGACTAAACGATCTTGTTTGGATACCCCATAGCATTTACCGCGATCATCTACGCACGCATTAAGTTATTAGTTTAATCAACGATATCCCTTAACGAATGAGAATTGTGTCCCGTTGAGGCTCACTTAAACATAAAGACCCTGTGTGATGCTCTGAGTTGGCGTTCGCCCTGACATGAAGAGAACATGGTCAGTGGTTTTCTTTCTACTTATTTTCGTCCAGTGCATTTGAGCGGCGGCGGTCATCGTCTACAGATCAACAGCAGTGTTGCGCAGCGATCCTGCCTCTAGCGCTCACATAGCCCTTTCCAGTCGCATAATGATGATCTTTTCGAGATGGACAATGTAATAGTAAGTATTGGACGTGGCAGATCATGAGGAGCCCTCAAAGCTTGGGAAATGTGGTGCAGGGAAATCCGTTTGTTACATACTTACTATTTTTCTTGAACGATTGTACTTCGAGTTCATGATTTCTACCTCAGGGAACACGCTTGTCGTATGAGTCCTCGTTGAAAGACACTTTTTTCTGCTGACGACGGAAGTACTCTGAAGTACTCCTGGCGATCCTGATCTCATCGACGTGGTGAGAATAAGCGAGATTGAGTGCAACATGTTGATTTTACGATGATGCATCACGCGTGTGCCGAGGTCGTCCGCGGCGACACTTAAGATTGCCCTTGCGAAACGGAGTGGTGAGAAGAGGTCGATCCATGTTATTATCCCCAGCCTAACACTTCAGTGGCAATTCGATGACAATGGCCAGCTTTGCAAGGAGGTGATATGAGCTCATCAAGTCATAGTGTCGTGCTTGAAGTTTGGTTGAAGTCGAAGCTTGAGTCGAAGTTTGAGTCGAAGTGGTAGAGTTGAGGCACCTATATCATATGAGGCAAGTGAATCGTGCGGAAAAGGCAGGACAGCACGAGGCTAATAACCGAGGATCGGGACGTAACAAACTTGATCCTGGTCATGGCCCGGCGTGGTTCTCCTCCTCTCCTTGCTGTCCTCAGTCACAGTGATAGGTCCACCACAAGATCGAGAAGTAGCACCATTGCATTAACAGTGCATGTAACGATCGCCTTCAGGCGTCATGAATTCCAAGATCGACCAGCCTTCGAACTCTGAACGCTCGGAACAGGCGGATCGAGTCCGCCGAGAACACGTTCCTGACACGATGCGGCACAAACAACGCGTTTTCATGTCTGTCCGGAGGCACTTTCATATATTCGTCCCCCGCGAGCTCGATGCCTCGCGTTTGCTTCTCACTCAGGGACAACCGAGCCTTGAGCCTTCCTAAGCGGCGTGGTATAAAACCACCCCCACTCTAGCGCGCTGTCGCCCCCATTTTCGCTTCCTCTCACCTGCCCTTCTCTCCGAACATGCGGGCTAGGGCGCTCTCGAGCTTATACAATGTGTCCCCCGCCTGGACGAAGTGCGATGCTCTGACGTCGTCATCTTGGGATAGATCTTAACGGATGCTTCGCATGGCTGTGTGCTTACGCTTATACAGGGTGTTCACTAGGTACGCTTTCATACCCTATAATAATATAATTTCAGAACGTCATGCCTTACTGTGTATGACACAGGAGCCCATTGTTCCTCGAGCATCGCTAGCTAGTAGATCGGACATCTGTAGTACGCTGTCGTTCATCAAAGCCTTGAATTTCTCCCAATGACTAGCCGCCTTTGTACTCTCTAGCCATCCAGAACTTGTCCGATCTGCAAGAGAGTTGTCCCGAACGCGAATGGCATCCGCATCAGTCGAGCCATTTGGTGGACAGCACCTTCTTTTCGAGCCTGCAGGCCTGAAGGCACACGCGGAACATCAGTGGTGCAGTATGTTGTCCCTCCTTTTCTTGATTCTTGTTCGGTTTCTCATTGCCAACATTGAAGAGTAAACGGAATACGTACATACCAAGGGGAAAACTGTACCCTTCACCACGTCGAAGTACCACGTTCCGCATACCCCTCGTCGTCAGCGCGAGAGCAAGGTATAGCTGCCCTCTTGCCCACACCTTCTGCGACTGACAATAATCGACGGTTAGATAGCAAGTCTCCCTTCTGAATATCAACCACCCAAGCCTGCATGGCCTGCACGCCCTGCCGATCCGACCGTCTCTCGTGACCCGGGGTCGAAGCCGAGTAGTAGTTTGCTGATGGAGGAGAACACTGAACTCGTGACGGGCAGGCAGTGGGCTCTGGGGGTAGCCTGCACCATGGTGGTGCGGGCTGGGCATTCTAACGCGTTTCCGTGTGTTCTCAGGTTGAGGCTGGCAATGGCAAACTGGGTGTGGCGAACGTCATCTCTCTCGGGCTCTCTCGCCCTGATGGCGATCGGCCTGTCTGTCGTCCTTGGCCTTCGTGCCTTCGGATATCACGGCAGATGGGCTTGGGCTGTGGTGGCCACTAACTTTCTGACAGGGCCTTTATCTTCCCTGGTGTCCTGTAAGTGTTTTTGCGTTCTCTTTTATTGGGCACCGGGGGTCTTTCTTTTGGGCACTGGGGGCGCACATCGTGCGGCATTTATTTATGGTAGCGTAGTCTTTACGAGCACTAACGCCTTTCCCCTTTACTTAGCAGTGTTTTTGCACAACAGGGGAGGCTCGGTCCATGGTCTACATGTCTCCGACGTCTCCCCTGTAAAGGTAACCTCTTTCTCTTTCTCTTCAGCGTTTGTTGCCACCACGCCCAACCCCCGGTTTGTCGCCGGCCTCTTCTCTGAAACCCGATTCGCTGTGATGGATGCCCTTTCGCCCGGTCGCGAGTTCCAGTCAGTATCCGAGTCAGTCTGCGAACCTTGGTTGTAGACACCTGGCGTGTCCGGGATCCGGTCTTGTGTGGTCGGCGACGTGTGGTGATGCAGGTGGATGTGGTATGATGACGGAAGATGAGGGGTGCTGCTACGCCTTCCCAAGAGGCTAGCAGGCGTCAGCTTGGCGAGCTGGTCGCTGGATGTTGACGCTCGTGCTACCAGACCTTTCTGCTCCACAGGTTGGTCTCGGTCTCATGCGCGGCATGGGACCAGGGTGATCCCTAGGGGACACTCGAGCGGTGCCAAGGGCATCGCAGTGGTATCGGCTTCGCATCCTCGCCCATGTCTTCTTGCTCTTGCGGGTGGCCTTGTCGCAGCCCTGGTATCCGCGGATCACCTCCGTGCTTTACGCTGTGGGGAATCACAGATAGGTGTCGCGACTTGGACATGCCTCTGGTCCTTTGCGGATGTCAGACTCGGGCTCGCACGCCCGGGGAACATGGACAGTCGCGCCCTTTCCGTATCCCAAAGGCTGCCTTGCATGCGTAGTCCATCTTTGATGGCTTGCATGTCCAATTTTTGGAAACTTATTCCTCTGCTTGCAAGCCTTTCGTGGGCGAGCGGAAGAGGATGGGGATTCGTTCCCCACATGCACAGTTTTCGTGCTCTGTATCGTAGTTTTGAATTGTACGAACGCTGTATATCCGTAGTGCTCAAGAAAATATACGAAGCTTTCAACATTTTTTCTTCGATGTTGCTGGTCACTTTCCAGGAGACAACAGCCCCTAAACGCGTGTCCTTATTTGGTCATGTTTCCATACGTAAACCAAGCATGAATTCCTCTAACCTCGACGTCCACTGGAAGCGCGCCCAACGATGAGCAAGGCGAAAGGGAAGAGCGTCGGCGGCGCAGCGGGAGTCTACAGGCCAGAAGCAGTCCAAGATGTTGCCGAGAGCGTCGGCATCAGCTCGCTCAGCGACAGCGTCGCGTCGGCGCTCGCGAGCGACGTCGAATACCGCATCCAACAGGTCATCGAGGAGGCCGCACGCTTCATGCGGCATGCACGGCGCACCACGCTCACGACGGCCGACATGGACAATGCGCTGCGCACGCTTAATATCGAGCCGCTCTATGGCTTTGGAGGCGCGACCGTGCCTCCGCCGTTCCGCCGCGCCGCTCCCTTCCCGCACATGCAGGGGCAGGGCCATGGGCCCATCTACTTCATCGAGGACGACGAAGTCGACTTCGATAGGGTGCTCAGGGAGGAGAAGATTACGGTGCCACGGGGGGTGTCGTGGGCCGCGCATTGGCTTGCGGTTGAGGGCGTGCAGCCGCTCATTCCAGAGAACCCGCCCGCCGTGCCTCGCGACTCGGACCAGCCGCCTCAACAGGATGGTGCGGCGAACACGGCAGCATTGGCAGCGCAGAAGAAGCCGCAACAACAGCAGCAGCAACAGCAGCAGCTCGTCAAGCAGGTGTTGTCACGCGAGCTGCAACTCTACTATGCTCGTCTTACGGCGTCGCTCCTGCCACCAACGGACAATGCTAAGCGAACAGCAGCTTTGGCAAGTTTGCGAAGCGATGCAGGTCTGCAGGCACTGCTACCTTACCTCGTCAAGTGGATCGGAGAGGGTGTGGTCAATGTCCTCAGGGAGGGTTCTGGGTCGGAGTCAGATGGCCGGACACTGGAGGTTTTGCTGGATGCTGTTAGCGCGATCCTGGAGAACAACACTCTTTTCGTCGAGCCATACGTAAGTCTTCTTCATATCCTTACTCTTGGTCAAGTGCTCACCATACCTGCAGCTTCACCAAATCCTTCCACCGCTCCTTTCCACCCTCCTCCATACCTCTCTTCCTCCAACACACGCCTCTCACCTCCGCGCAACTGCGTCCAGCACGCTTGCGCGTGTCCTCACTACCCACTCCACTACATACCCTTCTCTAACCCCGCGAATCACGAAGACGCTCCTCCTAGCACTCCTTGGGACATCAACCAACTTCTCAAATGGCCACCAAGGCGCAAGCTTTGGCACTCGCATAGGTGCAATCCGCGGCCTGGGCGCCATTGGGAAGGAGGCCGTGCGCAAGGGCCTCGTCGAGGGTGGAGGCGCACGTGTGCTGGGCAAGGAGCTGGAGAACCGCATGGACGACGGAGATGAAAACACTGACGGTACCAAGGATGCGCTCGTTGACGTCGTTATGGTATGCACTTCACTTGCGTTCTTCATTGTTAGCGATCTCATTGCTGTTGTACGTCAGAATGCGTTCAGGATGTTGCATGCTCCATCCGACATGCCCGAGGCTATGGATCCGTCCTCGCCAGAGGCAGCACGCCTCATGGAGACCGTCGGAGAGTTCTTTGCGCAGAGGCTCGTCGGCGACTGTGCATGGGCTATGGGCATCCTCGGAGAAACCCCTTCCTCATGACGACTCGATTCACTCCCGTTTAGACCGCTGGGACATTGGGTGTAACGCATGTGCCCCCTGCTTTGACTTGCTTTTGACATATCTACTGTATCTCTATTCTTTGTGCTTCAGTATCGTCGAGTCATAATAGCCAGGCTCGTTGAGTCCGTTTCGGTTTCGGACGTTTTCGGCGTAAAGAATGCGACGTTGTCATAAAAAGCCCCTGAGTGTAAATCGACGCGTTTCCCACTCCGTCGCGTCCTTCCACTGCATCCGTTCGACCGACTCCCCGCTTCGTTCGTCTCTAAATCCGCCTGAAGCCAAGATCATAGCGAACATGCCAACAGACCGGCCTACCTTCGTGCAGTCCCTCGTCGTGCGCCACCACTCTTCTCGTAGCCTATGTATCGCGCCAACGCATTTGCTTTAATTATTTCCGTTTTTATGGGCATTGGATTACTCATGTAGGCGGGCGGAGCGGCCGGGACGGCGGTTGACTTGTTGTTCTTCCCCATCGATACCGTCAAGACGCGTCTGCAGGCATCACAGGGCTTCTTGCGTGCTGGAGGCTTCAAAGGCGTTTACAAGGGTGTGGGGAGTGTAGTGGTGGGAAGTGCACCAGGAGGTGAGCCTATCTATGTGCATGCCAGGCAGGGTAAAGCTTACCTTTGACGACGCAGCTGCTGCTTTCTTCTCGACGTATGAGTTCCTCAAGCATAACCTACCTCTACATGGACAGCTTGCGCCGCTGAAGCACATGTTGGCCGCTTCTGCTGGCGAAGTGGTACGTCTGTCTACGGTAGTTGATGACGTTTGATGTTTTACGGCAATCAAGGTAGCATGCATGATCCGTGTCCCAACCGAGGTCATCAAGACGCGGACACAGACGTCCACATATGGCGCTCGCGCAGCATCTTCATGGGCTGCTGCTAGGATCGTAATGGCTAACGAGGGCGTCGCGGGGTTTTACAGAGGATTTGGGACGACTGTGATGCGCGAGGTATGGTCTTGCTCTACTCAAGATATTGCTCGTGAGGCTCATACTGCGTATCCCAGATTCCATTCACGTCTCTCCAGTTTCCATTATACGAACTTCTCAAGCGCCAGCTCGCAGTATCACTCGGACGCGAGCCCACCGAGATAGTATCAGAAGGGAAGGCTCAAGCCCGACCAGCTCTGCACGCACATGAGGCAGCTGTATGCGGTAGTATAGCTGGTGGTGTAGCTGCCGCGCTCACAACTCCGCTTGACGTTCTCAAGACGAGAGTGATGCTCGACCTCCGAGTGCGTCCTTTCTATCCTATTGCCTTGGCTCTTCATTAAAGACCGCCATTAGGAGCGGGGTGAAAACACGCCCACACTGCTTCAGCGCTCCGTTGGCATCTACCGTAACGAGGGTGGACGTGCATTGTTTGCGGGTGTAATACCTCGTACCCTTTGGATATCGGGAGGCGGGGCAGTATTCCTGGGCTGTTACGAATGGGTGCTCGGGAACCTGCTGCTTGCCTCATGATAAATGCTGCGAAAACGCTTTACCTTGCTTAATCATAGATCTGCTTACCATCCTCCCTAGAATAGCATTTGGGTTATATACCCCTCATCCTCATGCGCCGCTGGTCCTGTGCTTCCAAGCTACCTCGATTCCTCAGCCCATGGCTGAGACAGCTGTAAAGGTGTATCGATCGCAAGTGGTCTCTTTACACCATACAGTCTCGATTTCAGGTGATTTCATTGGAAGTCCAGTTTTGGCCAGCGAACAACGGCGGAAAGACCTGTACTATGCCATGACAATTGGTCGGATGTCTGACCCCGCCTGAAATCTGAAAAATCATGCTGGAAAGCCTAGATCAAAGCAGGCTGGCGCGAATAGCAACGAGGTAAGAGACGATCGTTGTTCTTCCGGTAATAAGAGGTTGCGCTCAAGAACCACGACGACCAAGTTTGAAACAAGCCAAGAAGCCCGACGACCGTGAAGCCCGAAAGCCGACATGGCGACTTACGACTCGGAGCTATTCTGTGCCATGAGGTCCATGACCTTCCACGGGATTGAGCTGCCGTTGGGGGAGCAAAGTTACATCTCAAGCAATCAGGGTCATTTCGGGTAAATACTTCAGGGCTTCTCGTTCGACTTCTTTCAATGTCCGAGGCGTCGAGGAGGAATACATACTAACACACAATCGTCAGAGTTGTCTGAAGGACGTTCTCTAATGACTCTATCTACAGGAATATTCGCGGCGAGGTGTCAATTATCGATGACTTCGAGTACTTGGGTGTCGACGGTCAAGTCACAGCCAGACATGTTTGGGTTTGAATCCCAACTGTGAATATCCGAGATACCACGTATTGTATCCTGACAACTCCCAATTGTGTCTCAATGCAGGGTACGATATAGCAACCCGAGGGTGCATGTATGGGACGGGCATCTGAGGCCTTGACCATGAAACTTTGAAGTCACCGTAATCGCCGACTCAGCTCTTCAAGGCTCCTCAGCGGCATTAATGGGGGCAATGCCGATCTCGTAATGTCGGCGGAATGCGACCTTGACAATCTCTGGCGGGCATCGTTCGCCATTGCGGTGCGCGGCACCTGGAGGAGACAAACATATAAAAGCAGGAAGTTTGCTTAGACATTCCTCAGCACTCCGAGCACTCTCTTGCCTGCCAATCCCTTCATCACCTCACACAATGAAGTTCTCCCTCGCTGCTGTCCCTCTGTTCGTTGCCGCGGCCATGGCCCAAGTTGTATCGCTCTCCGCACCCACTAATGGCCAGACCATTTCCTCCGGCCAGCAGATGACCGTCCAAGTGACTGAACCCGTAAGTCCATGCCCCTTGACCCGAGCGATGATTGTCCTTATCCCGCAACGTAGGATTCCAACTCGTCTTGGGAGGAAGTCGCCGTCGTTGTCGGTATCTCTTCTTGCAGCACGAGCGGATGCCCGTCTGCTGAGGAGGACGGCATGCAATATATCCTCTACAATGGCCAGTACAAGCCTGCATACCCGAACCCGAACCCGCAGCACGTTCAGCCTTACCAGGACTTCACTGTCACCCTCCCCGCCACCCTGGCCAAGGGCGAGGCTGTCGTGTCCGTTGCACACTTCGCGCTCATTGGAGTGAGTTATACTCTCCACTATATCAAGGCACAGTACTCACCACCATCTGTTGATAGGCGTCCTACGTCCCTTACACTGGGTTCGCGAACGTGACCGTCTCCGTCGCGTGATCGATTGTTTTGGACCGAAGAGGATTCATCATCTAATTTCTATCACTTGGGCTCATCTACAGTTACCGTAGTAGTCGGTTAGGTTAATAAAATCGTGTGCTAATGGACTTACCATTACTATTTCTGGTGCATTGACCTTAGTTTGAGCTTTCGGACTGCCCGCTTTTATCCCTATAACTATATTCTTGCACAAGGAATGCCGTCTCTGCCCAACTTGCCATTATCGTTGGCGGATCAAGCTCCGGGTCCGAGAATCCTCTGTCTAAGCCTCTAGGATAACACTTGATCGCTCTGAGGCGCGGCAGCATGCTATACAGGACAGGAGCAACGAGATGAGGGGCGTAGATAGGAGATGACCACACTTCAATCTCCGTGATGGTCATATTGAGTGGCGACGAGACTCGGTCCTCCAGATCGACCGTCGCGTCGAGTGCGATAGCCAGCTCTTCTAAGAAAGGGCACTTCTCTAGAAGATTCTTCAACCCCTTTATCGTAATCTTGCTCCGATGTCCGGGTGGAAGTAAGACGTGCTGTGACAAGTCGATGACAGAAAGAACGCGTAGACATGGCCAGGCTGTGGCTAGCAGCTCGAGCTCCACACCGCCCATCGCTTGGTGACAGAGGTCACGAAATCGGAAGGTTGTTATGTTTCTGAAACCTAGTAAAGGCTGAATCACACCACAGGGAGGGGTTGGTGACTCGACTTCTTCATTAGAATACCATACTGAAAGCTCAATGGAGGCAAGGCTGGCCGGCGAGCATGATTTGGCGATAGTCGCGGCTAGATTGGCTAGGCTCGGGTTGTCCATATTGTGTATGGTCATATCAAGAGTTTTGAGCGAAGGTGGTCTTTGGTGGCAAAGTAGCTGAAGCAGGCTTCTGGCATTGCCGTACGGATCATCGACTATGAGATTTTGTAATGTAGGAAAGTTGATATGGTCGCTGGATCCCAGGTAATGCGCGCTGTGGTCCTCAGGAGGAGGAAGGATCACATTTAGTTCCTCAAGGACAGGCAACTGAGCCGCCAATGCAAGTACTTTAGGAGCAAAAGACACGTCATGAGGCTCGCCATCGTGCCATATTTCTAGTTTCCTTAGAGACTGAAAACTTGATAGCGTCTCCGAAAGAGGTAGATAGAGATCAGCTTCGCTATCAGAGCCCGCAGTGGCCTTGATAGACCCAAGGGTTCCAGCAGCATGAATCAGGCTCCGGAATATGCCGGAATAATCATGGTCCTCCTCACTAAACCATAGCTCCACCTCGCAGAGCTTTGGACAAGAAGTAAGGCTCCCGACAAAAAAAAGGTCTTGAGGATCCCGAAACTGCCAGACCAGATGTCGAAGGGAAGGAAATAAAGGACCAGCTTCTGAGTCGGAAGGTGACATCAAAGCTTCCATAAGCTCAAGGTCATACGTCATTGGCAAGCGTAAATCGTAATCGTTGGTGAGGGTTCGGACGCGACGAGCATAAGGCCGGAAAATTTGCCAATCTCTAGATGTCATTTCGCGGGCGAAACTCTGCGAGATGGTTTTCAGCAAGGTTTCGTGCCGCCAACATATTCAGGGCAACACGTAGACTCACGAAGGCAACCCCATCGTTTGCCAGAAGGTCTCGAGGAAGACAGCGTAGAAGATCGTCAATGATAATCTCAGCGTACATCTCGTCAAGGGCAGGTTCTGACATTGTCCTGCAGGTCCTGGCAAGACGGCATAGCGCCCGTTGATCACCAGAAAGGAACCCTATTATAACGGAGACGATCTCCGCTAGACGAAGACAGGGATGCATCGCTGCTGCTGCTTTGAGTCCACCATCAAGAACGTCATGAGCTTTGCGGTGTGTGTCCTGGAGGTTCTTGAGTTGGCTATTCACGTACTTGGACTGAGGACCGGGTGGCATGAGCAGCGCGGCATGGTGGAAGTTGCGCGAATTGCAAAGTCTACCATAGATGGTGGGAACTTCCGAATCATCAGATGTACTAGCACTCAAAGTAATAAGCACATCATAAAGCTTGAACAACTCGTTCAGCAACATTCTTACAACTAGTTTACACATGCATTGAGGCTAGCAGCTTTGAATACTAGCACCGTCCTTCAGGCTGATATCATAGACTATACTTCAATTAATCCACTTCTTCCGGAATCTGCACCCCATGCCCGACATTCCTCAAAGTTCGCCCCTCGCAGCCTTAGCGGCACACGAATCCGTATGATCAAGCACAAACACCTTACTCGCCTTCAGCCGCCCCTTCTCGTCCTTCCTCACTTCATCTGTCATAAACTCCACCTCGGCCGTATACACCCCCGGCGCCGCCGAATCTGGTACCGCGAGCGCCGTTTTGTTCGCGTGCACCTCCAGTACGACCCCACCCTTGCGCCACGTCACCGCGTACGCCTCCCCTCTGTCCTTCCCGCTCTGCCCGTCCTCCCGGAACTGCGCGAGCGGGAGGAGATCGAGAGATATGGAGCGCGTCCAGTCTGGGCCCCAGGAGGGCGGAACGCAGGAGGCAGAGACAGAGTCGATGAGGTCGACGCGCGCGAGGAGAGAGAGCCATAGGCCTTCGAGACAGACTGAGCAGAAGTCGGGGGAGGTGACCATGCGCATGAGGCAGCTGTTGTATGTTGGGCGGTAGGTGGTTTTGTTGTCGAGGTCGAATCTGAGGGCAGAGACATCATTGAGCGGTTGAGGGAAATAAAGCCTGAAAAACACTCACGTCGGGAATGCACCGTAGTAGCTTGGATCATTAACAAACCTATTGAAGAAGTGGGAAGCCTTAGCTAGAGGCCGCAAGTGTATATAATGTCACTTACTCTTTCTCATCTCCAAATTCAAGCACCTCAACGCTGCATAGCTGCGCCGTGGTCCTGTCGCTGTTCTTCAGCACGAATTGCACTTCATGTGTGCCGTCAGAGAGTGGGATATCGTTGTAAATATCGTAATGCCATCGGTCAATCCCAATACCAGGTTTCGGACTCCACTTCAAATGCTTCCCATCGAGCAGAATATCCAAGTCTTTCGCCTCCGGTATGCCCGAGAGTGAAAACTTGATGAGATGCCTAGCATATGTTCCCGACGAGTTGAACTTGACTTTCCATGGTTCGTAAGCCTTCATCATGGTCCATGGGTACGCCTGCAGTGGCATGACAGAGCGCTCGGCGCGAACGGGCCCATTTGCAGCATCGGGATCAGATAGCCAGTGAGACCACCCGATTGAGGGGGTCGAAGGGGCTGCGTTGACACCAAAATAGGCATAGCCTCCATCGTATTCTTCACCAACATCAATGATAGAGTGACCAAGTTCGTGGCGGAGGACGAGAGGGCCGTTTGCTTCTGATGCAGTGATAGAGCTGCAAGCACACAATTAATCCAGCAGAATTAACATGCCAAAGCCTTACGTACGTATACTCGCCACCAATGCCTTGATGGACTCAGTAAGAGGATTTCTTCAAATGGCTAACGGCATACCTCCGTACAACGGGTCATTGCCTGGATTGTTAATGTTAACAGGAAATTTGGTGTTGCGAATAAAAATGTCACTAACCTAATACGATTGCATAGTCGCATCCATCACCCAGAGAAGCGCACCCAGCAAGTGCTGCATCGGACTTGTTGGCCAAAACGCCTCGGAGTTCGGGTCCGTCACGGTACAAGCCAAACGCCGTACTGATAAAATGAGCATGAAGACCGACACTTGATGCGTAAGCTCGGGCTGGCTCACTCTTTGGGCTTCCCACCTACACCTATCCCACTCTGACATCCAAAGTTAGCTCACGCCATGAGAGACTTGGTGGCGTGTTTACCTCCTTGCTCGGTGTAAACGCACCCCAGAAGTTAAGCAAGGGCTTGACAGTGTAAAATGTCTGATTTGACGACAGGTCTTCTGCGAGGCGCTTTGCGTCAGAGAAGAATTTATCCCGCTCTCCTGTAGTGTCTGCAGCAAAGCAGAAGTCATCAGCTCGATAGCGGACAATAACTAGCAGTGAGCAAAGGGTGCGTACATCCGTCAGCAAAGAAGACGAGGTCCACCCTGTTGGACGACGGTCCAGTGTCTCCAAGCGCTTCGATATCGAGTGGTGGGTATTTCAACGAAGGTGGGTCATGATCCGCATGCTCGAACTGCTTAAACACTTGCTGGGAACCTGCGTATCTGTGAATATCCAATGAAGTTCGGAGATCCCGCCCAATGCCCAAGGGGCACAATGATTCTGCATGAGCATCGAGCAAATCCTTGTCATATGATAGTACGTGATGAACATCCGATGCAGAGTTTTCCCCTGTGGGCACGCGGGTCTTCCAGGAAATGCGACCATTGGGATTGGAAAGAAGGTCCTTATGGATTTGGCTCTTCTGTAGGGACACGAAGGAGCAGACAGGGCCATCTTTGTGTATGAGAAGTTCATATGGTCGGTTATCAGAGTCAGATTGCGCCAGAGCAAAGCCAGCCAGTGCAAGGACTACCGCTGCGATCTTCATGGCTGCAGGTGGAGACAGCTTGAACGAGCGCCCACGCGATCGGCGTCATACACGGCAACACGTGATTCCGATCATATGCGGCCCGAAAAGGCAGTCAGGTTTACTGCTTCCGACATCCGCGTCTTTGCCTTCCTTGTTTTTTGGCGTTTAGCACGAGCTCGGAAACGCTTTTGGTTCTTTGGGCTAACCAACAGTAAGTATGTTTTCCTGAAATATCATATCCAATTCTCTTGCTGATAACATGAATTCTCTTAGATGAGTGCTGCTACTGCTGCCAAAGCCCCTCGGGCTCTCTCGTCCATGCGCGGTTGGCGCAGTCCACCGCGCATTCGCCAACCTCTCCGCAAGGATGAGGAACGTCTACCTATTCCCCACGTTGACCTCGTCGTCGGTCAAACGCACCATTCTCGTGTAGGCGACCACTACCACAATACCCTCGCCGACGACCTCCTCTACATGACATACACCCACGAACTCGGCGAGCGCAAGCCACCACGGCAGATTCGCCTCCGCTTCGACCCGGACGACCCATATGTCGTGCACCGCAAGAACCTACCCGTTGGTGGTGACCATCGCCAGCTTGCCCAACTCCCGCCGGCGATGACACCGGACAACGTCGTTCGTCTCGAACGCATTGTGCTGCACTCTATGCAGAAGGAGGCCGTCAATAACCGCAGCTCGCTCCTTGGTGTCATCGAAGCATTTCGCGCAATAAGCGGCAAAAACGATGCAGGGGGTGGACGAGCGAAAGGCTCGGGTGTGCAGATTGTCCATGCGAAGAAGAACGTCGGCGGTTGGGCGCGGGCAGGCATACCCACCGGTGTCGTGGTGGACATCGAAGGTGCCCCCATGTACGACTTCGTCAGCACCCTCGTTGAGTTCGTTCTCCCGCGTTTGCGCGAATTCAACGGTATCACCCTCCCTGCACCCTCTGCGAGCACGCAGTCGCCCAGCTCCATCGCAGGCGTCGTGTCATTCGGTCTGCCACCAGATGCCATGGCGCTCTTCCCCCAGATCGAGGTGAACATGGACATGTATCCCAAGATGTACGGCATGCACGTTCAGTTCATCACCAATGCCGTCGGCCTTGGTGCCCAAAAGCGGGCTCAAGCACTCCTCTCTGGTTTCCAGATCCCATTCGCTCGCAAATAGAGCCTTAGACGCGCCATCTTAGTTGCATACTGACACGTTGTTAGTCGTCCCCTCCTCTATCACTCTACTCATTGCTAACAAAATCTGTATATAGAATAACTGCATATATCTATAATACTCTGCCCGCAATCACATCATGACTTTGCTAAATCTGATACGCGCGTTTGTGGCCACGGTCGGACGAAAGTCTGGAGTTAAAGTGTCATGAAACTATCGATGCCATATCTTGTTCAACTGCGCCGTTGTGTGCAACGTGCGATAATCCTGGATAACCCCAACGGCCAGTACAACATAGAATTGCCCATTGTCTGGTGGATGCGTGTGTGGCTATCGCCAAAATGGCCGTAATTAGTGAGCGACCTACGTACATGTTGCGTGCATGTATCCGAAAACAGAGCGTATCAATTCCAAAATCCTTATTGCAGGAGACAGACAAGTGAAGTGAGAAATAAAACAAAAATGCAAGGGGGGTATGCATGCCAATAGTAAGAATGTATCTAAGAGGTATCCATGCCTATATACCTTTATTGGGGCAAGGCCAGTAGGTTATCCATCTGTCTATCTTCATCTTCGACCGCCTTGAGAACCCCAGGATAAATCTGACAGCCTAGAGCGACTCGAGGTAGAGAAACTTCTCTCTGTCGCTGAAGGTCGTCTTTCGCCCCCGCTATCGCTCGACGGCGGGGACGCTAATCTTGATCGCGATGGTGCGGAAAACACTGGCCTAGATGCCGATCCAGAGGCTGACCTACTAGCAGGACCTGACAGGCTCCTCTCCATATGCAATAGATGCGATGACCTCTTGTCCCCTCGTTCGCTACCCGGCGGGCTGAACACTGAGCTAACAGACGCCGACGCCTCCGACGCTGTCCGCCTTGTCTTCTTCGGCGCAACGAAACCGCTCCCAGTTCTGCCCTCTGCAGGCTTTAGCGCACCCGACACCCGGTGTGAACCAGAGGGACGGAGTGCAGGCTCCAGTCCCGGCAGGATCTCGCGTGCGAGCTCGCGGACGAGCACCGCGCCGTCGTCCGCACTCAGGCGACGCACGAGTGAGTCGAGGCCGTACCGCTCGACGAGCATCAGACGGTTCGGGTGCACGTCACAGGCCGTACGGAGGATACGCAGCAGGTTCAGCCGTACGACAGCACGCGAGGCACCGCCACCCGAGCTTGGCCCAAGGCGTTCGACGATGCGCCGGAAGAAGGGAGCGCGAGCGAGCCCAACAGTGACACCTGTGGACAGCCGCATAATCTTGAGAAAAGGGTCAAGCAGATTCTCGAATGAATTGGCTTTGGCGTTCACGAAGCACGTAACGAGTGCATCAAGGGAGTCGGGTTTGATGAGCTCATCCTCAATCTTGGCAGTCTCATCTTGTAACCAGGAGAGGATGGCCTCGAGTGCGCTAACCTGGAAGTAGGGATCCGACAAAAGGCCAAGGTACATAGAAAGACCATTGTTTTGCCACAATAACTTGCGACAGCTCTTCCCTGCGCTTGCGAGGTCGCAAAGGATAGGAAGGGCAAATTGTTTGAGGGGCGATGTCGTCTCACTCACGCGCTGCAGGCAGGGTATGATGCCCGCTTGCGCTGCTTCCTCTTGCCGAAGCTTGTTGAGCCTGCAAAGGTTGTAACAGGTCTGGAATATATGATTCGACATTTCCTGAAAGCGGACTTGTCAGTCCGCATTCGCATCGCCTAAGAGACAAGACATACCGCACTGTGAGGACCGAACCGTTGCTCATCAAGCAGCCTCACAAGGATCTCAATTGCATTGGCATTCTGTATCACCTCGAGCAAAGTCGCGTTCATCGACAAGTGCTTGACCGCCTTAAGCATCTGAACGACACACTCCGGCTCGAGCAGCTCGCACGCCCTGAGGAGACCTGTATGAGTTGTTTAGCATAAATCCAGCCAGAAACGACACTAAAGAACCCACGCCGAATGATCTTCCGTGTACCCATAGCGTTTCTCACATGTATGTCGCTCATTGTCACCTGCGAGAAGACGAGCAGAATCTGGATGATCCTGTGCTTCATCTCCAACGCCTCGGGCGACTTGTTGCCCATCACATTCAGAAGTGCTGCCGATAGTGGATCCAGCAGACCTTCGCGGATAAACATACGGCAAAAGTCGTTCTTCGTCGTCGGGCTTTGCAGTTCGAAAACACTGCAGATGCCGTGAAGGGCATGCTCCACGAGCTCGCTTTGTTCAGTGTAGTCCTCATCGAGCAGGTCAACCAGCACCTTGAGTCCTCGATTTCTAAGCGGATATAATTGAGGCAGCGAAAAATGCCAGATGAGTCGAAGCTTACGAGATGAACATCTGCAAAGTGAGAACCGAGGTATGGCAAAGAAGCCGGACAAAATTTGAGGCTTCTTGTCTGCATTCCGAAGAGTACCGTTTCGACGTAAACCCTGTGGATGAGTTAGAAATTTGAGCGGACCGAGTATTTGGCCGCATATTATCTCACCCATCATCACGGGGATGCCTCCGATGAGACAGAAGCTCTCAAGGAAGCCGACGTCAGAGGTAACGAGCTATAAATGATTGAGCATACAATTGGAAATCGACTATAGCTAACCCACGATGTTGATGATTTGTAGGAGTTTCATGAGGACGTCCCGGGAAGGTTTCCCCTCCATCACTTCGAGGATCGCTAGCATACCGTGAGCAGAAACAAGCTGAGCCTGCATCTCGGGAGCCTCAATTAAGATAGATATCTACGTGTCCAATGTCAGTGAAGTCATATTCCTTTAAGACGAACTGCAATCACAAGTTGTTCGCATGCCTCTCGAAGCTGGAACTCAGCTGCAGAAGGTGTCAGCTCGTCGATGAGCTCATTGACCATGCTAGTGAGGCGGGCATGCTTGTCACGCAGCAGATTGGTCTCCAGGTCATCTTCGGCGAAGCCCTCGTCAATCTGAAATACAAAACATTGTGAGCGAGAAGTCGATGGCAAGTGGTGCGATATTTTCTTACCTCGGCGAACGGATCGTCGTCATCATCTTCGTCTCCACGCTAAAAGCCCTCTTGAGTATCAGTAAACGTTAAACAAAGGCAAATTCGTACCCAGGATTTGTTGGAATATCGAGTGTTCAATTGCAACGTCTGCGTAGGCTCAGTCGCTAATAAGCCACCATGTTAGTGCTGTCAATGATACAGTCCTAGGAAGAGAATATGCATACATCCAACGCTGGGCTTCCCAAACACATCATCATAGTCCTCGACGTCATCCTCCGCATACTTGTCAATTTCAGTCTGGCTAGCAATCCTTCTTGCCTCAGCTCGAGTGAACGAGCCCGAGCTGCTTGAAAATGAGCCGACGAATGAAGATGACCTCGAATGTGAGTGCGAGCGTGTCGGACCTAAAGATGGCCTCGATGGTCGTTTTGAGAGCGCGCGCAGGAAAGATGGGGGTGAGTTCTCGACGTTAGGGAGGGGTGCTGAAAGCGGCCCTGGCGAGTGGGAGGGGGAGGAAAAGCTGGACAGGCTTTGAGTTATACCGAGCACCCTGATGTCGTTTGGGTGGAAGAGACCTTTGCGGACCGAGTTCTTGAGCTTAAAGTCTGCAACCTTCTCCTGGAGAAGCATCTCGTCCTCTTCAGAAGCAAGGTCCGAGTAGTCCTCCACAATTGGCGGTATCTCGGAGGCCGGAGCTTTGGCGAGTGGAATGGTGGCCCCGCCTACGGGACTGCGCTGGGCGCGGATGGTCTGGTTATTGTCTTCAGGATCTTGCTTGTCGTCCTCCGACTCCGAGCTACTGTTCTTCTCAAGCGCTATGAATGAAATCAGATGTTGGATTGTATGAGATATCAGAGCTCCTTTATTACCTGCTAGCTTGGTAAACGAGATGCCATCTTCGAAGTCATCATCCCAGTTGTCCGTCTCATCTTCTGGAGGCTGCAGCGTGAACGCAAGCGGTTCACGGATCTTCTCCACAAGCCCAAGTGGCACTGACGCTTTCGTGTTAGCGGGCGGACCGGCCTTCAAAAGCGCAGGCGCAGCCACACCAGTTGGGTGCAAGCCAAGCGCAGAATTCTGCATGAGCGAGATCGCAGGCTTATCCCGCGAAGGTGGAGTAGGTGAAGGCGGAGCTTCGTGCACACTTGACCTTGACGCCTGCTTGATGGGGCGATGTGGGGCTGTCAAGGGATTGTCATTTCATGCCACCAACTGAGACAACGATGAAACGGCATACACTTGAGGGCTTCATTCCATTCCTGCACCTTCAGCACGGCCTCATCATAATTGTAATTACTGCGCGGTCGCTCCTTGTTCCCGTTGGATCCCCGCTGCCCGTTCGCTGGCGGCCCACTCTCATTTATTGAAGCTACGTCCATCTGCTTCCTGGCGGATATCATCCAAGGATGCCGGAGGAGCTTCTTTGCAGATATTCGCAGGTTGCTATCTTTCTGGAAGCAGTGAAGCAGGAAATCTTTTACAATCGGAGAGGCACCGTCCGGTATTGGAGGACAGTCATCTTGTACAATGCGGAATAATGCTGGCATAGGATCAAGGAAATGATATGGTGGTCGTCCTTCTAGAAGTTCTATCACCACACAGCCAACACTCCTGCAAAAATTTCTGTGAGATTGGATTATAGCTAGCATATAGCCAAGGTACTAACCACACATCTGATGCTGTAGTCGCTCCCGACTGTTCTATCACTTCCGGAGCCACTATAAATGTCGACTCGTCAGTTATCATAGTATCCCTCTTGAAGACAGTTACCTACTCCAGTATGGACTCCCAACCACAGCATCATCGCTCGTACCAGCAGCAGCAGTACTGGCTACACCAAAATCCGCGAGCTTGACACATCCGTCCTTGTTTGTGAGGAGATTAGCGCCCTTGATGTCGCGATGGATCACACCCTGGTCGTGCAAATACACAAGACCCTCAAGGACCTGACATATGTAAACTGCAACGAGGTTTTCCGGGAACTTGCCAAAACGCTTGCAAATGGTGTTTAACGATCCATTCTCGCAGAATCTGAACCCATGTTTTGAGAAAAGGCATGAACGAGGAAATGCTCAAGCGTACTCAAGAATGATATATAGATATTCCTTGGTTTTGACAAACCCCTTGTACTTGACGATGTTAGGGTGCTGGTAGTGATCGAAAGTTAGGGGCGTTTATGAAAAACGGGTCGTGCGGACGCACATTGAGGTTCTTCAGTAGGTCGATCTCGGACTGGATGCGTTCTTCAGACACATACAAGGCCTAGACGCGTAAACGACGGACCATAATCTGCCCCAGCTCTCCCTTTGGTATGTTACTAAGCTGTATCTCCTTGACCGCGACAGTCTCCCCAGTGGCCCAATTAAGGGCACCTGTACGCGCGACGCCGTCAGCCCTCCTACGTTCTTGTCTTCCCGAAGGCGTACGCACGGTAGACCTGGCCAAAAGCGCCCTTTCCGAGCGAGTCCCCGAGTTGCTGTCGCGGAATTTAGCCTTCGGGATAATCCCCACATGAGAATGAAGAGACGCACATAATCATTGAGCAACTTTGAGCCAGAGTTTCTGGCGTGTCTGCCGGGGCTAGTGGATGTGGACTTGGACATGGTATCTAGTCCCTGCGGGTAATGGCTATAGCCGATGTCGGGTATGAAGTGGTATTGGACGGGAAGTCGTACGGAAGGTAACGTGGGGGAAACTTAAGAAGGACCGGACGTGAAGTGGTTTTAAGGGTATCGGATGCTGTGAAATGGATGGGATTGAGAGAGTGAATTGTTTTAAGCCGGCTCCTTGAGTGAGAGTCGCGTCCTGCGCTGACTGTGGTTGTATGCAGCCAAACAACAGACCCTCGCTCACTGGAGGTGACTGAACTGGCTGGACGCGCCCAACCTCTATCAGCCCAAATAGGTAATCTGTGCCTCTCACACGGCCTCCCTAAAATTCCCCGATCGCGCATAACCTGGCAACCGCACTAACAGCACACTACCCCAAGTACTAGCAGCCGCGCTACTTTGACCAACCCGTTTGTAAGCACTCGTCCACATAATATACTGCCCTACCACCACTGAATGACCACTAAATGACGAATGATGATGCGGATTGCCCGTAACTGGTACATACATACACATGTATTATGCTACGATGCTAGAATAAAAAGTCCTTGCAATAATGATAGTACAGTACATCCAATGCGGCTCTGTCGGACACTGTCACCCACTACCACTCCCAGGCAGTCCGAACACTCGTTCAATAGGCGTCTGTGGAAGCGCCCGGAGCGTTCTGGGTGTTGTGGGTGTGAGTGGTGTATTCGGCGTTTGAGATGCAGCCGCAATGGGGGGCGGTACCGGCAGTGTTCTTGATAACCGCTGAGACTGTGCCTCGACGTCCCCAGAAAACGAAAATGCAGCCGATCGTGCCGACACTGGTCGTAGCTGGAACGACTCGCTTCGACTCGAATATGGATGCGGTATTGACTCATTGTCCGAGGTCCACCTCCGACGCGAGAAAAAGTCATTCGCGTTCGAGTTTGGCACGTAGTATCGGAGGGTGTCGTCGTCTTCTGGCCCTTCATGGTGTGGAAAGAGGTCGGCGCGAGCGGAATGGGGGTTTTCAAAGCGAAGGTCATCTTCGCATTCGCTATGCTGCCGCCGCGCCAATCGCGCGTTACGATCCGACTCGCGGACAAAGAACCGCAGATCATCCTCGAACTCCTCGCGTCGGGGAGAACGCGTCGAATGTACAGACGCGCTCCGCGCTGAAGGTGGGGGCGAAGCAAATAGCATCACCTCGCCCGGTGACTCGGCCCGGTGTTCAAGATCCTGCGTGGGTGATAGTCGCAACTCCTCGTCTGTAAAATGATCCACCGGAGAACTCGGTTGTAGTGGTGAGCCCGCCAGCGACATGTCGAGGATAGTACTTAGTCGCTTGCGCCGCGGTGGCACTTCGAATGGGTCCGAGACTCGGATGGTTGGAGAATCAGACATATCCGAGTCGGCTGAGCCTGGACGTTTGCTGTAGTTGCCGTAGTTGATAGCTGGTGGCACAAATGCAGATGCAGAACGACTTGAAAAAGACTTTGTCTGCGATGAATGCCGGGACTGGAGCCGGGTGGTATCGCTGGTGATTATCCCCGAAGAGTCGTCGTCAATTGTTTGAGCGTCCCCATATCGATCTTTCTTCCGTATGTTCAGCGTTATGCGAGACATCATCGTGACAGTGACTCTTTACACATATGTTAGCTCTCGGACAATGGAAGCGAGTGAACACTTTGCTCACAATAGTTCAAGTCTAGAGAAACTCAACGTTAACTCGGTTATACTGACCATATCGAAAGGATACGTACTGTGCTGTGATGTTTTGTAACCCTGGCGGTGCACGGACAATCATGATGGTAAGGACGAGGTTGATGCAGCAAATGACGCTATGATTCATATCAGTAATCCTAATCCTCTGAGAATTCTCTAGACACTAGTACCGACCTATAATAAAGTAAACCATCGGCGAATAAAGAATGGATAACAAAGCCAGCTTGTTTGTGCAGAATGTGAGGGAGCGTGCGATACAGTGTGAGACCGAATACGACAGTGTCGTAGAGGAGGGGAAGCCAAGCAGTCGAGGCTGCAGCGGCTCGATTGCTGATAGTCCGTCAGTTACTAGTGCAACAGGACGCAAAAATGTTGCTCACGCAGAAGAGCTAAAAATCATTGTGCAAGCTGAACACAAGGTCAGGGGATCGCCCGCTATTCATGTGGTATGTACTCACAATGAACCCCATCGCCGTTGTGGTCGACGGCTATTCTGCAAGTTAGTCTTCGTATGTATCCAGAAAGATACGGCACATACGTCCAGCCCCGGCCAACAGCCATGCAGTAACTCCAACCCACACAGCGAAGATAACGAGGACGGCGGCGATTACGGGATTTTTGCCGGGGTACATGGCACGTACCCTGTATCCACATGTTGAATATTCCAATGAATACGTGCGGGGAGGACTGAAATCTCACCGTAAGAGCATCATCAATCCCGCAAGCTCAATCCCAATAGCAGTCATCGCACCCTCGAACCTCACAAAATGCCCACATCTTGACAAATGGTCAACAAACGAAACCTTGGTGGAACGAGGGCACGGAACTCACTCCTACGTCAACAGGTTAGCGCCGGGCGACGTCATCAGCCTGATGGGTGAAATGCTGACTTACCGATTGTTTCCATGAAGGCAATGTGTACGCTAAACCCAGTCATAGGCATCAAAATTCAGCCTCCCCCACGGACGTCTGATTGGGGATGTATACGTACCAACGAGGTTGATGATGAATCCCAACGGGGTGAGGTACCTGTTCTGAAACGTCGGTCAATACCACCAAGGAATGTGAAACATACAAGGGGACGTACTATTAAGAACAGATATATTGCTAATCTCCGTTCAGCACGCAAGCAACGCACTGAGTGCAGCAGGAAACATACGCAGGCCCTTTTTGCCAGTCCAGATCAAATCGACCTGAGGCAGTCCACGTTGAGCACAATTCACAAGGACCCAAGCATTGAATATGAGCACTCACCTCGTCTCCAAAAGTGATCAAGTGGTCCCAAATGTAAACAGTGAATCCTACGAACCCCACGAACTGGACTCGTCCCTTTAGCTGCTACACATCCGCCTATTCAAGTTGTCAGACTCACCAGGGTCCGCATACTAAATGAATCCTTCTAAGTAAAATCATTTTTTGGACATGGTGATCTGCCACTTACGACGCTAGCTCATCCTCATAAGTGTTCGCAAGCTGGCTTTCGGCGAGGAACATTGCGAGGGGGGAGGGGGTCCTCGGGGAGTCCGAATAGCATGCAAGAAGGGAGTCCGGGCGCGGGGCGTCGAGAGCCCGTACTTTATAACACCACCATGTGCAGTTCCACTCTTGCCCAGACTATGGGTGCTGATCTCACTGTCAGATTGGTGCCTTCCGCCTGGCGCCCACTCATTGCAGCCAGATGCGAACCTGTGCAATGTCCGGCTGCGCTCGGCGTAAGCTGGTGTAAACTGGCGGGGAGATCAGCGGAGTGCATATTGAGCGATCTAACGGGATGAGGAAAAATGAGGAAGTGCAACCGTGATGCCAATTTGCTTCGCGACGAAGCCAGTCAGGTGTGCCTGGGCCACGTTTAGCGGGGAAGTGGCTGTGTGCCCAACGCAGACGCAACAAGCTCTCGAGACATCCCTCCGGTTCATTCGCGCCGTCAAGGGCCAGCTGACCTATGGGACAGCGAATAGCATGGTATATTAAGTAAGGGTCCACTAAAGAAACTGCCGTAGTCCGTAAGACACGCCATAGATTAGAAATAATAAGAACCTGCAAGAAGCTATCGGTATACCAATCCAACACCGACTCCCTCGGGTGAGACGTACATAAAGTCATGAGCATCATTGGGGCCGGTGATGGGCCGCTCTATGACAGGATCTGGAAAACAGCAAGGGTTGAACAACGTCCCATCATAATAAAAGTCATTTAAGGGACGTGGCTTACCGCCAGCAGTACAATAGCCACCACAATCACGAGGATAATCATCAAGCATGCTGCGCGGCGACCCGCCTTCCTCTGGTATTCCGACGCAGTCGAGAGTTCCTCTGCAGCACCTTGGGTATCATTGGCAATTGAATAGACATTGGACTCAATGTTGTCTGCGCAACCGAAGCTTCAGAAGGTCTTTGCATCCGACTTCGATTATTGGCGTACCTATCATTCCACCTTGTTGATTGACGAGCGTGCCTAGGTCTCGGAATATCTCCGACAGCTCATGAATGCCGGTCTCTATTTCTTGAATTTCACGCTCCCGCTCCTGGACGAGCGACTCCTGGTAAGCGAGTTCATGTGGGGATAGCTGTGATTGCAGCAATTGAGCCTGACGTTGTTGCGGTGACGCGGAAGGATCAAGTGCTCTGCGGTTAGATGATTGTGCTTCAGCATCATCATCACCTGCAAATAATTTTTGCTTACTGTTGCTCGCCAGTATGTTCGTCATCAACTGCGAGTTTCACGCCCTCAACAACTGTCCGTTGCCTCTCGGCGCTAACTTGTTGGGCGCGCTGAAATGCTACAAGCGACAGTTGAAGATCATGCGAAGTCTTCTGCAATGCTGCCTTCTGTTGTGACTGTCTCATTCATCAGTCAGAGGTGGAGCTCAATATGTCTTTATCGTACTGTGGACGTCGGCATTGATGCGAGGCTCTTGAGGTCCTCGGACCCACGCTTGGACATGGCCCTGGTGGCCTCTGTAAGGTCATGTCTGTGAAACCAAGTTAGACTCATCTCTCGTTATATGATATAGATCGTACAATCGCTTCCTAAGACTAGCGGAGTCTCTACCAGTCCCCAGTTCGTCGACAAGCTTCAGAATACCCTGAACATTGGAGTTGATCTTGAACACCTGAAGAGCGAGGGAAGACTGAAGGGAATCGAATGCAGCCCTTTCAGGGGACTGGGAAGGCGCGGGGACTGCATGAGACGGCCTTGACAGACCTGCTTCTATATCTGCAAAGCTCATGAGTGTGTTCGTAGATGGACTTGAGGTACAGGAGTGGTGGGGAGCGCAGTGACTACGGTCTCGCGGGTGCCGCCCCTGCGGCGCGCTGTTGTGGAACCCACTCACATTACGTAATGTCTTGTACCCGCGCGCGTCACGGCTGTCCAACTTCGACCGCGACCTACCACGACCCTTCCGCTTGAGCTCATCTCAAGCGCTCATGCAGGGTGCCTACGCGCTCTCCTTCACTGCTTCACAACCTCATCCCTGGCATTTTGAAGTAGCACTCTTCCTGGAAGACCCATGACTGTTCCTTCGACTGGTCCGCGGAGACACACAACTCCCAGACTAGTTCCTTGAATACTTTCTCACTAAGAATAACCAACCATCCTCGTGATCGACGCATGAATATGACCTGGGGAAACGAGCGGTCTGGCGGCCCGTCATGCTAGCATATATTCATTGTCCTCGACCATGACACTCGTTGGATATTCACAGATATGCAGTTCCTCTCAGCTACGCCTCCCTTGGCCATCCTTGGTTGCCTGCTCATTGGAGTAGCGCAAGTAACCGCTCTCTCCCCCGAGTATATTGCGTGTCAGCTGCAGAAGAATGCGAGTGTATCGCCTCTTGAAGGGTGCCCCGAGAGCACGATCTTTGTGTCTCCAAGTGACTCCCGCGCAAACTACACAAGCATACAACAAGCCGTGCTTTCTTTGTGAGTTCTAGATTGCGCATTTTATTACAACCAACCTTCTAGTCTTCTGGACTGATGACCAAAACAGACCCGACACAGGAAATGCGACTATCCTCATTGGAGAGGGTGAATATTTTGAGAAAGTCAACATCTCTCGAACTGACCCTCTTACTCTTCTGGTACAAACTATCTTGTTTGCGATTTATTAACTTGCTCATACTTTCGGGCCTTAGGGTCAGCTCAATCCAGACACGGCATTTTTGACTACAGCCAACGCAACTTCTCGTAACCTCGTCCACATCTGGTACAATGTGTACGCCAACAATACGTTGGGCATGGATGATGCCGCATCTGCAGTCCTAACAGTTGCGCCAAACTACGCTGGTGCCCTCATAGGCGCGGGAACGTGGGGTCCGCCTTATCAGTCAGATTTTGGAAACACTGATTTCAGGATGTACAATATCGATGTCTCCAACCGGGCTGTGCGTCGTCAGCTGTTTCCTAAACTCACGCTGCGGTATTGATAGTAGTGGCGTTTGCTGTGGGACTTGTGGATTGCGGCGAATAGGCGAACTATTCTATTTCCCAAGCCCTTGCCACCGACATCTCATATGCAAACGCGTCTTTCTACGGGTGTACGTTTGCAAGCTACCAGGACACTTGGTACACAGGCAAGAACGCAAGCACCTACGTTGTTGACAGTATTATCTATGGGCAAACGGACTGTAAGCAGTTTTGTATTTCCACCCCAGACTACTGGTTGACCTCGTTCAGATCTATTTGGGTTTGGCACTGCGTACGCTGTGTATTGTGCCCCCTTATGAAAAGTCTGCTAACGCTTCTGGTCCAGTTGGTTCCAACACGTCACTCTTGCAAATCGTGCTTGCGGCGGTGGTATTGTAGCGTGGAAAGGCTCCAACGACACTGCTGCCCCAGGCAATCGTTTCGGCGCTTACATCTCGGACTCATTTATCATGAGGGTACGTTTTACCTTCGATTCCTACCTCATCTACTGAAAGGCTTGCTGTCCTCTGTTCCTTCAACCTGGTTTACGGATATCTGCGATGCGACTTCTCCCTCTATTAGTCTCCTGATGCGAATGAGACTGCAGTGACATATCAGTCTTGCTGGCTCGGTTAGTTCTACAACCGTCGGTATCAAGCTGCATTATATGATCTCATTACCTTTAGGTCGTCCATGGAACGATCTTGCTACAACTGTCTACCTTAGGACATATATGGACGACAGCATACAACCTGCTGGATTTATGCCGTTCGACAGCGCTCGGTAAGTCGTAGGGCCGCCTCCCTCGGCTCCCTTTCCAACTATCTCGGCATATGCTAACCATGAACCTCGTACAGCCCCGTAATTGCGAATACGACCTATTATGCGGAGTATGCATCGTATGGTACGTTTGTAGCGTATATGACAAGCATGACGTTGTAAACTAAGTTTCATTCCTTTCATTAGGCCCAGGCGCAAACACATCTACCCGTGTTCCCATCGAGCATCTTTTGGACACCGACGAGACGTCGAACTTTACCTTGGCTGGTGTCTTCTTGGAGCAACCTCAATGGATTGATTATGAGTACGTATATTGACGTCCTACGGACCACGAATGAGCGTGATTGTGTGCATTTTTCATCCACGGCTCTGTCATATTGGCTTTTGACACGATCGCGAGCCACGTACTGCGATGGCTGCCCGTTTATCACGATACGTTTTATAGAAATTGGATGTTGAGACGTTGTTTTCAGCGCTCTGAAAACGTTACCCATGGTACAAACATTTAAGGGCCAAAAAACCACCCCATCCCCCAATCTTGGACTAATTTTCATCCAATCTCCATGACCATGCAAGACTGACCTGCGGGAGTGGGGACATTTGGTGCATCTACAAATCCAACCTTGCGGTAGAATGCGTGCGCAGCAGCATTCCCCTCCGTAACGTTGAGCGCAAGCATCCTCTTCTTCGGTACACATCCGTTCTCCTTGGAGCAGCTGCCCAGACTGCCCGAAACCTGGTTCTCCTCCCCCTCTACCCAGTTTTCAATATCAAAGCCGCGCGCCCACTCCTTCCCTGTCTTCAAAAGCTCCACGGCAACATCACGCCCTCGATGCGCTGGATCGACCCACATGCCGTGAATAATGAATATATCCCAGTCGGCCGTGAGCCCGGTTTTTTCAAACTGGTCCCATGCTAGAGGGAGATTGACAGCTGCACATGGAGAAAGGATGGTCATTGTCGCCACGCCTGCCTCTCCCCCTGCGAACCAGTCGCTGTCGCCCTCAGGCTGTACTACCCCTTGCAGAGTGATCCAAGAACGTCGTTCGGAGGGTTCGAGGCGCACTGTCCAGATATCGTCGGTGAACACGACCTCGCGATTGTAGTTTGAGCCGAACGCCGATGGATCCGTTCCCAAGGCCAGCAGGCGCGTTGAACGGTAGGATGCTATGATAGATGGCGTTATGGGAGTAAGGATAGGACGATGCGAGTATAAGCGTGGAGTTCTCGAGTCCTCTGAATCCATCTGTAGAGATGACTCCACTGCATGCGATGAGCTGTTATAGACCTGTTGGTGAGCAAAGACGAGGTTTTTGAATACTTTTGCCAGCCTAGAGCTCGAATCATTAGCCGTCACCACGAGTCAGAGTCCATGAGCTTCATAGGCGCCAGGGCAACTGTCACGGACAAGGTCTGCCTCCGTTACTGAAAGAATATAAGCGCTAGCCAAGGGTATAAAGTTATCACCCGCCATAGTGGTCGGTTAGAGTCAAACAACAGCACGCTTTGCCAATATCGAGGTCCCCTTCAATCGTCGTGCGCCCCAATGTCCTTCCGCCTGCCACATTCCATCATGAGAATATCATAATCAAGATCGTGATAGTCTTTCTCTGCATATGGGGACCATTCAGTATTATTACAGTGTTAATTACATGACGATATTGTCGCTGTAGTCCACATGAGAAGAGCCATAAAGATCCGTGGCATCTGTGTAATCTGGAGGTGAACTGTGAAGCCGATTCCTACGAGGAATATAAACATCGGTGGCCCACTTAAAAGCTTCCAGTCGCTCCTCAAACCAAGCAATATCTTGTTCCGAAGGCCCGTCTCCAGGCTGATATACTGCAAGGCACAGCAGTTGCTCCTCCCAGGCAGAAACCGCATTCCGGAACAGTTCGACGGAAAACAGGTTGTCGTCGGTATAAAGTACCAGAGCATCCATGTTTTCGGGAGGGTGCTCTATCATAGTTTCGAGGACTCTTTTGTTGAACCCGGGACAATGCTGGACATTTAGAAAGGAACCCTTCCAGCTCTTGAGCACCTGTATGAGTCCTTTTTCACCCTCTATGTCGTATAGGTTCAGTGACGACGCCCCGAGAGGAGCTTCCCAACCTCCCTCGAAGTCACAGTGTGTGATATTCGCTGTGTCGACGCCGGGGTAGCCGTTAAAAAAGCGAGACAGAGTAGTCCCTCGGAGCCCCTGCAGACAAACGCGTCCAATGTTCGTGGAAATACTGTCCTCTGATTCCACGCTGTTGAATTCGACGTTTTCTTCGACAGCAAAGAGGGTGAGATGGGCGCAACGGTTCAAGCTGGCGTAGACGCTATCCATAGTCAACTCAGAAGACATCCCCATATCGGTGGGAGCATAGTGCGTGAGGGTGATCTTACGTTCGGATATCTCGTTCGTTGGCTCCTCCATCCAGATGCGCTCCCCGCCCGCAAAGCTTTTCCCGTCCAATTCTAGAGTAGAAAGTTTAGGGGCGAGGAATTCGCCGTCGCAAGGCAGGGTGTCTTGGTTGTCGATGACTTGCGACTTGAGAATGAGCATGCGGAGGTGAGGGAAGGATCCTCGCAGGTAAGCTCCGGCAACCTTTGCTTGTTCCGTCGCGTTAGCCATACATGGAAGGGTTGGTGTCGAGAGTACTCCCGATAGCCCCGCACTAAGACAGGAGTGGTAGAGGGAGAGTCGACATAGATGACGATGCGATCCCAGTAGGTAGAAACCTGCCCGAGCAAAGCTGACCATCTCTGGCAAACTTCGGCCAAGGCGAAGGGGAACAAGTTAGGCGAAGACACATCCTTATATTTCCATGACCAATATCTGGAATTATGACGGTCGAGAAACCTCGGGGGTACGGGAAGTTCGCATGCTTCCAGAGCTACCCATTCTGTATTCCACCTCCTGGCACGACTATTGAGGAAGACTAGTCTGAATATCATTAGGAGAATCTCTGCAGGCAACCGCTGGATCGGTGGGGCAAGTGACAACATGTTCACAAAAGTTTCACGGAGCTGCATGTTGTTAGTAAATATGCCATACACCACTGTGCTGGATGCTAAAACTGCTAGATACCTAGTAGGTTTGAGATGACCGAGTCAGATCTATGCCCCTTTCCAAGCGCAAAGGAACGAGGAGAACAAATTGGATCGTCATTGACATGGACCGCGACGAGTAATTGCAAAGCACGACGCGTCTTCAGACCTCAGGAATCGATATTGCCTCCGAGACCTCTCAGTGACTCTCATGGCGAATCTGTCTGAGTCATGCTTTACTTCCGCTCCATTTAACAATAATCTATAGTAATAGCGAAACTCGACCTTTGACCTCGGTACATCATCGCCATGCCGGAAGGACTCGGACCAACCCAAGTCTATGCTCTGCAAACGCTGCGGGGCGACGGACTACATCCCAGTCTGTCCGAGTCTCAGAGGAGTCTCCCTGCGACTTCCGAAGGCCACTCCGATGCCGAAAACCGTGCAGAGGCGGACCGTCGCAGCGTACTCTTTGACACCGTTGTATCTGATAATGTCGCGCCTCCTGATGCAGCGACAGCCCCCAGCAAGAAGTACCAGGCCATGCTGCTCCTGTCTGGCTTCTTCATGATCTTCCAGGTCATAGGTCTGAACACGATCTATGGAGTCTTTCAGGCGAGTACATGGAAGCCACTGAACCTCGTTTACAGAGCACTAGACCAAGCTTGCTGCCTTCCAGGACTTTTATACTTCACAAGAAAGTAATATCCCTGGTGCCATCGGACAAGACGCTCTTGTATCGCTTGCTGGTGCTGTCGGGGCAGGTCTCACATGGAGCGGGAGCATCTTTGTCAATCCCCTCATGACTCGCGTCAAGGACGTGCGCATAATAACTGTTGCTGGAGCTTTCATCATGTGCTTTGGCCTCTTCTTCGCCAGCTTCAACACAAAGGTACACGATCCGTCTCTGCCCTCATCTAGTACGGAAATAACCACTCGTGTTTTCAGCTTTGGCACCTGTACCTAACCCAGGCGCTCATGTACGGCATCGGCTCGTCCATGTACTACTTCCCCATCATGTCCATCGCGCCCGTGTACTTCGACCGGCACCGCGGCTTCGCCATGGGCTTCATCCTCGCCGGGAACGGCTGCGGCGGCCTCGTGCTCGCGCCCGCCACCAACGCACTCATCTCGCACCTCGGCATCCGGTGGGCCCTGCGCATCCTCGGGCTCGTCAATCTGGCCCTAGCCATACCTGCCGCTTGTGTGGTGAAGCAGCGCCCGGGCTACAAGGTGGGCGGCGGTCTGAAGGTTAGCATGGGCCTCGTCAAGCAAGGGACGTTCTTGTGGCAGGTCGGTCCTCTTTTCGCCGTCAACAGCTGGCGTGGCTTCTGCTGAATCTGGCCGTTTTGTTTTTTTGGTGGTTAGTCCCTGGGCGCATTCCTGCAGGCCGCGGGCAACTTTGTGCCGATGATATACATGGCGACGTACTCCACGTCCGTCCTGGGATACTCGGCCTCAACCGCCAGTCTGGTCATCGCGCTGAACAACGGCGTGAATAGCATATCCCGCGTGCTCATGGGCGTCCTCGCCGACCGCGTCGGCAGGCAAAACACCATGTTCGTCGGTGTAAGTACCAGGCACTCCTTTCATCTCTGCCCTATCATTTCTTCCCACTAAATATCTGAAACCCACACCAGGCCCTCCTCTCCGCCCTCGCCGTCTTCGCCCTCTGGTTCGACGCCGGCCGCGCCCGCTTCCTCGTCTTCGTCGTCTTCTACGGCGCCGTCGCGGGCGGATACAACGCCCTCCTCCAGACGACCATCACCGACGTCTTCGGCGTGCACAACTACCCCGCCGTCAACGGCCTCATCTTCTTCCTCCGCGGCATCGGCTCCCTCGCCGGCGCGCCCGTCGCCGGTGTCATCCTCGGCTCGCACAGCCGTACGACCAGCACAAGTCCGAACTCGAGCTCGAGCTCGAGCTCGATGGGGGCGGGGATGCCGGACCTGTGGGCGCTGCGCAAGCGGTACAACGAGGTCGTGTACTTTGACGGGGCACTGCTCGCCGCGTCGGCGCTGTGCATCGGGTACGTGCGCTGGCTCGACGCGCGGAACAAGGGTCGGTGGGCTTGGAAGGCCTAACCCGAAGCACTTCTTGTGGTAATTACATAGCGCACTAGCACTCGTCTTGTTCGTTACCCGAGACACTCGATCACATCACATTCTGAAGTCGACATGAACTTGCCACGAATGAACAAACAGCCTGCCCGGCAAAAAAAGAGTTAAAAGCAGCTATGCACTGCCATTCAAGTTAATTCTAATATATTAAAATAGCGTAGGGATAGTTCGGGAGAGCAAAGGAATTCCGTGGTACAAAAAACGTAAACTCAAGCACCCAGCAGCGGCAGCAGCACCCAGCGGCAATCGCAGCAGCAGGAAAAGCGAATCGAAAAAATTAAAACCAAAGAAGAATAGGAAAAAAGCGGAAACGATTGTCTTTTAGTAATATGTTGCGCAGCATGATGCAGGGACCATCTGGGCCGCCGCCGCCGCCATATGCAACGACTGTGAAAAAGTATGCGTATTGGTTCAGACTAATGGGAATGCGTACGTTGTATGGATGAGAGAGAAAGGGACAGGGAAGGTTAAAAGAGCGACGAGGGTTGGCGTTGAGGTTGGGATTGGGGTTAGGGGGAGGAGATTAGGAAGGGGGGACTCCGATCCTCGGAGGAACTTCGACTCGAGGACGGAGCATGCGAGCATGCAGAAATATGTACAGGTTACTGTATATGCGCGTAAAAGACCCAGGCGAGAAGACCGGACCCCAAAAGTGAGGATGGAAAAAGGGGACACAAAACTACGAGACATGAAGGAGAAAAGAATGGAAAAAATGAGGAAGTAAAAAAAGAAAAAGAAAAAAGAAGAAAAAAAAGTCGTGAACGGGCATGAAAGGACACAAACACCACACTGAACAACTGATCAAACCACCAAGTCCATGAACAGCCATCACCACCCACCAAACCAATCCAGAGCAGCAGCAGCGCACGCGGCACTACATAATCGTGCACTTGCAGCACCCACCCTTGGCCTCCTCCTCCTCCCCTCCCTGCCCCATCCCCGCCTGCTGCTCCTGCATCTCCGCCGCAAACTGCTGCTGCCCCTGGTCCTGCCCTTCCACAGTCGCAGCCCGATAATGCGCAAACGGCGCCGGCGACTGCATCCCCGACGGGCGGCCCTGCGGCACCCCCTGCATCTGCATCTGCATCTGCGCATGCGGTCCCGGCTGCGATGCCACGGTCGGATCGCGGCCGTGCACAGGCAGCAGCGCCTCCGAGAGATCCGTGAACTGGTCCGAGGTGCCGGTGCGGGACGAGGGGTCCTGGGTGTGCATGTACGCCGTGGCGGCGGGTGGGTCTTCGAGGATGGGTGTAGAGGTAGGGTGTTGGCGGGAGAGGCGGGCGAGCGGGATGGGCATATCGTTGTCGTCGCCGTCGCGCGGGGGGCGGTACTTTGAGTGGTCGAACCCAAACGTGCCGGGTGCCTATTATGGGTGGGCAGAGAGGTGAGTATGAGGTGAGTATAACGAGCAAGGGGGGGTTGTGTGCATGTAAAACAGCATAAAAAATTGGCCTGCAAAGAGACGAAAGGAACACGAGATAAACAAATTGTACAACGCAAAAAAGACGCACCGGCTCAACAGGTATACTCCCCGCCGGCAACGCACGCGGACTCCCATCCGCCTGCTCATAATGATCATCCATCCCCTTCTTGCGCGCAACCACAGGCAACACGACCTATACATCCCAGTCAGCACAACTCCCCCGACCAGAAGAAAAACGCATCAGGACAACACACCTCATCCCAATTACCCCCCCTGGGCACAGGCTGCGTCCACGTCGGAATCGCATCCGACATATCCGCCTCCCCATCCGGCTTCGGATACTCCGCAACGCTCCCGCGCACCTCCCTATCCTTGCTACTATTGATCACGCGCGCAGACGTCGGCGTCCCCGGCACACGGCCGGGCGTGCGCGCGCCACTGCCACTGCCGCTCGTGTTGATCATCGGACTCGGCTTGGCCTTCTTCGGCGTGTTGGGCACCGCAGCGTGCAGCGCGGGGCCCGCGCCGGGGCTGCGCGAGCGTTTCTGCTGCGCGCCACCGGGCGACGCGAGCGAGTGTGCGGACGTCGGTGTCGTACGTCCGTTGTTGAGCGCGGATGTCGGCGTTGTGCGTCCGTTATTAAGTGACTGCGCAGACGTCGGCGTCGTACGCCCCGTGCGCGACGCGGTGCGCTGGCGCGCGTTGTTGTTGGCGCTGTTCTGGGGCGACGCGGTGGTGGTCGAGGACGCAGGCGAACGCCCCATGGTGGTGCCGGTAGATGCGGTAGCGGTGACAGAGGACGACGACGTGGGCGAGCGCGTGCTGGTGTGTGCTCCAGGACGCTGGAACGGGACTTCGTTCTGCGCGAACGACTGTTGGCGGGGCGTAGACAGCGGTTCGGAAGGGGCCGGCGAAGTAGACGAACGCGTGTAGGATATACGCGAGGTCGATTGGGACAGCCTCTCGTCTCGTTGCGACTCCATTGAGGGGGCCCCTGAGCGGAGATGAGGCTGCGACGCGCGAGACGTAATGGTAGGTGTAGACGACGGGAAGTACTGCGACTCCCTCGCGTACGCGTCGTAAAAGCTCGCGTCGTACACATCGTCGCCATTGTCCTGGTGTACGCCGTTTTGTTGCTGTGCGGGTGGTGGGCGTTCCCATGCTGAAGGGTCCGGGATATGTGCCGACAGTTTCGGCGGTGGCTCGTCCATAACGCGTTCGGCTTCCTTTGCGCGCTGCTCGTCGAGGTAGAAACTCTCCCGCTCTCCGATGCCCGCGACGCTGTCCGCTCTTCTCCGTGCCCGCTTCGACTTTGTCGATCCATTTGCATCGGTGCTTTCCCTCCCGCGTCCAGCTGCAAAGCCCGTCGTGTTCGCCGACGCACCCGTACCAGGGCGCGCGTTCATATTCTGACGGAGCGCATGGCCGTAGTTGGCGATACGCAACATCTCGGCGCGTCTCGCGACGCGCATTTCGCCGACGCCTCCGTTGCGCGCCACATCGCCTCTGTACCAGTGCTCAAACGGGCGTTCGGCCGATTCGCTTGACATGCGAGGCATGCCATCGGGCTCCCCTTCAATGCTGATGCTTCCCTTGGAGGGCGAGTCGCCCATAGACCATTTTGAATCCTTCGAATTGAGGGTATTAAACGGGGCACTCTCGTCGATGATCTGGCTGCGGTCTGCACGCGGCGTGTGGAGCGGGGAGGGGGAAGGGGAAGGGGAAAAGCGGTTCGGGCTCTCGTAGACGGCGTAAAGGTCGGAGGCGTCCGCACCGGTCGCGGCGACGGCGGCGCGTGTCTCGGAGCGGAAGTAACTAGAAGACGAGCTAGTGCGAGGGCGGGCGACTGGAATGCGGGTCGGCTTGGCGTCGCTGGGGCGGGGAGTGGAGGGGGACTGGGCGCGGGTATTGCCGTTGGGGTACCCGTTGGGGTAGGCATTGTAAGCTCCGTGGCCATTCATGCCGTTGATGCTGTTGGATTGGGGTGGGCGTGGAATGGTGCTGCTGCTCTTGCGGGGCTCTGTGGCTAGGGAGGGTATGGTTGATTTGTCGGTATCGTGGGATGGGCGGGTTGAACGGTTGTAGGAGTAGGAGTAGGATGGATCATGGGTATCGTCCGCCGAGGTTATGGAGGCAATGGACATGCGCTTTGCGAGGATAACGCTCTCTGTCTCGAGGCCTTGATAGTGATTATGTGAGTGTGGGTAAGTAAAAAGAAGAAGAAGGGGACTAACGAGTGCGAAGGGCAGGGACTATTGTGTCATCCCATGAAGCCAGGGCTGGGGATGGATGTGCGGCGAGGGCGGCCATGGGAGGAGCGAGCGTCGGGAGCCACGGTGGCTAAAGAGAGGGAATCAAATTGATAGTAAGAAAGAGTAAAGCGAATAAGCAGAAGTGAGAATAGGGGAAGGGCACTGGCAGTCGAGAGCAGACAGAGCACGGCTATAGTGGAGCCTTGCACTGTCCCCGGTGTAATAATGAAGAACTTTGCCTCCAACACCAACCACACCTCCACCCCCCCAAATATGGACACCCGACGCCTCTATTCGCTCCGTCCCGGTCACTCTTTGATCTCCGTCCGTTCACCCAAGCCACCCCCGCATTCCTCCGTCCACCTCATACCTCCCCCGTACCTCACTGACATTCAAAATTTGTCAATCCCATCCTTTTGAGTCTAACCAATCGATCTGACTCAGGTCCTCCTCTGCTCAACCTCGCCTTTTGCCACCGAGGTTAATTTACCTCTTCGACACATGTCAGTTAAACTTCCGGTACTATTCATCAGCCGCTCTTCCGCCTTCCTTTTCCCTTCGTTGCTGTCTTCTTTTTTCAATCGTGCGACATAAACATGTCTCAGGTTCGTCAGGGCGACGACTGTCCGAAACTCCAAGTGCTACCTGCTGCAGCTAACTGGTGCTTATGAGCGCTCGTGGTTATCTCGCAATCCATACTTCTATCGAACACCTTCGAAGCTCACATGCTTCATATCTTGGCTGATCTATGAACGTTTCAATCTATATACGGACCTGGTTGTGCGCAATCCGCCACTCACCAGCATCGCCTGACAATCCCACCTGCTATCTTTTGTGTCAATAACATAACGTCACGGATCAAACGCGCTGGAAGTTTCCGAGCGGCCTCCGTTGTGGCTAATATACTCCATTTCTTGACGCCCAACTTTGGACAGAAACAATTGTCTGCAACGACGCGTCGCGACGCGCCCGTAATTGAACTGCGGAGGTCTCCGAGGCGAGCGAATGTAAGAGTTCCCTTCAGTATCGAATCTCCGAAGCACTGCGATTGGCAGCCTAGGTAGCACAACGTGTGCAGTGTACTAAACATACTCATCCAGCTCTCCACCGACATATTTACCCAGACCGTCACGCACTAAACATGCTTTTACATCGTGCAGCAAAGGAGCACACATACATACGTGAGGCTTTGTAATTTGGTCTCTTCCCTCACTCCCTTCCAAACCCTCACCAAGATACCCCAGCCCTAGGTAAGCGAACTGTAGCTCTCACCTTAAACCATCCGGACTAAATACCTGGCTATCAAAAGCGACCTGATGGCACGTAGCTCTGACTTGCCCAACGCGAAAAGAGACATCCACAGCCTCCCAACTGAACTCCTGCTCGTCATCTTCGAGCTCGCCTTTGCCGATCAGCGCCAATGCAAAGTATCCCCCAGTTATCACTTCGGCTCCTATAGGTCGCTCGATGCACTAGAGCTGCCTGATTATAAGCTGATACAGCCAAAAGAGTATTATACGGACATTCGAGACTCTACCAGCTGGGACTGGCATCGCGAAGATGACATGCTCTCACCCACGCTCTTTCCCTACGCACCCGCCAACGTGTGCAGGCTATGGAGAGACCTTCTCGCCATCGAGCCCGCATTCTGGACGCGCATCATCATCGTCCTCGATTCCCCGTCGACCACCCCCGACCTAGTGCGCAGCTACTTCGAACGCACCCGAGACGAGCCCATCCACGTCTGGATCACTCGCGCGGACAACAAATCCGCCACCCCCTCCGACCCGGGCGAGAACGACCGCATCAAGACGGTCATGCGCTGCCTCCGCCCGCACCTCGCGCGCTGCGTCAGCCTCTCCTTCAACCTCCTCTACCGCTCCTCGGCCGTGATCGCGGGCGACCGCCTGCGCGGCTACGTCCCGCGCCTGCGCATCCTCGCGCTCAACTCACGCGTCACCGACAGCACCGCGCCCATCGCGCACCTCCTCCTCGACGCGCCCGAGCTGCACATGCTCGAGCTCGACGCACACAGCTTCGCGCACTTCGCCGCGCGCAAGCTCGCGATGGTGTGGCTCCACCGCCCGCGCGCGTCCTCCGCGCAGCTGCAGCTCCGCCTCACGCGCTACCAGCCCGCTGCCACGTCGTCGCTGCAGATGAGCGACGTCGTCCGCGCGCTGGAGCACATGCCCGACATCGAGCTGCTCTCGATCCGCGACGTCGCGTTCGCCTCCCCCGCCGACGTCGACTTCGTCGACCGCGAGATCCACACGCTGCACCTCGAAGAGCTGCGCGGCAGCGCCGCGAGCATGTTCTTCCGGTGCCTCGCGTCGCACGCGTCGCGCACGACCGTCGTGCGGTGCGATCTGGACGGGGAGTGGGACAGCGCGCCCGTGGAGGGCCGCTGGCTGCGTCTCGTCGGGCTGGCGGACGCGGCGGGGCTCGCGCGCGCGATGCGCGGGTGGAGCGGGTCGAGGCTGCACGCGGATGAGTGCCCGGGGTTTACGGACGCGGTCGTTAGTGCCATGGCTGAGCATCCGGCGGGGGAGGTGGAGTGGGTGTCCATCGACAATACCAATTCTGCCAGCCCGCCGCTGTCATTCGATGTGCTCAAGAGCGCGGTGAACGCGTGGACGGCGTCGCTCCTACCGCACGGATATCTAACGCTGTACGTCCAGCAGCCTGGGAATCTGCCCGACGCGGCGCTGTGCCGCTGGTTCGACGATAGGGTCGGCGATTTCAGCTGGAAGAATGACGGGGTTACGTTCGATAGTGTCGTTCCCGATGTTCCGCATCCGGTGGATTACTATGGTTGTGCACATCTAGGCAGGAATGTGTCTCCTCATATGTACTGATCAAACTTTCGAGTGCTACTCATGTCATCTGGTTTGGGACCTTTTATTTGCCTTCAATCTAATTACTATCAAACTACTTGCTATATAGCCTCTGACTTGTGTCGCCACGTTCAGCAACCGAGTTCTCAGTGTCCCTCACGTTCGTCACATTTGAATATTAATCGCTGCCTGTCCTTTCTCCTTCTCTCCCTGACATGTCTCCTTCCCCATCTCCACGCGTTCCAACCCCTGAGCCGGTTCCCGCGAATTCTGCCCTGTACTGCGGAACAAATTGACAAGGCAATCACTAAATAACCTCAGATCCTCGGTAGTAACAATCATGATGGCGACATTGAGCCCCTCGATGGGAAACTTGACATTGTCGACTATTTCATCTTCAGACATGTTATGGCGGCGGAAAGGAAGAATACGGCACAGAGGGATTGACTTGCCTGGTCTGAAATAGCGCCACTTAAATCTCCGTACTAACTTCCGTTCCTGTACTGGGGGATTTGTTATGTCGCAAAGTTCTTTGTGTATCAAAGCCAATTAGAATCGTTCGTGTTAGTAGCCCCAATATTACGTTTTGACGCGATTAATTGTAGCTGAGTGCAATGCATTGCGATAAGTTTGGAAACCAATTAACTGGAACCGCTTGTTTCCATTGCAGCTGCTAACAGACTTTGCGACAGTTTTTTGTAAGACCAAGTACAAAGATCGTAAAAGGGTATCAAGCAGAGGGTATACGTAAGAACATGATCTGAAGCCAAAATCAGGGGCTACATTACCCAAACAAGTAGTAGTCAAATCGGAAAAAGTTACTTCGTCGTCCTCAGGGTTTGCCGTACGCCGACCGACCCGCACGCTACCCTACCTCCCCGACGCACCATGGCCAAGGCAGAGCTCATCGACGAACATGTCTCTCTTAAGCAGTGCAAACTTGCTGTCGAGGCGCTGCAGAAGCACAATACCAAAAAGGAGAAGGAGCTCGAGGAGACGCAGCTCCTGGCCGGCAAGGAGCAGCACATCTGGCTGCAGATCACCGTCAAGAGGATGCACACCGAAAAGAAAATCAAGCCCGTCAAAGTGTGAGTGCCGCTGCACGCCCTCTCCTTCCTCGCAACATGCGCTACGTCCTTGTTCGCGTTTGCGTTCGTGTTGGCTGATAGCCCAGCGCAGCCCGATCAAGCACCCCATCGTGGACCCGCGCACGTCCCCCGTCTGCCTCATATCAAAGGACCCGCAGCGGGAGTACAAGGACCTCCTCGCGTCGCACGGCATCAAGTTCGTGTCGCGCGTCGTGGGCATCGAGAAGCTCAAGGGCAAGTTCAAGTCGTTCGAGGCGCGGCGCATGCTGCTCAGGGAGAACGACCTCTTCCTCGCGGACGAGCGTGTGATCCCGCTGCTGCCCAAGCTCCTGGGGAAGAAGTGGTTCGATGCCAAGAAGTGCGTTATCATTCCTTATTTTATCTTGCGCTGTGAACCACGGATCTGCTCGCTGACGTGCGTGTGTTGCGCCTCGTGCAGGCAGCCTATACCGGTGTGCATGACCCGCAAGGACCTCAAGGCGGAGCTCGAGCGCGCCATCGAGTCGACATACATGCACCAAAACAGGGGCACCTGCACGTACGTCCTCGTTTGTTTCATTTGCTCACAACTACGTGTACCGAACCCCTGCACTGGATCGCAGCTCTGTCAAAATCGGCCGTGCCCAGCAGTCCGCCGCGCACATCCTCGACAACCTCAAGCTCGCAGTGCCAGGCATCGTGAAGAACATTAAAGACGGCTGGGAAAATATACAGAGTTTATATCTGAAAACGAACTCGTCTGTTAGCCTGCCAATATGGTCGTGTGACCTTGGCGACGGTGAGGGTGGCCGATGGGACGGTGTCACGGTCGAGGATACTGCGCCTGAAGTCGAGGAGGGCGAAGGCGAAGGTGCGGAAGCGGAGGCTCCAAAGCCGACTCCCCGAGCGTCGAAGGAGAAAGAGAAGAAGAAACGTGCGCTCGATACGGCTGGAGAGGATACGAAGCCGAAGAAGAAGGCTAAGTCTGCGGTCGAGCCGCAGCCGACACCACCAAAAGATGTGGTCGCCGAGACATCGACAAAGCCGAGCTCGAAGAAAGCCAAAAAGTCGAAAGACAGGTAATTGACATCTCTTTTTTTATTCGCGCATCCCCCGCATGTTCCCGATCCTGACCTTTTCTCCAGCTCCGATACCCCATCAATACCTCCCCCCGTCAATTCTGAAAAGCCCAAAGGCAAAAAGTCCGCGCCTGCAGCTGAATCCGAGACGGACTCTACGCTCGTTGCTGCACCATCCTCCTCCACCAGCAAAAAGGCCAAGAAAATGGACCAACCACCGGCCACGGAGGCGGAGCCACCAAAGCCCGAAAAGATCACAAGATCCAAGTCAAAATCAAAATCTTCTACCTCTGCGGCGCTGCCAGACAGCACCAACGCGCCGGTGGCTCCGGTCCCTGCCCCAGCCCAGACCAAGGTCAAGGCCAAGGCCAAGGGTGCCGCCGACCTGGGCGCTGATGAGCTCAAGCAGAAGCGGAGCCAGCAGAGCGCGCAGAAGAAGAAGGACAAGGTGGTGGCGCAGCGTCCGGGCAAGGCCGCGAAGAGCGGGGTGCTCGGGAAAAAGGTGTCTTTTGCATAGTGGTGTTTGTACTGATGCTGGGGAGACTTCAGCCGCCGCATATCGTAGGAGCGCGGTGGAACCTTTTATTATGACGCTCATTATGCATTGTGTGGAATTTAGGGTTGTGTCGTTGGCGAAGAGGGTGGAATGGTTGTCTGTGGATACACCACCAGGGAAAGTTGCCGAGATGTTTGGCCGCTGCGATGTAATGTGTGTCGCCCATCATACGCATGAGCTCATGGGATGCGCCATACCAACGAAGGCCGACACTGGACGTTTCTTGAAGCGCTGAGCAGTCATCAACGTCGCCAGACGTGGAAGTCAGTGAGACCTTCGAAGTTTGTTCCTAGCAAGACGCATCATAGTTTCGGCCGTTCAAAGGTATCGCCGCCACGCTTCAAACACATCTACCCCAGGCCCAGGTACCTGCAAGGAGCGCATCAAGAGCTTTCTTCTTCTCCAGGTAAGGCACAAAAGATGAGGTGAACTCAATTATAAGTACAAGGATAGCTACGTGTGCCACTGTCCCATCCCATCGGCAGGGAACCTGGCTGTATATTCAAGCTGCAATTACCAATGTTCAATACAAGGTACTAGCGTCAGGAGCGCTTGCCGCATCGTTTCATCAGGGCATCATCTCGTATGCTAGATCCATGGTGTACAGCCTGCTTCATGAGTTCTCATGAGGGCCCGCCTGCACATCAGGATGCTCACGTTGATTGTTGACAACCCTGAACGTTGACCGCTGATCTTCCAAATGCACGGAATCCAACATTTTGGCTCAAGTTTTGAAATACCTCGGGCGGCCCCGAAACAAGGGAAGTCTACGTAGGTGCTCCCACGTTTCAGCAGAGTTTACAGGTCCAATCATACTGGGTCCCGCAAATAAGAGAGTCGGCTTGAAAGCAGGCATAAATTACCCTTGAATAGTTGCTGTGAGATTAATGTGAAAGCAAGGTGCACCACATGGGCCGAGAAAATGGCCCTGTAAATGCCAATCTAATCCTTAAAACCCCTGAGCTTTGAGCTGGCTTCGAGTCTCTTTGAGTCTCTTCGAGTCTCTTCGAGTTCAACTTGAGTTCAACTGACTCTAGGAGTTGATGTTGACAGTTGGCTGACAGGAAGAGTGCCAGCGCGTGAGAAGCACGCGACAGCCACGTGGAGGAGCCGGAAGGACAAGTTACCGGTTCTGCCGTACTCGGCTTTCTGCATTTGACCAGCACATACTCAACGACTTGTTCACGGTTTTGCGCCTTGGGCGACGTATCCCGAGGACAACTCCTCCGGAATGGCAGTTAGAAAGGCCACGAAGCATAGCATTCCTCACACGAAGGAAGATTGCACCCTCGTTGGGATCCTAGAGCAGGTCCACCCGGACTCACCCACTCACGGAAGCAAGATCGCGCTGGTAAGGAACATCATGGGGACCTCGGGCAAGATCACGTACGACTGATTCTCAATGGATCACAGATACTTCATGGAACGATGGGGTAGCACTTTCACATCCCCGTAACCTCCAAGGTCTGAGATCTGAGCTCTCATCCCAGACACAAGGACTATCTCTTCCAGAAACGTCTCGCCGCGCGGCTGCCCATTGATTCATTCCGCTTTGACTTCAGGTGATTGCTCCGGTCGTGCGTTCACGCTCTATTTCAAACATCTAGTGCATTTGCTTTACCACCCATCAGGGGTAACCATGAGAGCGGAGGCAGATGGAAACAAGGTGCCTTCCGTGAGGACGTGGAGGATCTCAAGGTGGTAGTCGCTTACCTGCGCACTACGTTCGGTTACGAAGTCGATGTGGTCGTTGGCCACTCGCGTGGCTCTATCGTCGGCATGCATTGGATGTGTACGTCCGAGGAGGGGAAGTACGTCAGGGCCTATGTCAACGCGTCCGGCCGGTACAGAATGCACGTAAGTTCTGACTGCAATCGTCACACTGTTTTCATTATCAACAGCGTGAGATAGCGTATTTACGGTGAGCCCAGCAATTGGCCTTCCTCGCTGCTTAGGAGGCGCTTTTGCTGAGCATGTTTTGCTGTTACTCACAGATGGGACTGAAGCTTGGAAAGAAGAATTTGATACCAAGGGCTATCACGAATGGAAGGTTACTGTCGCTCGTAAGGCTGTGGTCGCGAGAGTCTACCCCAGTGACTTGGCAGAATTTGCTACTTGGGATACATCGATCGTGTGGACTCAGTTTCCTCCTCAGGCTGACGTCCTGAGTATACACGGTTTACTGGACAAAACAGTTCCACCGTGAGCATATCCACTGCCTCGGAAACTCGCGGTCATTCTGACGTCGCCTTGCGCGCTAGCTTTGACGCCCTGATTTACGCACGAGCGCTCGGCTCGCGGACGCCAGGAACGCATAACCTTCATCTTGTTGAAGATGCCGATCACAACTTCACTGGCGTGAGTGATGTCAACACAGCCTGGGGTATTCTATCAGCTCACCAATATGTTCGCAGCGTCAGGATGAAGTGGTCGATTGTATTTTGGAATGGTATGAGGCACGGACATCGGGCTCGCTCAGCTCAGGCATTTGGATGACCGGGAGGCGGGGCAAGCTGTAGAACCCTCAAATGTACCTGGGTACCTCATCGGACCGAATAGATGTATCAAGCATGATCGGAGCCCTTGGCCGATGCTATTCGTTCCTTTGCGATTCCCCGTTTATTGGACCACCGACCAAGATAGGCCTTGGAGATCTCTGTCGATCTTGTTGGACACCCAGAACGGCGGTGCACGGTCTTGCACAAACTACGCCCGCTTCAACATAAATGGTGAGATCCATTTCTTTGAAATCGGAGAGTAGGGCCGTGGTCCTGTTCACACCTAGTCCCACAATTGCGATCAATCGCCGCGCTGCTTCGCATGGCGCTGTCGCAAAGTATCATTTTCGGCAATTCCCCGCCTGCACGCTTTTAGAACACTTCAGTCCAACTGCGGTGAACGCCTTGAACGCAAAATGCCTTCACAAGGCATGATGGCCGACACTCAAAATAACGTGGCAGGCGCGCAAGCGGGTAACCACTATCAGCCCTGGCAATACATGTAACCCTTTCAGTCTACCATTTCAGGCACAAGACGCTCGGGGGATTCACAAGGGTCGAGAGACGTTGTGTATGCACTGGGAGAACGGGCCATCATCGTGATAACATCAATTCGTATATCGGGATTCAAGTATTGAATATTGAGGCGCTCCATCCTGTGGTGGCAGCCTCAGTTGCTCGTCAAAAGCTGTAAAGCAGTGATATCTTGTAAATAACCTTTTTCTTAGCCTTACCTTCCCAGCTGCAGACAATTCTTAGTAGCCAGCGCCGCAACCGTGGCGTGCTAGTCTTGATTCATACACACACCGTTCGGCGGTGCACCCAGACGGAGGTAACTATACTATTACAAACTCGGCTTTGCCCAGCTAATACTACTATGTAAGTCGAGTACCCGTCATCAGCCAACTAAAAGTCGCGTGCGCAAGGCCGCGGTTTTAACCTCCGAGGAACTCGACATATCTCAATTAAACTAACGTAAGTCGAAGAACTTTGCGATCTGCACAAGTCTTATCAAGCATTTGACAGTGTGTAAAGGGTCTAAAGTGAATATATAACGTGTCTGACGAACTCGCTCAGCGAGCGTATAGTAGTACTATGAAAGCTATATGGGTAGGATGGATACATGGTCCAATGTAGAGGATACACGTAATTATATGACGGAGCATACATGCGAAGAGAAGAGCAATGAACCGAAGATGCAGAGGCGCAAATAAGTGATGAGTGGGCCGTGTATGGGCAAACTGTTCGTTGAACGAGAACCTATAGAAACTAATCCATTAACTTCCGATTAACCTCCAGTCCTTGCTGAAGACATTAGGCCATATTGAAGGGCCGAGTGTACGTGTTAGGGCATTATGTCCACGTGGTGGATGATATGATATGATATGGCGAGAGCGAGGGATGATTGGTAGTAAGACGCCAGTCTCAGCTGAGCCGTTTGTTGAAGACGCGTCTTGCGCGTTTAGAAGAAGACGGTGCCGACGGTGCTGGCTCCCTTGGTGATGGCATTGCCGCCCTTGGTTTGGCCTCCCTTGCTGCTGTCCGATGCTTGTCCGCTCATTGCAGTGAGTTTATATGCGAGTGTTGTGGCGGCGATGGTAGAGTGACAGACGAGTGTGTCTGGGGAGTGTTCAAGAACGCGTGGGTGGAGGCAAAGGGGAGTGTTATTCTCTTGAGACTGAGAAAGACGCGTTTGTCGACTGGGTTGTCGGATTGTGAGGGACCGAGAACATAGAGGACTGGTTATATACTGCGCCAACATCGCCTCGTGGACTTGTTACAGAGAGGCGAATGGATCAAACGGGATGCTGAGTTGTGCTTACGACCGTGCCCCGGAACCGATCCAACCCCGATTGGTGCCTTCACACGGACTGCTGTGAGACGATGCAAACAGGATTGATTGTAACCCTAAGCGCCTGCATGAATGTAAGAGGATGCATTTCGCTGCACAGTCCAAATGAGTGGAAGGTTGACATGGTTCAAAAAAGAACTGCACTGCTTCCGTTCCTGCAACAGATCCGTTGTGGACGCTTAATTCGGCAATCGCCGCCCAGGTCTCTGCTAAGACTCGGCTTGACATTTTTTTCCCGTTTCACGGTTACTCGCCACCCTATGGGCACGATATGTCGAGTTTTGCGGTGACGTGTGCAAAAATTATTGACATTCCTACTCAGGGCCCTTCAAGGCTGCTTCGGAACGTTCATCTTGTGCTTGAAATGTGCAGGGACTCGACGATCCTCCAATACCCGATCTTCGATCTATGACGCGGCGCCTGTCTCCGAGTCCCTTCCTGGCGTTTCATGTACAAACTTACCACTTTACTTACACAGCAATCCGCTGACTTAGGTGAAAGTAAGCGTTGCCGAGTCATTCGCAAGGCTGTGAAACGTCCGTTTGTTCGCCAACCTGAATGACCTGCGGGACCACCAATGACTCAGAGCTGCGCTCGCCAAACTCCAACACGGCCTCGGGGAATTTAGTCGGGCGCTCGCAGCAGAATGACTAAAAGAGAACAATGGGCAGGCAGGGTAATGCGTATGTATTGCAGTGTTCAGATCTCCTGGGCGTCCTGGAGTCACACTGAAGGCGCAAGGAGTTACTTGGCTATCGTACCTGGAGAATTAAAGTGGCTTCACGCGGCCTTGGTGAGACCATGGCCAAGCATCAATACGAACTTGAAGAGGGTACGTAACTAGCGCAACGTCTTCTAGTCTAAGCGAGCAAGGGCCCGAAGGATCGACGCCGCGGCCGTCAAAATCCGAGTCGGAGAGCAACCTGCAGACTTTACATCCTGTCACGTCCATGAGAACGGAGCAAAGCCCAAACACTCGGATCAGGGGCATGTTCCTGGACGGGAGAGAGCTCAACAGCTCCGCGAGTTCGAAGGAGCTCGCTCATATCCTAGGCCGCCGGCACTCCATGAAATATGAAACGATCGTGCTTCTCGGTGCAGACTGCCTCAAGGCTTTGCTTCGCCGATCGATGTTCCAAATATTCCGACTACGTCTGATCACAGATCATGCACTTTGTACTGTTTGTTTATCCATTCCTGCACCTGCTCGCCTTTCTAGTACATTAGGTTACTTAACAGGTGCTCGAGCGCTCGAGCTCGAGATCAGCACAGTAGGCTAATCAGATAAGTTATTATGGTGTGATTTCGACAATTATTTTTCCGCTAGTAGCAATGGCCACAATCAGCGTTCCGAAGTAGCTCAATTAAAGATCAGTTTAAGTACTCGCCTGTTGTTATTTTCGGCCATCTCTCGGTGAGCTTTCTGAATCTCCGTCCAGGGGTAGATCTATGCAACGAGTCGACGCCACCGCACCCGTGGGGGGCGGGGACAACACTCAGCGGCTGAAGCACGATGACCGTTCACAAAGTAACTTACGCGGTGAATAAACGTCCGCATGTCGCCGTCACCTTTCTCACCGGTGATTTTGGGTAGGATTCGCTGCTGGAAGCTTGAAGGTCACCATTTAGTTAGCCCTTCGTACCGCGTTTCAATAGGATGATGGAAGCTTACGATGCGATGAGCTCGGCCTGGTATTCTGGGCTCCGCGAACGGAGTGTTGAGCCTTGGATTCGCAGTCGTTTGTACAAAATGGGACGGAGGTCCATTGACGGAACTTCGCTACCTACAACCGCAGGTCAAACTCTGCTTGATTAGCGGCGATCTCATGACCTCACCGCTCAATGTTGCAAGTATAGTCATCCTGCCATCTACTGCTAGCGAGTCTATGTTCTTCGCCCAATGGCTTTGTCCGACGAAATCAATAACCACGTTTACACCCTTGCCATCGGTCGTCCGCTTAACTTCGGCAGCAAAATCTTGGGTCTTGTAATTAGCCACATGTGTGGCCCCGTTAGAGATTGACAAAAGCCAGTCAAGCTTCTCTTTCGTTGACGCAGTTGCAGTGACTGTTTTACTGAGAGAGACAGGTCAAGCGTGCACCATATCAGATATGGAACACGAAACGAACGATCCGTAGCTTCGAGCCATTTGAATCGCCGCGACGCCCACACCAGAAGCACCAGCGTGAATCAACACGTTATCGCCTTTCTCAACTTCTCCGTACTTGACCAGGGCTTGATAAGCTGAGAAAACGTGGACATTGACTAAACGGCGCTCTGAATCAACGAGAAGGCTTACCAGTCAGATAGTTCTCAGGAATACTCGCAGCCTCCTCCCAAGACATCCAACTCGGCTTTCTCATCAGCAATTGTACATCGGAATTAATAAACTCAGCATAGGCTCCCTGGAGACATCACAGCCAAAGCGATCGGCGGGGCAGCCCTGCTTAGCCTTATCACCATGGCGGATTTTGGAGTAGACTCACGCCACCTGCAAGGCCAAAGACTTCTTCCCCAAGCTTCCAATCGGTCACACCTTGACCAAGCTCAACGACTGTGCCCGAGAATTCTACACCCATAATAGTGGATGCGCCAGGAGGTACCGGGTAACCGCCTTCGCGCTGGTACAAATCCATACGGTTGACGCCGAACGCCTTAACCTAAGCAGCGATGAATGATCTATCCACTCGGATGCGTTTCAGGAGGAGCGGTGGGCGACGCACGTACCTGTACAAGGACCTGTCCCTGGTGCGGTACAGGTTTCTCCGTCTCGCCAATGTAGAGATTCTCGATCGGGCCTTTGCCGTCTTTGATGAGGACAGCGCGCATTGTCACCATGGCTGTAATCTTGAGAAAAGGCTCGGCTACAAGATGCGGATAATCGTCGAAGGTGCTAACGTGTGGACGAAGTTACCAGGATCTCCTAGGACCCGAAACCCAGTCCGTTCGGTGAATCGGCGGGCTGACTGATCGGCATTCGCTGACGGAAGCAAATGGGCCGACGCATCGGCCCGGTTTAGGGAAGTCTCCTGAATTCGTGCGTCGCAGACTCGAAGTTGGACTCGTCATGAATGGTGCCAAAATGGTGGCTCGATACGTGCACAGCAAAGGTATGCGTGTGTACCGAGCTGATAGAATGAGCACGAAACACTGCCCCCGCACGCTGCCTTGAATCCTGTATCCGTGACGGAGGGTCGACATTTCACAATTCATGTCAACGGGATTTTCCATGGCCGGGTCGAAAGTGTCCGGTTTCAAACCAAAGGGGCTGACCCTGGTGACTTTCGGAATGCTTTATCGGGGTTTCAGGTCGCTGCCACAAAGCCTGCAAGGTAGCGTACGGAGTTTTCTCAGAGGAAGCTATGTAAACAAATTCATGGAGCCAATCTGCAAAATCCACTTGCATATTTGCCTCGGATTCATCACTTCCCTTTCCAACAATGGATGATTTTCTTCAAGCAGTCTGCCTCCGAAGTAAGCACAGTGAGCTGGTCCCGAGCCTTCAAAGCCAGACGAAACTAAGAGAGCAAGGGGAGAGCGCGAGGCGGCTTGCGCGCGAATAACCTCAAAAAGGATGGTCGGCTGTCGGAGTGTGACGGAATGACATAAGCAGGGCGTCGCGGTTGCTACCTGGGGTGTCATTGGGAGGAAATCTTTGACGCCATATCCCACGACGCCAAACCGTACTCCTCCTCAGTCCCGCCATTCCGACCTAAACGTTCTATAATTTCACTCTCCAACAGTGTTGGAAACATGAGCCAGCTTTACTTCCCAGGAGCAGGCTCCAAAACCAGCCAAAAGGAGGCATCCACACCAGCCTTTGGTATCGAGAAGCAGTTGAAGGTTGAGGACGTCCAGGAGGCCTACATTGAGCAGAGGGATCGGTAAGCAGACGCATATAGTCGCTGTATTTGGTAGTCTTGACCATTTGATAGCTTGGTTCACGCCATCGATGCCTCTCAGACCATCCTAGGCGACATTCAGAAGTTCAACAAGGACGAGTGGGTTGTCCGCTATCCCACGCTCAACGACGCCTCCCAGCAGGATACTCCTACATCCAACCCCCCTCGTGGCACACTGCGCCGTTCGCTTACCTTCGCCGATGACCCCTCTTCCCAAACCGACGTTGTCTTCACACCCACTAGAAACTCGTTGAAGCGCGCCAACACCTTGGCATCTGTCACTGATGAGGCCCAACACGCCCCGTCAACGGAGGCTGAGGAGGTAGCAGAGGCTGAGCAGAAGGAAGTTGCTGAAGCAGATCCTTTGCTTCCCCCGGCCAACCAGGGCGACTTCAACATCCTCCGCCTTGACCTCAAGCTGGGTCCCCACGGTGCCTCCAAGTCGCCCTCTGCCTTGGTTTCGCAACTCGAGAAGGGATCCATTGCTAACTTATTGGACGAACGTATCACCTCGTCTTCTGGTCACCTTGACAAACTCAGGCTTCGCGTCGGTGACACCTCGTCCAAGGTGCTGGTCACTGGTGATCTGAATTCAGGAAAATCGACTTTCGTCAACGCCCTTCTGCGCCGAGAAGTCATGCCTGTCGACCAGCAACCCTGTACCACCGCTTTCTGCGAGGTCCACGATGCTGCCGAGAATGGCGGTGTCGAGGAGGTTCACATCCTCAAAGACAGCGTTACATACAACAGCTCGGACGAATCCACCTTCACACGGGCTTCTCTCTCTGACCTTGAGGACATCGTTGCTGACAACGAGGGTACTCAGCCGGTCATCAAACTTTACCTTGGAGACAACCGAGCTCCGTCCGAGTCGTTGCTCAACAACGGCGTTGTAGACATTTCCCTCATCGATGCTCCCGGTCTGAATAGAGACAGCCTGAAAACCACCGCTCTGTTCACGCGCCAAGAGGAGATTGATGTGGTCGTCTTCGTTGTCTCCGCGGAAAATCACTTCACATTGTCGTCCAAGGAGTTCCTCTGGAACGCTAGTAACGAGAAGGCTTACATCTTCGTTGTCGTCAACAAGTATGAGCAGATCAAAAATAAAGAGAAGTGCAGGAGGCTAGTGCTTGAACAGATCAAACAGCTCAGTCCGCGAACTTATGAAGATGCGGAGGATCTGGTCCATTTCGTTGATTCTGCAGCTGCTCTTCGTCCTTACACTGCCAACCCCTCTTTTGACGACCTTGAATCTTCCCTCCGTTCCTTTGTCCTTGTCAAGCGGTCCAAATCCAAACTTGGTCCCGTTTCCACCTACCTCCTCAACCTGGTTTCCGACATTGAGCTGTTGGTCGGAGCCAACGCCATCGTCGCTCAGGACGATCTTGAGAAGGCACAGGATGACATCAATCGAGTCAAGCCTGTGCTCGATCAGATGAAGAGTGGTCGTGAGCGATTCGAAGAGGGCCTGGAGACGGTTGAAGAATCCGGTGCCGACACAACCGTCCGGCGGACGAAGGAGATCATCAACAACGCCATTGGGCGTGTTGGCCAAGGTCTCCTTGGTGTTGACCGTGGCATCTCCCTTCCTCCCTACCCTGGCCTCCTCGGCATCTGGGACTGGGCTGGCGATGTCAAGAAGACGCTGTTGGCCAGCATCGACCTTGCGGTCAAGTTGGCGGAGGATGAGGCTCGCATGACTACTTCGAGGGGTGTCAAGGACATTGTTCAGATTGGCGATGAACACCTCCCCGAGGGCGTAGAGCGTTCTCGCCGTGTCTTTGTTCCCGAGGCCATGTTCTCAGCACGACCTGGCAAGAAGAACGGCCGCTCTAGCGGACGGCCATCCACCGAAATTGGACGCGCCGTCGTTGCCGGTGGTGTCCATGGCCTCGGCATTGGCCTTGCGCAACGCGGGGATTTGGTCGAACCCTCCGCGCTGGACATCTTCGACTTCCAACACCAGCTCTGGCTCCACTTTGGCGACAAGGAGGAGAAGGAGAGCGAGATGAAGACCACGGCTCTTAGCGTTGTCTCCGTTGGTGTCGGCGCCCTGACAATGGTCGGTGGCCAGGCGTTTGGTGCCCGGGGCCTCGTTGACGGCGTCCTCCGCATTTCCGAGCTCTTCGGCAACGAATCGTCGCGGAAGTGGATTGCACCCGTTGTCGGAGCCTTTGCCATCGGCGCAACCGCTTACTTTGTGTTCGAGCTACCCTCTTCGATGCCGAGGACGATCGGTCGCCGTATTCAGCGCTCGCTCGTTCACCTGGAGGAAGGTGCCTCGGAGCATGACTTGTTCGCCAATGCCCACGCGTCGCGCGTGAGCCGCGAGACCCGCAAGGTCCTGCGACTTGCATCGTGGGATCTCCGCGAGCGCTTCCGCCAGGCAATGGACGAGCGTGGTCGGGAGGTCAAGGACGCGGAAGAGCTGGGCCGCAAGGCCAAGAACGCGCTCGCATTCTTCAGCCGCATTGAGAAAGAAACGAAGACTGTCCGCGACGACGCAACCCTCGGAAGTGTAGTGTAAACGATGTACATCAACGACTTTGGTTATCCTCAAGCCCTCGTTCTCTTCACCCTGACCAGCATCCTCAATTTCCTCTTTCAGTCACCTCCATCCCGCAGTTGTCGAGATTCCTGTGACTATAGACAGGCAGCGTAGGCAGCCTGGAGCCACGCTCATTCTTTTTTCCATCTCTTGTTATGACCGTGCTATGTTGACTTGACTTATTGTGAAATTTCCCTCACCAGTAACGTGCGTTTAGGCCGCGATTCCAACGTCTGAAATAAGACTGCATATATATTTCTTATGGTATCATGTTGACTCGAATAATTGATTGACTTCAAGTGTACAGTAGGTTTGGGTCCGAGATGCAATTTGGTGTGCTGCGCTAGTACTTGTGGACTCGGGCGGTCTGGTGAGCGTTGACGCCATTACCAACGTGAGGCAATTTATCTCTCTGGAGAGTCAGTTGCTTGGAATTAGACTCGTGACCAGTCTCCCGAGACGCGTGCCTAAAGAGGCAACAGGCCATGGGGGCCTTCGCATCTGGGAGACTGGGAGATTTCGTCGACTCCTTGGCAGGGAGCCAACTGAGTTTGAATATTGGCAGTAAAGAAGCATCGAGAAGCGTCGGAGATCGGTTAGATAAGCCGGCATTGCATTACCGCAGCCGATCGAGCACTTGTAGTCTCGCGTCGCGTCGCGCTCTGTACGCGCCGTGCCCATGAAATATAACGATTTGCACCCTCTCCCTCCTGCGTGAACGTAAGATATACTACCCTGGACTCATCCTAACTACTACCAGACGCCTCCACCACCTCCACCACCCGTATTTCGGCCGCTGCAATGGACAACACCCCCTGCATGGCTTTCTGAGGATATCAGACTAAGGGAGCTTTCGACGGCTCTGGTTGACACGGAAATGACAGCGCTCGATCTCCATATCTCTCAGCGCAGCTCTAGTTGCTCTCTGGAGGAGTCCTACATCAAAACTGGGCTGGAGCTGTTCTCGAAGGCGGGCAAGTCAGCTACAGATGTCTTGATTATGATTCTACAGGCGAAGTCTCAGCCAGCCTATCTCGTGCCTTATAGTACTCAATTTCTAGGCGGCAGGGCACCCGAATTTCTCTGGAACATGCTCGGAGATATTCCTCTCTGGAAGAGAAAGCTGAAGTCTAGGCTTGAGGATGATTCGATGCCACATATACTTTCTATTATGGGGAAAGAAATGATAGCTGCATCTTCGAAGCTGTTCTGCAAGTCGACCAGGGAAACTACACCTACTTTTGTCGACACGTTTGACCTCACACGGCTCCTTCTTATCTAAAAAACTGCTTGGTGGCGCATATGATGTTGCGATAGACTCCAAGTTGAATATCCTGTGTAGATTAGCAAGCGATCTAGCAGAGACAAGCGGCGACATACCTTCCAGAGGTTCTTGTCATCCGGGGTATCTTGGTTTATTTGAATGGTGGGGATGCCGAAACTTTGAAACTCTGAAACCTGATTACTCTTTAGCATAAGAATCGATTAGACGAAACAAAGACTTACATGACTAGCTTGCAAGAGCTTCAGAGGCGAGATAGTGATCGCGATTTTCGAAGGATTGCCAAAGAGAATTGGCAGGATCATGGCAAGCGTTTTGCCATACTACCTGTTCCTGCGCGAACTACGACATTCTTCACAGCTAGAATATTCACAGTGGCCTCGATCTGAAACTGACGTAGTTTTCATTCGCCTAGATACCGAGCATCGAACCAGGCTGTGGCTTTGAAGACAGTCTTGGCTTGCTGAGGTGTCAGGCTCTCGACGAAGGTGGGGGAGTGCTCACCGAGCGATTGACGAGCATTATCGGACAGTAATTATAAGTTGAATCGATCGAATATATTCATAACGTAGCGATGTCGGGGGAGACGATGTAGGAAGCGATGTACAGTATAGACGAGGCAGCGGCACTTAGACGCGACGCGTCTGCAATTCAGGGGCTCAGTTCCCTTATCCGGGGGCGATCTTCTCTCGGGCCGAGGCCAAATTCAAACTCAGTTGGCTCCCTGCCAGGGAGTCGACGAAATCTCCCAGTCTCCCAGATGCGAAGGCCCCCATGGCCTGTTGCCTCTTTAGGCACGCGTCTCGGGAGACTGGTCACGAGTCTAGCTTGGAATGCCAGGCCCATTCTGCTCGTGCAGTTCCAGTCAAGTTGAGAATTATGCGATGTTCTTGTCCTTTGGAAGACGCTACAGTACTAGTAGGAAGAATCCAGGTAAGATTGTCTTCTACTGCCACAGCGACCCGGACCCAACCCGGACCTACAAATTTGAACGTTCAACGTTCAAGACGTTCAAGCTTTGGCAGCTTTGGCAGCTAAGTTGGCGGGCGATCAGCTGGGCGTTCTCGCGGCATATCCTTTGTGACACATGTACAAAGTTCACCTTCAACGTTCACCATCTTCAACGCGGTTTCAACCTTGATCGATCGACATTATCACGTAGTACACGATTGGACATAAGCTGCTTTATGGAGTCGCCATAACACTTGTTGGCATTAGTAAATGACTGCGGTAAGATTGCTTTGGAGTGCTTTGGGTTCCTATTATCAATCCCGGTGCCGTGGTGGGTGAGTGATCGACATCTCAAAGTGTCGGCCGACTCGCAGGATCGATGTTCTCGAATACTCGTACACCACGATACCCATCTGGTCCACCATGTACTCCATGCTCCCAAGCTCAGGCGGATTCATTTGACTGCTTGGCGTCGCGACTGGAAGAGTTCTGAAGAATGGAAACTCATGATTACTCGGAGGATAGTTGCTCAGGAACAGGGACAAAAGTGTTGTGCTGGACCTGACTTAAACAAGGCCCCTCAAACCGATCTCGGAGTCGAACTGTTGCTGCCTCGGCCGGCTCGCGGCTAAAACACGCGTCGGTGAGCGGGATGTTGACGCCTTGGTGGGAAGCATGTGACATCGTGCACATCCTTTTGTGAGTTGCACATCTTATCGTCAATGACTTGTCGGCACAAAGTATTGATGTGATTGAGAAACAAGAACCATATAACGGAGACTCAGACAACAAGGAGTTGTCGGCCATCGAAGACGTCACCGTATTTCGAAGAATTGCCCAGAAAGGATGAAAGTCATTCTGCAGACTATTTTTGAGCGTCGCGTCGCGGGCGTTGCTAATGGAGTCAAGGGCCTGTTCCTTCGCGATCGGCACCTAGTTCGCGTTGCGGACATGCTGTCTCAGTCACAAATTCTTTTCCCCTGCGGCCATCATAAGGTAGGACATCTGGTAGCCTCACGGTTCTGCTTTCTTTCCCTCCTCCATTATCCATAGACATAATGTTGGTCAAGTCAACGACAATCCCGACCTCCCTCTTTCTTCTTGCAGTGACGTCGTTTGCGCCGGTTCGCGCGACGCAGTACAACCTTGCCAAAGAGTACTCAGGCTCCACGTTCTTCAACGACTGGACGTTCTATAATAACTGTATGTGCCATGTTTTACTGTCAGTCAAGCGCATGTTGTGCTCAGTGATGATACAGACGACAACCTGACCAACGGCGATGCTATGTAAGTACATATCGGATCAGTTGCGGTGTGTCTAGGCTACTCACACCGTCGTGGTGGCCACACAAAGCTTTGTGTCTGCACAAACCGCAACGTCGGCCAAGCTTGCCTATGTAGACAGCTCGACATCCCATGCGATTATAAAGGTCGACAACACCACCACCGTAGCCTACAACGACAAACGCAACACTGTCCGTATCACAAGCAATGATAGCTTCGCCGTTGGTAGCGTTTGGGTAACGGACCTGTACCATGTCCCATATGGGGTGAGTCCCGGCACATCGTATCCTGGTCGTCCATAAATACTTATTTGTATGCTTGACAGTGCTCCGTCTGGCCCGCCTGGTGGAGCCAGGCTCCGAACTGGCCAACGGGTGGTGAGATTGACACTTTTGAGGGCGTCAACATGCAGAGTTTGAACCAGATGTCGCTGCATACCGAGCCTGTAAGGAAGCTTCTGAAGATATATATATCGTGGATATTATCTCATCCGATTAATGGCATTTAGGGCTGCAAGCAGCAGAGCCCGACTCAATCTTCCACCCTCGTCAACAGCACAGACTGCTCCTTCCAGACCAACAGCAACCAGGGATGCATTGTCACTGACCCTTCGACCGCCTCCTTTGGCCAGGGCTTCCAAGGTGGCGCATATGTCACTGAGTACGCGTCCAGTGGTATCAGGTGGGCAAAGACTTGCCAATTTTTCCATATATCATTTTAATCGTCCCATTCAGCATCTGGTTCTTCCCAGTATGTGTAACGGCACATACACCTAATGATTTCTGATCGCCCCCAAGCGCTCCAGCATCCCTAGCGCTCTGTCATCAAATTCTAGCACGATTGACACTTCGACCTTTGGCACTCCTGTTGCTAACTGGCCCAACACCGGCTGCAACATTGAGCAGTACTTCCAGCCTCAGCAGCTTATCTTTGATATCACTCTTTGCGGAGGTGAGATATTGTCATTGAACCTTCGTACTCCACAATTTCTGACTTTGCTTCTTCGCTCCGTACAGACTTTGGTAAGCCAACCCACGGAATATCCCTGGATTCGTCCTCTGATCTGACATGTTCGTGATAGCTGGCAACTCTGCCATCTTCAACGAGACGTGCTCTGGTGTCTGCTACAACGACTACGTCATTGGCTCGCCCTCAAACTACGACAACGCCTACTTCGAAGTCGGCTATGTCCGTGTCTTCAGCAGCGGTAACACGGTCATCACGCCTTCGGGCACGCTCTCGACTCCTGGCAGCTCTAGCACCGGCGGCTCGGGATCGGGATCGAACGGTGCTCGTTGCCTCGGGGCGGAGATCATGGCCATTCCGACCGTGGTTGGCCTGGTTGCCCTCTTCAGCGGTTACATTTTCCTTTTCTGAGCGGTCCTCGCAGAGGCCCTAGCCAGTTGAACGTCTGTTTTACTAAACGCCGGGACGTTGATTGATTGATGGAAGCAGTACTGCCCTTGCAATTCCGTGGAAGTCCGTTCACTTACCGTGTGCTAGACATGATACCCGTTCGAGTAGTTGACGTATGTAGAACCTTTGCTACCTATAATTGTGGACCTTGTTGTGAACTGCTTACCTTGCTAATTATACATTCGGCCGTGTGTCGCGGGAGCCCACTCTCGGACGAACCTCGCACTCGAAGACTAGTACCTCAGTTTCTCTCAATCCTAGACTGATTGGTATCGCCGATGCGCGTAGTCTGTTTCCTCACTGACGCTTTGCATGGTTCAGCTTATTTAGCTATCCTACAGGTTGCACTTCACGTTGCCTTGTGGATCGTGGGTCTCCCAAGTCATTAAATGAGAGATCCACGTTTTGGAGCGGCAAGAGATGCCTCGGGCCCGGGTGTGAGTGAGGATTGGATGATACCGAGCGAGACCGACTCGGAGCGAGACTCAGTTGACCGAAGAAGCACGGAGTAGGATGGTATCAGATCGATGGCATAGAAGACGAGGTAAATGGTTACGTCCGCATGCCAAGGCAAGCATTCCTTGCTCTGGAGTGAGCTGTAGCTGTCACAAGCACAGGCTGCCTGTGGGTGGAAAACATGGGAAGAAATCCCCAATCCCACAGAACCTTATGTTTATTAAAAGGGCAGTATTCCGTAGGGCAACACCCGGGCTCATTCATAATCAGCCCGTTCCCTCCGAGTCGTCATCCAGTCGATGCGATAATCCCTGGAGCGCTGGGCCGGTGTTTTGATAGGCGGCCCTAGTGGACCTACGATTCCGACGACTGTCAACTCGTCTCGTCCTTATTTTGCCTAGCGCCGGGTTCAGTGTCAAATTCGGATAGCTTGCTCTTGTCACGCTACATATATCTACATACACCATCCCGATGGCTCACTGCCCTCCTTTACATCCCTTTCTCCACCCTTTTCATCTCCAACGATGCTATCACCAACCGGACACAGTCAGTACATCGATCCTGCCTTTCTCTTCGGCGTCGAAGGACAGGTCGCTGTGGTCACCGGTGGGGGTACCGGTGCGTGCATGTTCATTATGCGTTCTCGAACATAACGCCGACCGCTTATATTCCCATTGACAAAGGCATCGGTCTTATGATCGCCACTGCGCTCGAGAACAACGGTGCGACTGTCTATATCATCGGGCGGAGGCTGCAAGTGCTGGAGCAGGCAGCCCGAGACAACAACGTACGCCATTTGTCTCACTTCCTTTTCCTCGCTTCCCGAACGTCCGCTGATCCGACGTCGGTTCGCAGCGCTTTGGGAAGCTCATTCCCCTCCAGGGAGACATCACCTCTCGCGAATCGCTCCTGAACATCGTCGACGCCGTCCGCAGACGTCATGGCTACATCGACATTCTCGTCAACAACGCGGGTATCGCGCGGAATCTACTTCCTGCGAAGCTTCCATCACCCTTGGACAACATTGACGCCGTTGGCCGCGCGACAGCACCGCCCTCGATCCTAGCATACCAGCAGGTCCTCTGGGATACGTCAGACCCCATGGGCTTTACGGAAAGCTTCGAAACAAACGTGTCTGCCGTGTATCAAACTACGGTCGCCTTTCTAGACCTGCTCTATCAGGGTAACCTCCGCAAGGGCATCTTGCCCCCCAAATACGCAGCAGCACGCGCCACCGCCACCACCCCATGCCCCCCTCCTCACACAAACGGCGCCGTCTCGGCCGACAACTCGGGGCGCTCAACGCCCTACCACTCCCTTCCACCAACACCACCCCAGTGTACACCCCCGCCCGAGCCCTCGCGCGAGTTGCCCGACGCTCGTGAAGGGCCCAACGGTGCAGACGCGTCGTCTTCTGCACACAACGGCACGGCCGCAAACGGACACGCTGCTTCCGCACCGCGGATGCACATCCCGGAGCCTGCCTCGCATGTCATCACCATATCATCGTCGGGGGCATTCCGCATCGACGCGCGCATGCTCTCGGTCTCGTACACGCTCGCCAAGGTCGCGGTGACCCACCTCGGGCGGCTGCTCGCGAACCTGCTGAGCGACTGGGGCATCCGCAGCAACGTGCTCGCACCCGGCGTGTTCCCAAGCGGTGAGTGTGGCTTTTTTGACAGAGTTTGCACGCGTTTCTCCTTTTCTCTTGATCCCATTCGTCACGGTGTCATGTCTATCCCGTTGATCTCCTTGGTTATCGCACTCCTCTATGTGTTTGTCATGATAAGATTCAGTGGCTGACGGGGTTTCCCCTCTTCTCGTAAACCAGAGATGACTACATTGCAACATCTTACGCCCGCCGGACTTGCGCAGGCCGTGCCTGTAGGACGTGCCGGGGGCCTAACAGATATGGCGGGCCCGATCCTATTCTTGGCTGGACGAGCGGGCGCCTACGTGAACGGCGCCGTTTGGCTCGTCGACGGGGGACGCGTTGGCTCGCTCCCAAATTCATACCAGTGGTAATGGAACCGTAACTTTTAAAGCCGCCCGACGAGGATCTATGAGGATGGGGCGAGCGGAGGAGGAAGATCTTTAATCAATATGACTTGGGATATTGGGTGATGACACAGTTTACGACCTGAACGATAATCACGGATCGCGGATACCCACCAGCCTCAGCACCGGTATCATATAGCTGTATTCTAAGTAGGCCTTTTGTTGCAGCCACGTATTTATTTTTCTCGGCGCTCAACGTTATATAATTATGTATCTATATTCACGTACAAACAGTCGCGTTTTAATGGAGGTTTTTCTGGTTTCCGTCGATGGCGTACGTCCAATCGATTTCATAAGTACAAATGGACATGAGATCAACCGCGTCTACGGGCATAAGCTTTCGGTCAAGCACTCCTTCTGAGCTTCGTAGGAAAGGATATATTATAGCGGCCTCTTGACCTCTTGACTGGAGGAGCACATGCGCGGATTGGCCAGGGCGGATGTGGCGGCCCCGCATACCCGCAAAGTCCGCGGAGGCACGCAGACTTCAAGCACGACGATCTCGGACAGCGGAGTAACACGGCGCCGCAAGCGCTCGCTTCTTGCCGCCGCCACTGATGGCTCCTGGATCCAGCCAAGGGCCTCTAACCCTCGATGCCTCATGCACCATGTACCATGGCCCCGTGCGCTCACTTTGAATGGACGTAGGTGGCTTCCAGTCTGGACTTGACATATTCGCCCGCGGTCACGACGTCATACTTTGCCGGGTTCTCCGCGGAAACGCAGCCAGGGATCGGCTGGCCAATGAACGTGAACATGAGAATGGATGGGTGTTCAATTACATGTGAGGAAGCCAATCAATCGCGATGCAGGATGGACAGAAGCGCACCTCGAGTTTGACATCGTAGTCCGTCCCGAAGAAGAGCGGGATGGAGTATCGCTCCATGCCAGAGTTGTTGATCGCGCGATGCACAGTGGACTTGAAGACGTCGTTGGTCCATCGCGCGAACTGGTCGCCTAGGCTGCGGGATCGCTCGATCGATGCGCGACGGGTTGGACGAAGTAGGTGGGGTGCTTACTTTACGACCAGCGTTCCGGGAATGGGCACGGCGTCGACCCATTTGCCGTTCGTGTTTTGCGCCTGGAGCGCCCGGACATCGTCTTGTTGCCACAGGATGGTGAAGCACTGGCGAGTCCTGCTAAGGGGTGCTGATTATCATTGTATTGGGTACACACCTCGTAGCTGTGAACACAGTTGGTTAGTTTGATTTGATGAAATTGTAATGATAAATAAAAGTGACCGGTCCATGGGAACATGTAGTATCATGAATGAGGATTGGACCTGAGCTTACTCAGTATGGGCGCCAATGCCAATCACGCCCTCCTCGTGTCGCGCGGGTTGCGGAGGATAATGTAACAGACGCATGATTGCAGCTGGTTTTGTTATCTAAGGTAGAAAAAAAAATGAGTAGGCTAGCTGTACAATGCAACATTGTCTGAAACGGAAAGCTCTTGTTTCTGCGAGACCAACTGAGGACATGGATTGTCCATCGCCACCGCGGAACCAATTTTGGCGTTGCAAACGAACATCAACGGCTGCAGACCGTTGCCTTCCATATGGCTAGCTCTTGCTATTGGATAGCAACACCACGCACATTGCCGTAGGCTGTTGCTTTTCTGATCACGCCCTGAATCGAGCGACATTCCTTGATGGTCACCCTGCCATCTGGCCTTCTTGTCTCACTCATATCACTGCGGCCCCGCCATGTTCACGGAGACTGCGTTCCGACAGATACCCGTCATGTAAGAAAGAACATCGTCACCATGTCGCGGTACGCATGGCTTCGGAAGACTAATGTTGAACGCTATCGTTTCCCAGTGACTTTGCAAACGCCTCCAACAGCGATCCTGTGCTTCGGCGAGCACTCGCCGCGGAGCTCAAAGACGCGTGCACGAACGTCGGCTTCTTCTACAGTCAGCACAACAACGCACAGTCTATTTCTGAAACTTAATGATGATGGTTTCACAGTCAAGAATCACGGCATCCCCAGCGATGTGATATCGGCCACTGTAGACGCCGCCCAGAGCTTCTTCAGCCTCCCTCTCGCAGCTAAGCAGGAGGTACGAGAGTCCCTGAAACTCACTGCAACTCGCACTTTATCCTCACGCGACCTGACAACCACATCAGATTGACATACACAAGTCTCCGAACTTCAAAGGCTACACTGCTCTGCTCGGAGAGAACACCGACCCCGCGAATAGGGGCGATCTTCATGAAGGCTTTGATATTGGCTGGGAGCCTCTGGAGACCTCAACTCCCTCGAATGGTGGTGTTCGCGAAGATGGTGCAATGGCCGGTGTAAACGTATGGCCAGACGTCAATCATCGCTTCCGTCAAGATGTGTTGACTTACTAGTGCGATGCATCACATCTATCTCTGTTGCTTTGATACTAACACTTCAACAGCCATGCAGCGGTCGGATTGGGCCTCAAGCTATTCCCTCTGTTCGCGCTTGCGCTGAACCTTCCAGAAGATTGGTTCAATGATAAAGTTCGCTTTCCACCATGGCGCGAAAACTGTCCGAATAACGGAGACAAGGCGTCAAGTGAGCATATCAGCGTCATCAGCCGCAGAATGACAGTGATACATGTTCCGGCGGAGGGATAATTGTCCTGTCCATCGAGCCAGGGGGGACATGAGCGTGAGACGCGGCAAGGCTCGGCAAGCAGTGCCTTACGCTCGATTGGGAAGAAGCTTTTAGTCTGGAGGGCTCCTGGTGTTTGTTCTCTCTGCCTCTCGTCCATCGCCAGCCTCCAACGTGTCCTCGCCTCCGTCCTCTGCACATCTGTAAACCCTTTGCCCTAAAGGTTTCCTTATCCTAGACCGGCAGGCTCCGCTGGTCTTGTCTAGACAACCGCAGCGCGCACTAATCAGCCCCACAAGCCCAGTGCTTCGTGCCAGCGTGCTCTCGTTTCTAGTACCCATTCACCCCCGACTCGACGTCAGGGCTCAGTAGTTCTGAGACCTACATCTTGATACACCCTCCAACTCGTCTGCCCAGTCGCAGCACGCCCTTACTTTCCACACACCCCAAGTTCCGACAGGCATAGGAACTCGCATTCCCTACATCGATTTCCCCTTTTCACATTCACAGCCTTCTTCGACACCTCTGATCATGGCCTCCCTTCGTCCCCCGTCCAGCCCCTCGCCCTCTCCTCTCAACACGGAGAACGGTCGCGCTGATGCCCGTGCCTCCCTGGGTGCGCGCCAGACTCTTGCGCCGTCTTCGCCCCGCCCTGGAGGAATTCGCCCCACCAGCGAGCTCTTGGGCAGCGCGACTGCGTTCCAGACTCCAGAGTCTGAGGCGATCGACCAGTGGTTCGAGAACCTCCAGAACTACGAGGACACTCTCGAAGATATGGCCGCTGCTTCAATGGACGTCAATTTCAAAGAAGAGCTTAGTGCTATTGAGCAATGTTAGTGTCGCCACATTCTATCTTTCGGAAAAGATCAGGAACTGATAGATCTGTAGGGTTTAAAGTACTTTCCGAGGCGGAGCGCACAGCCGCTCTTTACAGCCTCCTGCAACAATCTACCCAAGTTCAAATCCGCTTCTTCATCACTGTCTTGCAGCAGATGGCTAGGTCAGATCCTATGACTGCGTTGCTCAGTCCCGCTGTTGGAGGTACGAGATCTCAAGACATGATGTATTTGACACAAGTTGCTGATTTCTCTATCAGGATCCATGCAAGGCCAGATGGAGGCTAAGCTTGCCCAGATGAGCCTCAAGTCACCTGGCCTTCAGTCGAAGATGCCTTCTTCGCCTCGCGTGTTCAGTGGAGGCCAGAACAGGCAGTCGCTGGCACTCGACAACAACTCCAACTACCTCTCCCCTGACTCTGCCGCGGTTGGCGGCGATGCGGCAGCTACTCTCGCCCAACAGCGTGCGAAACTAAAGGCCAGTAACGCCGCGCATCGCATCTCTGCACCGATCCTTGCTTCTAGCGGTGAAGGTCGCTCTGCATGGGGCTCTGCGCTGAGTCAAGTCGCGGAGAACAATCCGAACTCGCCTGCTCAGGAGATCGTTATCCCCAGCGGGAGCAGCAGCGCTAGGCCCAAGAGTACCGAGTTCAGCGGCTCTCTTGGCTCAGGCCGCACCGGTGCTGATGGTCTCTCCCCTATGGTTGGCGACAGCTGGGCGAGCAATGTCAATACGCCTCTGATCCCTATGTTCAACAAGGACGCTCAATCTCAACAAAACTTGGACGCTGCAGCGCAGAAACTCAGTGACTGGAACCAGCCCCCTCGTGTTCCTCTCATGGCGGATCCCAAGACCTTCCGCCGTGCCTCAAAGGGCAGCACCACCGGTGGATCCGACAATGGTCGTCCCTCAGGAAACAGCAACGTGCACGACGACGGTAACAACCAACAGGCGCAACGCAGGAACGTTGGACAAGGCAGCAACGGACAAACCGGCGCATGGAATGCCCCTGCGCGGAGCCCTGGGCTTCCTCCGAACAGGTTCGGTGGGGACGATGCAAACGGCCTCAATGGCCTGGGCATGGGCGGCTTCAGCATGAACGGGCTAAGCAGCCCCGGTATTGGGATGGGCATGCCGCCGAGCGCAGGTCTTCTGGCGGGCATGAACCCGATGCAGATGAACATGTTGAACCTGCAGGCGCAGATGAACGCGATGGGTCTCCAGGGCATGACGCCCGAGGCGCAGATGCTCGCTGCGCAGATGGCGGCTGGCTTCCAGTCGCCCGGTGGATGGATGGGCATGCAGAACGGCCTGAACAGTGCGGGCGCCAACCGCGGTCGCGGGGCCGGAGGCGGCGGAGGCCGGTCGCCCGGCATGCCGAAGTCGGCAACAGGCAGCAGCTCGGGGGCCGGCGCGAAGAAGGATGAGGAAGACTTCGATCCGTCGCTCCTGGGCGACATCCCCGCGTGGCTGCGGAGCCTGAGGCTGCACAAGTACACGCCCAACTTCGAGCACATGAACTGGAAGGACGTTGTCGCTCTCGATGATGCTGGGCTTGAAGCCAAGGGCGTGGCAGCCCTCGGAGCGAGGAGGAAGATGCTGAAGACGTTCGAGGTCGTCAGGAAGAAGATGGGCGTAGAGGACGGCAGCGAGGGTCCTAGGGAGGCTTAAACCAAAACGGTGCCGCAAGTGTCGCTCTTGTTGGCTATGGAACGGATACATAATTTGCATGATACTTTTGTATGTCTGTACATGTGTTCCTCTTCTCTTTCTCAATCTTGTCTGGTTTGGTTTGTTCGCTTTCGGTTCTTTGAACAGTTATCACAACTCACTTACTCTTCATGTTCTGGGCCGTCAGACTACATAGTTCTTTTCGATGTTCTGATTGTCATGTAGCGTATAAATGTATTATTCCCTCTGGACGTTCGACGGCAGAAACGTACATGTTTGGTTCTTCCGATGCCCGAAAAACGGTGACCATGGCTTTGCACCCCAGTCAGTCCGGTGATCTGCTAGATGGAGTCGCGTGGATCGGCTAATGTGTTCGCTTGAACTCTGGACATGATCTGGACGGCGGGAGTGGAGAATATAGCAGGTGCAGTGCCGGTCGAGCGCGCTGCATTGTCACGACAGGAACTTGCAAATTGCGACGTCATTGCTACATGGTCACAGACCTCCGTGGTGGGATAGCGGCCGTCGTGTATGGTATATAAGCCACCCATATAATTCACAGCGTCTTGAGTCAAGTTGCGACCGCTGCACTTCTGCACCAACACATCCGCATCCGATATCTGGGCGTGCTTGTGAGTTGGCTGACCGATGGCGTTTTTAGCTCTCCCCTACCCCTCCACAATGCCCATTGCCCAAATCCCCCTTTCATTTTTGTCTCCATGTCTCTGTTTGCACGTCCAATACCCGTCGCAGGCTGTGTTAGGACATCACCCTCCTTAACTGCTGCCTTTGCCCAATCGCGGATCGCACCCCATAGTTACAAGTTTGCGCGCCTGAGCTCACGTCTATTCCAGACCTCTATTACTAGTTCCTCCTCAAAACAACCCTCCGTTTCGCCGAGCAGCATGCCTCTCTCGCGTGGCCCGTCTCCCCTCCGCCCGCCCATCCTCGGCACGACCCCGAGCCACAGGCGGTTCGAGGCCCTGTCCCCCGTCGACAGCGAGCTGCATCCCGTCATCCACGCCGGTCGCGTGGCCGTCATCACCGGCGCTGCGAGTGGCATCGGACGTGCCGCCGCGTTCGAGTTTGCCAAGTGCGTCTCGTTTTCGCTTGCTTGCTTATATCCTATCCTAAACAGCTGATGATATCTTCGCGTCGATCTGCAAATCGTCTGTCTGATTACGTTCGCGATGGATCAGGGCGGGGCTGAAGATCGCGCTCGCCGATGTGACGGCGGAAGCGCTCGAGAAGACGGGCAAGGAGATCGCGGCGATCATCGGCGAGGGAAATGTGCTTGTTATCCCTACCGATGTGTCCAAGATGGACGAGGTCGTCCGTCTGCGCGACAAGGTCTACGAGGCCTGGGGCGAGGTGAGCTATATTTCCACCCGTCGACGGCGAAGCTCAATTGCGCGTGCGTAGGTCGCGGTGCTCATGAACAACGCCGCCATCAGTCGCCCGAGTCATTCTTGGCAGAACACCGAAAACTGGTCGAGGGTCTTCGAAGTGAACGTGTTTGGGTACGGCCTCTTTTCTCGACTGGAATACCCAGGAGTGCTTCGCTGACTATCCGTATATATACAGCGTTATTAATGTCCAGCACACCTTCGTCCCCGTAAGTCTCTCGATTTCTCGCTCTCGTGGCACCGTTCTCACCCACCACGTCATGCCTATTCCTATCTATCCTATGCCTTCTTCTACGCCGCGGACCTTGGCTATGAATACAGTCGATGCTCCATCAAGAGAACCCGGCGATGGTGATCACCACAGGCTCGAAACAGGGAATCACGAACCCCCCGTAAGCAGCTGCCCTGTCTATGTAGTCGCCCGCTCGCGCCCTCCGCACGGGCGCGCTTGCTGTTGTGGCGGGGGGCGCCGGCCGCGAGCCCACGTTCGCTTCGTTTCCCCCGAGTCTTTGTTTTTGACCGTCGTATGATAGGGGAAACCCCGCGTACAACGCGTCCAAGGCTGCCGTTAAGAGTTTGACGGAAGGGCTGGCGCACGATCTGCGCCAGCGCCCTGGCTGCGCTGTCTCTGCGCACTTGTTCATGTGAGCCAGTTTTCTTCGGACAAGACACCTTCTGATGCGCCGCACGTTCAGCCCGGGGTGGACGTTCACAGGTATCACGGGGCGCTCGGCGGGCTCAGCGAAGCCCGCGGGTGCGTGGACGGCCGAAGAGGCGGTACTTTACATGCTCGACCACGTTCGCCAGGGCGATTTCTACATCCTCTGCCCGGACAACGAGACGCGCCGCGAGGTCGACCAGCTGCGCGTCATGTGGGCCGCGGGCGACGTCGCCGAGGGCAGGCCCGCGCTGAGCCGATGGCACGCGGAGTGGAAGAACCTCTTCCAGGAGTACATGCGCGACGGGCTGGCTGAGCTCTCGTGAAGTGTGGGTATAAGTGATACGTAAGTCGTGATTTTGCCTTCGGTGCTGGCGTCCGAATGAAAGGCTAAGCGTTCTGTACTTAGTGTTATAGACCAGGCTTGAGTGGGTTGTGAAAGAAAGAAAGGTTTAATCGTTGTAGTCAAACTGATCAATACAAGTTCGCTACGGGAATATTCGGCGTGTGCGTGATGGATTGCTAGCATTGTAACAAAGTGTGAGAGCTCGGATCATCGGGGCCCATCGTGGGGTAATTTGAGACCTTGACAAGAAGCGGGCCAGATGCTCGATGTCCGACGGCTAAAATCTGGGGTAAGCAGTGTCAGTGCGGGGAAGTGGGATGTCTACAGATGTCTACTATGTACGACCGACGTCGGGTAGCTTCGGTGTAATGTCAAATACCTGGGTGACTGGACTCCTCGTGGCAATGGCGTTACGTGTGCTCGTCCTATTGTATATTTCAAACGTTGCTGATCTTGGTATTATGACCTTGGTAATGCCCTCATATTCATCGGAATGGATGTCAAAGGACGTGAGCAGTCGTCCTTTGATTGAGAACTCGAGCGCCGTTACCCCACACGTTCAGCACACCAGGCCATGGGGTATTTATTGCCCATCACTGGCAGTGACAGCGTAAGCGACGGAGACTCCGTCCTACATTGGGTCCGTCTCAGTAAGTGTGCCTGTTATTTAGGTGGATAGACGCCCGAAGCTACAAAATTTGAACGCAATGGAGTTGAGTACTAGCGAGCGCGAGGCTAAGGACAGACGAGGTGTATGTGCCGGACCATGGAACTGACGATTTTTGATACGATCACGGCGCTTGCAGAGGGCTGGCATCATTTAGATCCAAAATGCTTAACGTTAAACGACGAGAGGTACATATACTAAAGCAGTTATTGAATTTGTGGACATATTATTGCGAAACCTGAGCGTGAACACGAATCTTGGCTCTCTTCTCTGCAGGAGGATCATCATCGTCCTCATGACCTTTATCTGTTGCATCTCTAGGATGTGCGTTTTTGTCAGAAAGAGGGCGCACGTAAACGTCGAGTTTGTTGCCGCTGAGAGCCTCCAGAACGCCACGAAGCTTGTTCTTCATTTCTTTGTAAAGTGCCTCAGAGAATTGAGCATGGCGCCAGCGAGCATGCTGGCCAGTTATAAGCTGGAGCGGAGTTCCCTCCAGATCTCCGTACGCCGTCGACAAGGGTGCGACGATCTCCAGTCCATTAAGAAGTACAGAGCAGCCGGTATCGAAAGTGTAAACGTTTTCGAGAGGGTAGGTTATGTCGGCGTGCCTGGCACCCTGAACAGTCAACAAGCGGCTGCTGTTGCCTTCAATACCACAACCAAACCATTCTTTCGCCTCTTGTTTAAGGCACCCAATCAGTTCCAAGGGATTTTCCGAGCTAACAACACATGGTGAGGGAGGGTGATAAAACAAGGACCAAGCATATATCCAGAAGATGGACTCGAGGTCGTGGTAGAAATTGAAAGTAAGAGGCACCACTCGGAGCTTTGGGTGATCTTCAACTTTCACCTTCTGAAAATACTTGCGAGCCTGATATTCTGCTGCCATAAACTCAGGTGTCCCCTTGATAGTAGGATTAGATTTATTCATTGAAAGAATGAGAGAACTTGAAAGAATGAGAGAACTAACCGTCCTGGGGTCGTGGACGTACTCGCCTGAACGATCGTAGGGCATGGCATATTCCAGATCGGCGATCTTGCCTCGTTCTCCATCCATATGCCAAAGACAATTGCCACCACTGATGTCACGGTGAACCCAGCCAGCCAATCGAAGCAAGTTCAACCCTGCAGCGAAGTGAGTCCACGAGAGTGAGCTGACGCAGAATACGGACCCACCCTCGATGATGTCGATCAGACAGCGAATCAGGGTATGCCAATCAGGAAGCTCGTATAAGCTTTGGCACACCTCCTTGTGGATAGTCCGTACATGTTTTCGCCGGTGATAGTTTAATTCCTTCCGTTGTTTCGCCACTTTAGTGCTTGGCTTTTGCGCATCCCGAACTGCCTGACGCTGGGACCCTTGTCGTATCGAGCTGGGCTGGGGTTTGATGGCGAAGACATCATCTTCTTTGTCCTTGACCGACGTGAAATTTATCGGCTCTTTGACAGACATGTCAGTCGTCAAATCGGCAACGGACCATTCGACATTGTTTTCATTGGGTAGCTTGACCATTTCGTCATGGACATAAGTTAAGAAGTAGCCCTCTGCCTGCTTAGCGTAGCTCGTTGGTGGCATGTGTTGCTTGTCTAGCTTCGACAGCTGTCGGATAATATCGTCTTTGATGTCTTTCTCGAGCACCGCATCATCGTATGGATACGCGTCTTTAAGAATGAAAGTCTCCGTGCCCTCTTCAAACTCACCATCCTTGCCGAGGAATATTTCCCTCACAAGCCAAACTCGGGTCGATCGAGAGGCTATGCTCCAGGCTGATGATTCCGATATGGGATGCCCTATAGTCAAGAAGTACTTGTCCCGTACTTGATAGCGATATGAGATGACTGTCTCATAGTCGCTCGGATTCTTCGGATCAGGAATCTGGATACCTTCCTTCGGGACGCGTGTGGTGTACCGTACGACAGTGGGGTCGAAACCAAGATCTTGGTGCGTTGAAAAGGTGATGTAAAGGAGGAATAAGATGAAAAGACGTGGCTCCTACAATAAGACATCGGTGTGGGAAATTTGGGTTGAGTTTACCAACTTACATACCTTATGGAAATCAAAATCAGAAGAAACGCACGCATAACTACGCTCAAATCGCCACACACGCATGAAGGAGCCTTCAATGGTGAAGCCATTGATGAAACGACGACAAGGGTCGTTATATAGCAGCTCGGTCGCCGCACCACAAAGTTTGAGCTCATTCTGCTCGCATAAGCCCAAATTGAGAGGTAGGTCATCAAAGAAGACTTACGTCAATGACGTCCGCGAGCCCTGTTCCCTTTTTCACCTCCCCAACAATAACAGTGTCTGAGGTGTTCATCGAGGATAACCTTTCGCCTTCTTTGTATTCCTCAGTGTTTTTTAGTTTGTGTATGCGCCCGCTGCGTCGAAAGAAACGTGGATTGAGTTGTTCGTTGGGGAAGGGGAGGATGGCACGAATATCGGGCTTAAACTTGTAGGTTTCAACTTCCGAGATGGAAACATTGTATGGAGTAGGCTTGACGATGGCTGTTGGTTCGAGTCCGTCGTCTCTCTCCTTGGCCGCCTCGGCGACACTAGTTGCGATGACAGCTATGTGTTTGAAGGTATTGTCTCCATTTTTATGTTTTTGCATAGCCTCCAAAATGTCGGTCCAGCCATTATCGGATAGTCGTCCCGTTTCCCTCATCTTGCGCTCGACATATTCTAGGAAGTCATCGTCCCACTGGACCTTGCACGACGGTGCGTATTGATCAAACCAAGCGCTGATTTCGCAGGTGGTTAAGTTCTCTTCGAGAATATTGCAAATTTCTTTACGGAGGTCTGCCAACCCGTGCTGGGGTATCCGCTGGACGCGCACGGTGCGAGGAGATTCGTGTGGGCGCAGCTTAAGCATCAAGAATAACGTATGAATCGGAGAGGTGATAATGCATTGAGCAGAAGAGTAGCAATGTATGTTGATGAAAGGGCTGAGCGATAGTGTTGAGCTTGGGCTGGTCGGAGACCTTAAGCGCCGAAGCGCTGAACGTTGAACAGTATGGCATTCCCACGATCGATATCACCACCTACCCCTAGAGAATGGTTCCCACACGCTTCGGACATCAATATGCATCAAATGAAGACAATGATGATTGACATGCTGATGTACAGTAGCATGTGTCCTCTTGTCAGGTAACTCTTGTTAAAGCTCTTGTTTGTTAGGCTAACACAAGATAATTATGACGCTTCTTCACTTTCTGCTAACAAGTATCATAATATTGTCAGCAAGCATGCATGCGTGGCGCAGGGCCAAGCGGGTGCAGCTCGACAGTCGACCCATCGACCCTCATCAAAATTGAGCGCCCGTCCGTCTTTGATCGCCGCACGAAGGAGAGTGGGGTACTTGAGCCGAATTCAAGCAGTGCCAGTGCGGGGAAAGGGGTGCCTACTGCGACCGACGTCGTGTAGCTATAGTATTTAAGCTATAGCGTCGGTTTTACGTGGACAGGTGACTTAGTAGTTAATTACTCGTCTGGTGTGGACCTTGGTATTAAGTACGCATACTCGTACTAGCACAATATTTCAATTGGTAGTAGGTAAAGGCCGTGATAATATCCTCATTCCCGTCTGAATGGACGCGAATAATTGGACATGAGCGCTTAAGCGGCCGTCAGCTCTCGAATTAAAAACTCGAGCACTGTTACCCCACACATTCGGCACACCGGGCCATCAGCATTTGCGCAAACGACTGGTCAGTCCCGTGTCAGATCCGTTCCAGGGCAGCTAGGTCATACGAAGGGGTAGTCTACATCACCGTCGTAGGCAGCACGTATCAAGGTCTGTAAGGGAGCCTATTTCCAGCCTGTGCCTGTCATTCAGGTAGTTCCAGAATTTGACCAGTCCGCTAAGGATAGGTGCCACTAGCATCGAACCGCGATGTCTACCTTGGAGGGCTATGAGCTACGAAAAGTAGTCGTGGCGGATCATAGCATCGATCATAATCTTTGGGCATGGTCATGGCGTTTACAGATGACTGGCATCATTTGGACCCAGAGCGCTCAATGTTCAACGACAAGGGGTACATATACTAAAATCGGTATTGAATATGTAGACAGGTTATTGCGAAACCTGAGCGTGAACCTGAATCTTGGCTCTCTTCTCTGCAAGAGGACCATCATCGTCCTTGTGACCATCATCTATTGCATCTCTAGGATGAGTGTTCTTGTCAGAAAGAGGGCGCACGTAAACGTCGAGTTCATGGTCATTGAGGGCGTCCAGAACGTGACGAAGCTTGTTTTGCATTTCTCTATAAGGCACCTCAGAGAACTGGGCAGGGCGCCAGCGAGTATGTTGGTCAGTTATAAGTTGGAGCGGAGTTCCCTCTAGATCTCTGTACGCCGTCGATAATGGTTTGACCACCTCTAGTCCACCAAGGAGCACGGAGCAGCTGGTCTCAGGAGTGTAAACGCCTCGGAGAGAGGATGTCATGCCAGCGCGCCTGGCACCCTGGATAGTTACAAGGCGGCTGTTGTTGCCTCCAATACTACAGTCGAACCATTTTTTCGCGCTTCGTTTAAGTTGCTCGATCACTGGCATGGGTATTCCTATGTCAACGAAACATTGTGAGGGAGGGCGGTAGAACAAGGACCAAGCATATATCCAGAAGATGGGCTCGAGGTCGTGATAGAAGTTAAAGGTGAAGGGCACCTCTTCGAGCTCTGATTGATCTGCAACTTCCACATTGTGGAAATATTCGCGATCTTGGTATTCTGCTGCCATAAACTCAGGTGTTCCCTGATAGCAAGATTAGAGTCGTTCATAGACACAAATAGGGAACTAACCGTCATAAGCTCATCGACGTGCTCGCCTGAACGATCGTAGGGCATGGCATATTCCAGATCGGCGATCTTGCCTCGTTCTCCATCCATATGCCAAAGACAATTGCCACCACTGATGTCACGGTGAACCCAGCCAGCCAAGCGAAGTAGGTTCAACCCTAAAGTGAGTTGAGTACACGGGAGTTAGCTCACGGAGAACACAAACCCACCCTCGATAATGTCGATCAGACAGCGAATCAGGGTATGCCAATCAGGAAGCTCGTAGATGCTTTGGCACACCTCCTTGTGGATAGTCCGTACATGTTTCCGCCGGTGGTAGTTCAGTTCCTTCTGTTGTCTCGCCACCTTGGGATTTGGCTTTTGCGCATCCCGAATCGCTTGGCGCTGGGACTCTGGGCAAGTCGAGCTGCGTTGTGATTCGCGGGCGACGAAGACAATGACATCACCGTCCTCAACGCTCGCCAAAGAATCTACCTTTTCGACAGGTGTAAAACAGATCGGCTCTGTGACAGGCGTATAAGTCGTCAAATCATCAAGTGACCACATGCTCTCGTTTTCATCGGGTAATTTGACGAGCTCGTCATAGACATAAGTCATGAAGTAGGCCTCTGCCTTCTTAGCGTAGTTCGTTGGTGGCGTTTGTTGCTTGTCCAGCTTCGAGAGTTGTTGGATAATATTGTCTTTGATGTCCTTCTCGAGCACCGCATCGTCGTATGGATACGCGTCTTTAAGAATGAAAGTCTCCTTGCCCTCTTCAAACTCACCATCCTTGCCGAAGAATATTTCCCTCACCAGCCACACTCGGGTCGATCGAGAGGCTATGCTCCAGGCTGATGATTCCGATATGGGATGCCCTATAGTCAGGTAGTATTTGTCCTGTACTTGATAGCGATATGAGATGACTATCTCATAGTGACTCGGATTCTTGGGATCAGCATTTTGGATGCCTTCCTTCGGAACGCGTGCAGTGTACCGCACAACAGTAGGGTCAAAACCAAGATCCATGTGCGGCGAAAATGTGAGATAAAGGAGAAATAAGATGAAAAGACGTGGCTCCTACAATAGGACATCGGTGTGGGGAATTTGAGTTTGAGTTTACCAACTTGCATACCTTATGGAAATTGAAATCAGAAGAAACGCACGCGTGGCTTCGCTCAAATCGCCATACACGCATGAAGGAGCCTTCGATGGTGAAGCCATTAACGAACCGACGACAAGGATCGTTGTATAGCAGCTCGGTCGCCCCGCCGCAGAGTTCGAGCTCATTCTGTACGCGTAAGCTCAACTCAACAGGTGGGTCATCAAAGAAGACTTACATCTCTGACGTCCGCGGCCTCCCCTCCCTTCTTCACGGCCCCGACGACAACAGTGTCGGAGGTGTTTATCGAAGACAACCTCTCACCTTCTTTGTACTCTGGAGTGTTTTTCTGTTTGCATATGCGCCCGCTGCATCGAATGAAACGTGGATCAAGGCGTTCGTTGGGAAAGGGGAGAACGGCGCGGATGTCGGGCTTGAACTTGAAGGCGTCGACTTCAGATATGGATCCAACGTTGTCCGGAGTGGGCTTGATGATGGCTGTCGGTCCTACTTCGCTATTTATTTCCATGGCCTCCTCGGCGACCCCGGCGGCAATGTCAGCCATGTATTTGAAGGTATTACTGGCTTCAGTTTCATGGTCCTCTGTAGCCGTTAAAACAGCGGACCAGCCACTATCGGATAGTCGACCCGTTTCTCTCATCTTGCGCTCGACACGTTCTAGGAAGTCGTCATCCCATTTGACTCTGCATGACGGAGCGTACCAATCAAACCAAGCGCTGATTTCGCAGGTGGTTAAACTCTCTTCGAGAATGTCGCAGATTTCTTGACGGAGCTCTGTCAAGCTGTCCTGGCTTATCTCCTCGGCATGGTTGATGCGAGCGGTTTCGTGACGGGCAGGCTTAGGCATCAAGAATAGGGTATGAATCGGACCGAGTTGATGAAAGAGCTACGCGATAGCGTTGAACTTGAGCAAGGGTAGGGCGTGCGTCAGGGTTCCCGATCTTAGAAGTTTGGCTCTAGTGGTTGGGCTGGATAGAAGGCTCTCCACGAGCTTGGCACGATGTATCACCAATACGAGTCTAAACCTGAGGGTGTACCAATGCCGTTAAACAATGCCACTAGCACTGAGGGAGGCTACAAGGAAGGTCGGCGATTTGGCGGAGTTCTAATCCCACACGAACACTCAAGCAGTGCCAATGCGGGGAAGCGGGGTACGGCCGACAGTCGGGTAGCCTCGGTTCTGAACTGCTATAAACAGGGCGACTATATATGACGCCTCGTCCGGTGAGGACGATGGTTTTACGTGCACTCGTGCTGGTGTACATTTCAAGCGTTGTTAGCGTTGGTGTAACGACCGTGATAACGCCCTCATTCTCACCGGAATGGACGTCAAAGGACGTGAGCGGCCGTCCTTTGACTGAAAACTCAAGCGCTGTTACAGTGTTACCCCACACGTTCGGCACACCGGGCCATGGGGTACTGCGCATCAAGTGGCAGCGCAAGCGACGGGTAGTCGACTTGTCAGCCCTGCGTTAGGTCCGTTCCAGTCTGTGCCTGTCATTCAGGTAGTTCTGGAATTTGACTGGTCCGCTAAGGATAGGCGCCCGCCAGCATCGAAACGCGCCGTTGAAGACGTGTCCGCCTCGGAGGGCTGTGAGCTGCGAACGCGGGGCTAAGGATAGGTTAAGTGTGTGTTTGTTCCGGATCATGGAATCGATAATCTGACATGATCACGGCGTTTGCAGACATTGGCATCATTTGGGTCCGAGGGTGTCTCATTGGGCCGTGGTATGACGAAGATCGCACGTATAACGCATGCGCTATGATGAGAGCATGTGTGTACTTGCATAGCATGAGGAGAGGTTTGGGCGGGATGATTGGATAAGTGGCCGACGTCGGAGAGGTGGCAGTCAACACGTCCGGATCCCTGACTACGGGACGGAGGTGAGCCGGAAATAGCGTGTCGGCTATATGAGTTTCTGGGGTCGACGCGACGGGAGAGACGGATCTTGGAGAGACTGCAGATGCTTTACGGCTGGGTGTGACCGGCTCATGCACGGCCAGTTTCAGTCTGGAGCCTGGACTGCAATAGAAACAATCCATTTCGATTTTGTATAAATATTGCCAGGCTGCATGCCATACCTCTCTCCTCCATCCACCACCAACCAGCTCCATTCCATCACCCTTCTTCCCTTTTTTCCCTTTGATCTCTTAATACCGACCAGTAGCCATGTCAGAAGACGCGCCACGCCCTGCCAACACCGTCCTGCTTGATCCCAACATGGGCCATCTCAACAGCGGATCAGCCGCAAGCTCGCGTACCAACAGCGACGTCTCGCTCCAGCGTGTCAAGAACCTCCCCGGGTATACCACTCCCGTGTTCAAGGGCAAGGAAGAGCAGCGCGCCAAAGTCCAGGTCGAGGTGGCCAACAAGGTGCGTTCATCACACTAACAATCGCGCCGTCGGTGTCTCGCCCATCGAGACAGGCAGCACGCGATGACAGTGTGTTATCTATATCTATGCGCGATCACGCTGACGCGACGCGCGTGCGGTTGTTTATAGGGCTTCATCCCGCGGGAGCTCGTCGCGAACGAAGTCAACTGGTTCTACTCGCACCTGGGGATCGATGACACCTACTTCCAGAACGAATCCGTTTCGGTCATCTCCGATCATATTCTCGCCCTCTTTGGCGCCAAGGTACTGGCCTTCACAAAGCATGATCCCACCAAACTCGTCATCGACCTCGAGCAAATCGACGAAAAAGGAAGCAGCGCGACCTTTATCTACACCAGTCCACCAGGCAGGACCCTGGTCGAGGGCCCCGGGGCAACCTGCGAGGCACGGTCAGTTTTCATCGCTTTCTGCAAAGCAATAAACTGTAGTTGCTGATACCTAGTGTTTGTTTCAAGGATTGACTCGCTCTACCTGGACAAGGTCTCACCTGAAAACTGCTACCGTCTCGAGACGTTCCGTTCCACCGGCTCCATCTCGGCCACCGCGTCTCAGCAGCTTCGTTGCTACTTTGTCACCAAATGCAACTTCCCCACCACGCCCGCAAAGATTGTCGATGGCCACGCCGAGATCCGCAGCGTATCCGACCCCATCTTCCTAGAGAAGGCCAGCGATAACACCCTTGAGATCTACCAAAAGATCATGAACCAGGTCGAGAGCCGACACGGCCCCGTTATGGAGGTCTTTGAGGTCGAGGGCACCCGCGAGCGCCGCCTTGTCATCGGTTACAAGATGGGCGGCACCTCGCGCTTCTTCAGCGCGCTCTCGAACCTGTACCACTTCTACTCACTCTTTTCGGCGCGCAAGTATGTCGAGCAGTTCTCAAATGGCGTCACCATCATCTCGCTTTACCTCAACCCGATGCCGAATTCGAACGCGGCGCCCATCGAGCACTCGATCTTCCAGGTCATGAAGGAAGCCTCGTTGCTCTACTGTCTCCCCGACAACCCTTTCTTCCTCGACCCCGGAAACACAAACCACGCTGTCCAGGAGGCTACCTATGCTTGTGAGCATCTTCAACTTCACCTAAAAGACATACACTTACATGTATTCTACTAGACTGTGGATGGGTGTTCGCGCAGCACTTCTGCAACCGTCTTGGGCCTGCTTACCACCATCTGAAGGATGTTCTTGACGAGAACATTGCCACCCACGCTGAGGTTCTGAATGACATCAAGAGGCGTTTCAGGGAGGAGACTTTCACTCGAGAGAGCATCGCCCAGGTCATCCACGCACACCCTGACCTGGTAAGCTTCCTACAACTCGTGGACTATCAGATTATTAACATGAGCGTAGATACAACTCCTCTACGTCAACTTCGCCATGACCCACTACCCGACGGCCGACGAAGCATCACAGCTCATGCCGACGCTTTCGTACCAACGCCTGCAAACTACCCAACCTATGTCTGATGCGGAGCTGTACGATAAAATTAGGCGTACCGTGTTGAACAAGCAGGATCTACAGGTCCTCGAGGCGTTCATGGTGTTCAACAAGTATGTACAAGCCTTGAGTTCTCCTCAGCTTAATCTAACGCCATTTTTAGACACGTCCTAAAGACCAACTTCTACCAGCCGACCAAGGTTGCGCTCTCCTTCCGTCTCGCGCCCGACTTCTTGCCCGAGGTCGAATACCCCAAGAAGCCGTTCGGCATGTTCTTCGTCATCGGGAATGAGTTCCGCGGCTTCCATATCCGCTTCAGGGACGTTGCGCGTGGCGGTATTCGTATCGTCATGTCGCGGAACAAGGAGTGAGTCTTGCTGTGGAAGGGTCTAACGAGGTTGCTGACACCAAAACTCCAGGAACTACTCTATTAATCAGCGTATGCTCTTCGATGAGAACTATGGTCTGGCGTCGACGCAATCCCTGAAGAACAAGGATATCCCTGAGGGCGGTGCAAAGGGTACCATTCTTCCTTCGTAAGTGTGTCCACCGCCTTGGATGTGTGCCTGTCTTCACCTTGATTTGCAGCTTGGGTGCCAGCCCCCGTCTATGCTTTGAGAAATATGTCGATGTCAGTCGAGGAAAGCCGTGATCGAAGAGTGTTATTCTAATCCTTCTGCTAGGCTGTCATCGACCTTCTTATCCCTGGCCAGACCCCTGGCATCAAGGAACGCCTTGTGGACCTGTACAACAAGCCCGAGATTCTGTTCTTCGGTCCTGACGAGGGTACCGCTGACATGATGGACTGGGCTGCCCGTGAGTAATAGTAATATGGTCTTCTCTCCCTTTTACTAAAGTATGCGCGTCTAGTTCACGCTCGCGAGCGTGGTGCAGAGACCTGGTGGAAGTCGTTCACGACCGGCAAGAGCGCTGAGCACCTTGGTGGTGTTCCTCACGACACATACGGCATGACGTCCCTGTCGATTAGGCAGTACGTGCTCGGCATCTACAAGCAGCTTGGCCTTCGGGAGAAGGATATCACCAAGGTGCAGACCGGCGGCCCTGATGGTGATCTTGGATCCAGTGAGTAAACTGCTGTTTATAACATAACCCGATTCTTATGTGGTGGTGTAGACGAAATCCTTCTCAGCTCGGACAAGACTGTCGCTATTATCGACGGCAGTGGTGTTCTCGCTGACCCCAATGGTCTCAACCGGGAGGAGCTCGTCCGCCTTGCCAAGCTGCGCAAGCCTGTGGGCTTCTTTGACAGGTCTAAGCTCTCCAAGGATGGATACCTTGTCCAGGTTGAGGAGCAGGACGTCAAGTTGCCCTGTGAGTGGAAATCCAACATGTTGATTGCATACACTTACTGACGACAATTTTAGCCGGAGAGGTCGTCCTCGATGGTACCGACTTCCGTAACGGTGCTCACCTCCGGTTCAAGGCGGATATGTTTGTCCCTTGTGGTGGCAGACCCGAAGCTGTGAACATCTCCAACGTCGCCGCTCTTGTCGACTCCGAGGGCAAGCCCCACTTCAAGTACATTGTTGAGGGTGCCAACTTGTTCTTCACCCAACAAGCTCGTCTGTACCTTGAGAAGCGCAAGGTTTGCCTGTTCAAGGATTCCAGCGCTAACAAGGGTAAGCTCCTTTCTAGAACTGGTTAAGCGTGAATGTTCATGTCGTTCAATAGGTGGTGTTACGAGTTCCTCGCTGGAGGTTCTGGCTGGATTGGCACTCACCACGGACGAATACGTCGAGCTCATGATCTTCAAGGACGGCAAGCCCTCGCCCTTCTACCAGAGCTACGTAAAGGACGTCCAGGCCAAGATCGTGGAGAACGCCGCCGCCGAGTTCCATTGCATCTGGAAGGAGCATGGGCGCCTCGGCGGCGCCAAGCCCCGCACGCAGATCTCGGACGAGCTCTCGAGCACGCTAAACAACCTCCAGGCCGAGCTCGAGAGCTCGGACCTGTACGACGACGAGCCAAGCCGGCGCGGCGTCCTCAGGCGCGCCATCCCCAAGACGCTCGTCGACCAGATCGGCCTCGACGAGCTGTCGAGCCGTCTCCCCGAGCCGTATCAGCGCGCGCTGTTCTCGAGCTGGGTGGCTTCGCACTTCGTACGTCCTTTTCTTGTCCATTTCCTCGCTGCTTTCCCAACAAAAGCTAATATGACTGCTCTTCGCAGATCTACAAGTACGGTGTTAACGGCTCATCAGTGGACTTCTTCCACTTTGCTCGCGACTTGGCCCTCTAGAACAATCAATTCGCAATGGACAATCTACCATACACTCACAGATTAATTATGTATATACCAGGGTATTGATGGGTCGGAAGTGATCACAAAAACAAAAAGCTGTATATCATGTAATTGAAAATAGACAAAGCTTCGTTCGTCTTCAAAATCTGCTCGCTCTCCATGATGATATCAGTTTGAGGAAGAAGCAAATGAACTAACAGTTTCGGTCATCTTTACATGCGTTCTTCGGATCGTGAATTCACGTATCTGTCAGACCGAGGAAGTAATGCAAAGATGAGTATAGTGAACTATGTTACAATTACAGTCCCTCATCGTAAAGTTTCCGAGAAAGCGCTACATAAAACCTCTCTAGATCCATCCTCGTCTCGAGTTCGTTTATCCGCGGCTTCTTCACCTTCTGTGGCGGGGGTTCGGTTGGCACTGGTGTCTTTGGCGGCGAGCCAGACGCAGGCACATGGTCGACGATCCAGTCAAAAACGGCCGACAACTTGTCGGTGGACGCCTTGATGACAGGGTCTTCACGCTCCTTTGCTCGCAACCTGTCTCGGTCCTCCTTCTTTGTGAGCGTCGCCGAGCCCCTGGCCTCGTGAGGCGCAGCCTTGGCTTGCCCAGCCTCCCCACCGCCGTTGCCCGCACGCCTGCTCTCGCTCTCCCGCTTCTGATCCTCCTTCTTCCACGCGGTGACGAACCGCCCCCAGTCGCCAAACGACCAGCCGTCCATGCTGCCAATGCTCACCCGGCTCGTGAGGCTCCCGAGCTGGGAGAGGTCGACATTGACGCCAAAGTCCATCCCGCGCGCGCCCCGGATCTCCCAGTGGTCGCAGCCTTCGATGATACCGAGGAACTCGCCCCACCGCGCGCTCTGCACGCTCACGAGCCCATCGTTGCCCCACAGATCGCTGCGCTCCCACAGCGGCGGTCCCTCGCGGTCCCAGCCGTCCCCAGTCCCCGAACCGGAGCCAGAATCAGAGCCCGACGCGGCCTCAACGCGGATACGCTCGCGCGCGCGTCGCTCCGAGTCGTCAAGTACCATCTTGGGCAGCCAGAGCGGGTGCCAGATACTCATCTCGTCGAGGCGGCCCGCAACGGAGAAGTAGCGGACACGCGGGTCGTCGGGCGTAGCGGGGTTGAACACGTTCATGAGGTAGTTAGTTGTCAAGTTCGCGTACGCGGGCGAGTCGAGCAGGGAGAGGATGAGCGTCGTGAACGAGGACGGCAGCGACGCGAGCGAGAACGCGGCCTCTTTTTTCGCCTTCTCTTTCAAGGCTTCCGCCAACGCGGTCGCACGGTCGAGCGGCGCGGGGCTGTTGGAGGACGAAGCGGAGGCATGAATCTGCGAATCTCTCTGGCGGTTGCGGCCGAGTCCGATGTTCTCCTGTATATGACGATGAGGGATTCGCAATATTGATGATATAGTATGTACATACAGAGCACCAGTCCATGAAGGGGCTTCCGCGATGAGGGGTGCTAATGGTCGTCAGAGATAGGGGCGCGTACTCTGTCGGCTTCACGTGTGAAATAAGATGACGACAATCCAGTCCACCCATGGAGTGTGCCAATAGGTTGACGCCTCGCCCTCTGGCGCGTTCTTGCAGCAGACGATCCAAGTTCTCCGATCGCGATGCTATCGAACCAGTCCTAGTATAGTGCATTAGAACGGAGGGCGGCAATACATTGGGGAGGTGAACATACCCAGGTACGCTTGTGACGATGACGTTCGCACCAACCTTCTTACGAAGGATCTCGAGAACGTTTGACCAATAGTGCATCCGGAGACTGGGAAACGAGGAAGGACCACGGACGTCAAAGCCATATAGTCCTAAAACATCTCAGTACCGCGAGTCATATAGAGCGAGAAAGGGGCGCACCGTGGCATAGTACTATAGGGTATCGTGGTGCTCTCATAGGATCGTAGAGTGCAGGGTTGCGCATGAGCTGGTGAACGATGTCATCGGACTTGGGATCCAAATTAGTTCGGTGAGGAGGAGAAGGGGTCGGAGAGCTGGAAGGCGGTTCTGGTGGTTTAGACGATGCGTTGCTGGGAGGTGCGAACTCTGCGGAAGTGAGCGTCGCGGTAGCGCGATCTACGGTGGGTATGCTTACCGCTCGAGTCTATGCCTGAAGACATCTCAGAAGCTGTTGATCTCAATGTGCCGTTCCATGGCCATTTCTCCAAAAACGACTTGGGTTCTGGTGAGAAGGGGGATTTGGCTGAAAGAGTTGGAGACTCGTCGAGGCTTGTAGAACGAGAGACGTATTGGTGGGTGATGGAAAGGGTGGAGAAGACATTGACGATTCTTCTGACGAGTGCTGCGACGGGTGCTGCAAAGTAGACGTTGTTCATGCTGCACCCAGTGGTGCTAAGGCATGACCTTGAGTGTGTACTGATCAAGAAGCGAACGCGATGTTTTGGGGATCAGACATGACACACAACGTCACACGTGGCTAATTTCGTTTCGGCCTACTTGGCTTCTACTTGGCCTCCTCCGGCCTCCGCGTCAAGCTCCGGAATCCGAACCACCAAGCTCCGGTCTTCATTACCACCATGCCAATATTAAGCTAGGACAACTCTAGTTCAACTACAATGTCGGTCACTCCTAGTTTCTCTGTATTACGTGCGGTAGAGGCTTGTAAAGAGCAACCAAAAGACGAAAGCTAACTTGAAGAATGCATTCGTGTTGACGAGCTGGTTATATACGCCATTTTATGGCCAGACAACATCTCTGGTAGTATATCGGATAGTACACCCGCCTGTCACGCGGGAGAGCGGGGTTCGACTCCCCGCCAGAGAGTACTTTTTGTACTTCTTCATTCATATCTCAATCTCCTGCACCAAGTCCTGCACACTAGTGCACTGTATTACGGTTCCAAATTTTGAAGCATGGCATTATAATTTGCCATGCAAATGTACATGGTAGAAGACCAAGTCATAATCTACGCAATATTCCCCGAACCCCAGAGGCGCGGGCACAAGGTGCAGTGATCACGCCTCCAGACTATAGTACTGTCACATCGAATCCGTTACATATAAAATAAAGATATTACAACCTGTGAATTCTATGACTATCCAACAAGACTATGATCTCTTGCCCTCCTCCGTTTCGTCATACGTGCCCGCGTCATCGCTCTCCATCTCATGCTCGTGTTCATGCCTCGCGAACTTGAGACTCATACGCCGACTCGGATCGTACGAGCCCGCCACGTGCCCCCTGCGTATCGCACCGAGCTCGGCGACATCATGCTCTCGCGTGATGATCGTGCTCGCCGTCGTCGCATCCCAAGCAACCCCGCGCGCAATGCGGAGCATGAGGAGAAGCGGGCCGATGACTTGTAATTGTGGCAGGACGGCGATTACCAGGTACATGGCCGGGTGTCGGATGAGGAGCAGGGTAATGAAGACGATATCGCTGACAGTCACGATCGCGCACGATTCGACGGCCATGGGGGCGATCTTCGTGTACTGCTTAGGGTGCGGGTTGCCTGTCATGTAGGATGCGAGGTAAGTTCTTTTGGTCCGTAAAACTTGATAGAAAGGTGGCGCACCAATCTGCTTTTTGAATCTCCGGCGGTAGTACCAGATACGACCTGCCATAAGTGCGGTGGCGACTACAGTCAGTAGTGTACCCGTCAATAAACCGGCTACAGTCAACCCGTTCGCAGCGGGAGAGGTGAAGATATCGTGGTTCGGAAGCATGTCGAAGATGACGCCGATTGCGGTTATGGCTACCAAAATATAATCAGCCAAAACTGGTGTTTTGAAATTGCACGGACTCTACCTGATGATCCAAGATAAAGTGCGATCATAAGAAACATGATATAGGGATACGCTCTCGAGCTCTGCCATGTAATCTTAATTCTCCACGTCTGCAGGAGCAACAATTAACATCCCAAAGCGCGGGACAAGGAAAAAAGAAATAGCACAAACCATCATCCCGTGTACGAGCACAGACAATAACCAATCCGCAACGTCGACAACCTTACTCTCCGGACTCGTCTGATCGTTGTACGCAGCGGGCCCGGGACCATCGAAACGATGCTGGACATAAGCCTCCTCGATCTGGCGCGAAAACCCCGCGAGGATGAGCGTGGCGCACAGCCAGAGCAGGCCGATGTACCCGATGAGCACGGCCATGCGCGAGCGTGAGCGCCGCCCGCACGGCGAGGTGAGCGTCACCTGCACGCACGTCGCGGCGAGGACGGTCATGAGGCCGTAGAACGTGCCCGCGACAGTCGTGGTCCCGATAAGCCGGATGCCGTCCGCAAAAGTGGAGTCCACCATTGCAGGCGGCGCACCAGAGCCCGAGCCCGAGCTCGAGTTGGAGGCCATGAAGGCAACCTGTGCCCGTCGAAGTCGCAGTAGTTCACGGGAGGCAAGGTGGGTCGGGAGGAGGGGAAAGTCGGGGTGGGGTTCAAAGTGGTGGTGTCGCTGATGATAGTAGAATCAAATATCAAACACTCTGCCCAGACTCAAGCTCAAGTGCTGACAGTGTGCTGACCCATAATAACCCGGATTTAACCCTGCTGGGGTTATGTCGCTGACGTTGAGCAATATGCGACCTGATCTGCCCTGTCAACTAGTGTCAACCAATATCAGCTTTTCTTCTCTTAGTGACGGCGAAATCATGGGATATCGACGTCAAATCTACCTCTGATGGGTCCAGATTCGACGACGCTTAAACTTTGTGGTATTACCGTTCTTAATGCCTTTTAACCACTAGGTGCGTAAGCTTGCGTTTTAAACTTCTTATGCACGGCTAAGACTTAGCGATATGCTTGCTCTGATTTCAAGTTTTTGTCACTACACATACACTACACTATACGTCAGAGCTTAGCAAAAAACATTAGGATCGTTGAGTGTCGAACTTTGGTTGAACTTACCTAAAGGTTACTACCGAATGGATCAAGCCCATCAAGGGATTTTATCCTCGAACGTGTTGAGTAGTAACAGAGAGCGACTGGGTTGAAGAGCATAATCAGAACAGGGAGATGAAGAAAGAACGTTGTCCTAAGAAATGCGGCTGAGATTGCGGCCGGACACGTAATAGCACCGTCATATTAAGAAAGACATGACATATTACATGCTCTTGAGCATCAAGATAAAGGCTGATAAAGGGCGGTCGACGCGGAGAAAACAAGGAACATACGACTGCACAGGGTCTTCTAGTACACCTGACAATCTTCATCCATGATAAAGAAAGCCATTTTCAGAACGGCAGGATGACGGAAGATCCAAAAGAGCGGAAATAAGCAAACCGGGAAAATCGAGGGTGGACACAGGTGGTTATCGGCTGGTATCAACCTCATCGCAAGCCACGGTGACGTGTTCTCACAGGCCCTTCTAAGGCTCAGTTTCCAGTCCGCCAATCGCAATCCAATCGCACGGGAGCATCGCTTTGTGGATGTGTGACGGCATCCTTAAGACCGTTTCCTTGTGCAGCTCATTGATTGCGCAGGTCTCCGAGCAAAGCACGAACCTGCCCATCCCGCCCTCGGTGCCCGTGAAGACAGCCACCGTCGGGGGCCGTTCGGCTCTGAAGTAGTAGATCGTACATGACAGCGTGTCGACAAGCGTGTACATGTGGCCTCTCCACTCGCCCTCGTTGTCGGCGAGCAAGGCCAGCGTCGCTTGTTCGCCGTCACCCATGCGGTGCTCGAGCTCGCCCGGGATTGACCAGAGTGAGCCGCTCGGTGTGTAGAACGTGCGTGGAAAGCTGGTAATTGCGCCGCCAAAGAGGCGCTCAGACACCTGTTCGGTGGTGAGGACACCTTTCACTCCGATTAGCCACGGCTGTGCGTAGAGGATGCGGCCAGATTCACTGTAACCAATAAGAAAGGGCGCAGCAAACAGGAGAACGATTGCGACGATAATGATGAATATACCTTCTGCCCGGGAGAGGTTAATCAAGAAAATGCCCAAGATATTTATTCCCCAAAAGAGATAAGGCAGGGCGCCAGAAACAGCGCGTCTGACAGAGGGGTTTCGTTCGAAGGCGATATCCGGGAAGTTCTTCCACCGAATGGCGGCTGCAACACATCCGTCGAGGACGAGCGCTCCGTTCTTTGTCAAGCCGGCCACCTGTACCTGAGGTTCAATGTCCCATAAATTCGCACCGTACGCGTCCTCATCGGAGTACCAACATGCAGTGGGCGGGATGGAATGAGGGAGAAGAGAAACCATCCTCTCTGCGATTCGGTCGCTGTCATTGGCCATTGAGAGACGAGCGAGAGCTTGAAGCTCGGTCTCAATAGGATTGGGTAGGATGCGGTGCTCGAAAAAGCCCATCAGAGCGTATACCCGCTCAGCAGGGTATGCCTCGCTAGGCAAGCCGGGGGTGATCTCGCCATTCTGTTGGAGAAAGGAGGGGACTGTATAACATTGGGCTGCAGTAACAGCCACCTGAGTTAATTCAGATGAAGGAGTAGGGGCGTCAGGAACAGAGGTGCTGGCGCGACGCCAAATGGCAGATTTGAGAAGGGATAGACGTTCGAGCCTCTCGAGCGGATCCTTCCCATTGTATGCGTTGATAATGGCAGTTTCTTCGTCGTATCGATTGTAAGCCCAATTAGCAAGCTGATGGAGGGTAACCTCGCGGATAGGCCCATTACCAATCATGTATGCGAGCTTGTCGCTGAGAAGTGCCTCGGGCAAAGTCCAAACTCGACCTCCCCAACTTTCCCACCTTGCCTTCCAGTTTTCCTGATTGTCTCCTGCGGATTGAGGCATGGTGATAAGCGTCAGCTGAGCGCCACGGTAGATGTCGGCCATACGATAGAGATCTATGTTCTTTTCCTCTAGAGTCGATCCAATGCATTCAAGATCGAGCCAGTATGCGTCGAGACGTTGGGCCATGGTAGCCTTCTGAATCGTCCGAGAAAATTCCTCTCTTTGCTCTTTCTCTCGCCTTCGTCCTTCCTCATCTCGACCACGAGTGAAGACGTCAGACTGACGATATGAAATGGCGATATAAGGATGGCGGACGATCTCGGCAGCGTCGTCGGTCTTGTACCAGAGGCTGCGTGCTCGGTCGTACACGACGAGCTGCCGGGGGTGGAGAGCATGGGTGATACTGTGCAGATCGCATTTCTCCCTAGGTTTTATAGGCATCCTGTGGCCTTTCAAGGCCATGCTGCGCAACGCGTATTCTCGTGACGAGCGAGCGGACCACATTTGGCCCCAAAACCGATGACGATAGGGTTTGTAACGGCCAGTGTACGAGGCCTGATCATGACCAAGGGACCAGAGGAGTGCAAACGTGAACCAGAACCACTTGAGGATCCACTCTAGAATTTTGCCTGGGGACGGAGGGAAGTTCTTGACGAGCCAGACCGCAAGCTTGCCCGATTTTTCAGAACCGTCAGTGATGGGGACTTCTTGGCCCTTTTGCGGATTAACAGCCTGAATGCGAAGCTTGCGACATAGACCGGAGGTGGGGCTGATATACCGTTGTCCCGGGCCATGAGTATTACGCCTGAGTTGATTGTCGACGCAAGACGGTTTACTAGATAAATTGGGTAAACCCTGGACTGCGTCGCCCATGATAACGCGAAGGCTGTCTGAGGAAATATTCGGGTCAGTCTTGCCAGGCGACCATCGCTTTGAAAGCAAGTACCTCAATCAATGGAGTCTCGATGAAGCAAGCTTTGGTCAGACGATGGGAACGGTTTTATAGACACACCTTGCAAGGTCACTGGTTACTCTGCAACTGCTTGGGTATCCTGTTTCATCGGTATCAGAGATCCAGATACTGCCCTATATTTGAAAGAAGATGGTCAACGGCTGTCCTTGAGAAGCAATCATGCTACGAGGGCATTGTGTATGTGAGCCCTGGCCGCCGAGAACCCAGAGCATCCAAGTGCCCGTTGTCATCAAACGTAGAAAAGTTGTGCCAGTGCAAGGGGAGCGACAATCCCAGGAGCCTAGTGAGGTGCACAACGTTCTCTGAGCCTATGTCACAGCATAGAGCAAGCACAGAGAGGGTGAAGCGTATTTGCTGTACCCAAGTGCGCTAAAGCAAGAAGATCGCGTCGTTCCAGGACATCTTTAATAAGCTGGATCTGCGCAATTCGATGAAGAATGCAAGTCTCCGTAGATGAGCCGTCGAATCTTTGGTCGATAAGGCTGCGATGAGGGGCCGTTTGTGTCATCAGAGGGAATTACATGATGGGACTGGAATAGGACGGAAGCAAAAGAGGCTGAAGGAGTTGTGGAAAGTGTGGCTGTGCCTGATGGCTTTTCTTTGAATCATGTCTTTGTCTTTCATCATCGTCGACGGCCCCACGCCAGTAGAAATCAAACCCAATATTCCACGGCAACAACAGCACCCTTATTTTTAGAATGAGGCGTCCTTCATTCTTTGGTAACTTGCATCCCTGGTTGCCGCGGTACCCCTTCTGGCCTTTTGTATCTCATCCATCCTTGACGCCTTCTACGGATTTACAGCGCTTGCAAGGATTCTTGTTAACCTCTATTGTCCGAGTTTGGCTTGCTAAACAGCAAGCTCTGTACAGCATGATACAGGACACTGGTATATAATCTCTTCGGCTCCCGAGGATGCTTTGTTCCCCTAACTGTGCTCCCTGGCCTGGAGTCAAAAACCCCTCGAATCCCTCTCGATCATTCACTTCATTGTATCTCTACTATGGCGGCAGTTCGACCTACCATCGAAATACCGCAGCGATCATACGTTGCCGAAGCAAGCTCCCCGACTAGCTCTATCACACTTCTAAACGACGACCCTTATTTGTATGATAAGTATGACCTGCTGTATGCGAGCACAAAGTGCACCTTCAATCCGCAGGCCTCTGAGTTTGTTCCATCAAATACCCCTCTTGCCCATATTTCGCAGCACATCCCATCAAAGCATCCCCTTTCATGTCCAGACTTCCCATCAGGGTTTCGGCCGGAATGGTATGCAGCGTTCGAAGCTGGAATACAAGCACCACTCGAAGAGATCACTCAGCAGGATCACTTATCCAGTGTGCTCTCGCACGAGTACACTTGGAACGCCACCTCGCTCAAGACCCTCGCGCAGCATTTCCTCTGGATGGCCTCCGAGGACATTGACTCGCAATCTGGCGCACGCGCGGCTGTGTTTGCGAAGATGTTTGCAGACAAGCTGGGCCAGACCTCGATCTGGGACTCGAGCTGCTTTTTGCATAATCTACGTGATGTCACCTGTGCCGCGGTGAAGATGGTTTGGGATCCTGTGCGTAGTATTCGTCCATGTTTCGTTATTACAGCTTACACCTGACCGACTTGGACTTTCTGGAACTCAGACTGATCTCCGCTGCATCGCCCACCCCCAGAACACCAGCCTCGCATACGTGACGAGTGCAACGACACTCCTTTCCTTCCTCGGAGCGCTCTACAACGAAGATCTACTCGAGCGCAAATGCGTACTCGGTCTGCTCACGCTCGTTCTGCAGCACACATATACCTTCGAATACGTCTGCGGAATGCACGCGCTCGTCGCCCACGCGGGCCCACGCCTCTGGCGCTTTGCGGGAAGTGGCAAGACGATGCGCGACTTTGCCACGGCGCTGGGCCAGCGCGTGAGCTCAATGGACAAGTCTGCGAGTTTACTGGGCGGCATGTGTGGTCAGGCACAGATCAGACCGTGGTCGTCTGTGCGTTGTTTTGATCATAGACCTCTGTGATGAGTATGTACTGACCTCAAACAACACAGGATATGTGTCGCACGATCGCCGAATGGCAAAAAGAGAGAATTGCTTCCACTAAACCCACTTCACCTTGGACTGCTCTCTCACAAGACATTTTGTTGTAGTCGTCAATTATTCGCATATATTGTATCACCGTGCGTAGTCGTCGATCGGCTGGATTCTGCAGTGTATTTCCTCTCATAGTATCTATTTTCATTGTATATATACTATGATATCATGATCTATTGAACACACAGCAATGCTGCTATTCTAAACACGGTATTACTTAGGCCCGCGAGTAGTCACAGAACGCAAGCCGAGAATAACGTACTCGAACGAGAAGAATCAGCGTAACATGCAAGATTTCAAGAGTGAGGATGACTTGATGTCATCAATGCGCCGAAAGTCACAAAGTTTCGTCCAACAGGTTATAAGCTATGGTACTGGCTATATGCGTGGATAATATAAGTCCGCTCTCCGTAATATCCGAGTCCATCCAGTCGAGGTTTTTTTGTTCGAGAGTTCCTATGCGTTCGTAGACTTCGGAATGTGTTCCCGGGCCCATGCGGCTGTGTCCACTGTCGCGTTCAATAACGGGTCGAGAGGAGGAAGTTCCCATGACGTCGAGCGACTGGGGTCGACGTGTGCGTTCGCTGCAGAGTGCCCTATGTTGCCGTCTGGTCCTGCGCGCGCCGCGGTGGCCTGTGTGGAAAGCGCAGCGAGAGAGAGGTACGTGTGATATGGGTCTACGAAGAATGTGGTAAGTCAGCGATGTGAATGGTGGGAGAGAATGGGATATCGAACCAGGATGCTCTTTTGGTGCCTTGGCTATCCCACCAAACTTGTGCTGGCACGAGCCAATAAACGAACGAAGTGCATCTTCGTCTACGAGAGTGCCGACGCCCAGTATCTGTAATTACCGTTACCACGAGGTTAGTTCTGTGTTGTGCTTTGAAAAATGTTGAGACCCACATTTAGTGATGCGCCGCACCAGAAGCAATAGCACGCATCGGCAGCCTTGTTCGTCCGCCCGACAAATCCGCCCGAAATATCCTGCTTCTGGACTAGCCAACGTATTGTCTGCTTGCGCTCCGTCGGTGATATTCGATCGCCTCTCCCGGAGAGATGAAGAGCCGACAGCGCGCAGTAGGTGGTTCCACCTAAGGGCAACGCCTTCAGTAAGCCCGCTAGGACAAGTAAGGATCTCCCTTACCTTGCGCTTCACAAAACGGAAATTGGCCATAGCCACCTTCATACGTCTTGTGCACTGTTAGGATATGATCAAGCTCGAAGCTTGCAACTCACTCGACATGAGCGCATGAACTCGACGGACTGATCAATGTTGATGGTTGACCAGTTATCCAGCATATTTGCGATCGCAAACGCACAATACACCGTCCGCAGATCTGTGTCGCCACCGTACGGCTCTGTCGAGAAGCTGAATGGTCCAGCATCAGTGACACACTTCAAGGTTTGCGACACAGTACCCCACCTGCCATCTTCACGCTGACATACCCCAAGGAGTTGCGCAATCCCTGTACGATCTAAACGCGTGAAGTCGTCGCGTAGGATCGCGAGCGTGAGGAGAGCAGTGTAGGTGACAATTAACTGAGGCACATTGCCCTCGGTGGAGTCCTCTTTCTTGAAAGGTCAGTTCAGCTAAAGAGACGCGTCGGCAAGGTTCACGACGGACGCACTATACTGCTCATGTATGGGCCAGGCTTGAATCCTGCGCCGTATGGACCACCTGCACATGGGGACAGAGATAAGATGTTAGAATGCGTATCACAGAGATAAAGTCATGTTATGAGGAGGCCAAGAAGGACGGTACGCACAAACTTGCTGCTCCCAGATCCACTCGCGCCATGATTCGCGGTCATCTTGCTTTGTCTTATCCAAGAGCTGGTTCAAGAGGTCAAGTGAACCTATGCAGTAGAACGCCAATGCTAGCCTGATATAGTCAACCGATAGCATTTAGCCTGTCGTGTGCTCAGTTGAGAGTGCACATAACACGCACTTGGAGGGGTCGATGTCGACCTGGCTACCCGGCAGGCCCACAAGACAGCGCTTGCAGTGGGTTCCGTGGCCGAACCTGGTGAACGGGGGGAGATCACCTGGTGGAGGAGACATGGCAGAAGGAGGTGATTGATAGGGAGGGAGTTATCAAGTGCAAGAGAGGACAGTGAACTGGGTATGGTAAATGAATGACTGGCCATGCTAACGTTCACGCTCTGATGGCATATGTATGGTCTGCCACCGATACAAGCCTCGAACCGAAGTGTGAAGCGCTCGCGCAATGACCTCAACACAGGGGGCGATCGTGCCAGCGCACGTACCGAACAATATAGGTGCTCATGTGTCCATACGTCTGTCGAGTAAAATTGATTGAGGGAACACCTTTCACGTCATACACATCAGGAGGATTACGTCTGCCATTTTACGTGAACGCCCATCGTCGCTAATCGTCGTCGACGTCCAAGTCGCCTTCGATCCCCGCACCTTCTCCCATGTCGTCAAACTCGACATCGTTCGCGGTTTGTTGCCAGTAATCCTGTTCTTCTTCTACATAGACCTCCGCCTCGTGGGCAAGCGCGTTACCAAACCTTCTACCGTCACCGGCAGAGGGCGGAGGCGCCTGCTGTCCCACACCCCGTCCATCAAGTGAACTGCTCACAGCACCTAATATGTCCTCCATCTGGCCACCTAGCCGATCCTCGAGTTCCTCGACAATCTATACAGCGCAATGAGCCATGCACGTTTCAGAAGTTCATGCCGATGATAAAGGACGTACAACGTAGAGCTCAACCGGCTCTGTCGGAGCGAGATTAACAATCTGAAGTTTCTCTGCCTTGGTCAAGTCGTACGACGCCAAGTTGTTGACCAATCGCTGGATGCCCGCATCCGACTGTTGACGTGTGGGTTGATAATCAGCGGACAAGTACTGTATGCCCTAGGGACGAGAGTCACTACACAGTGCTGTCACATGAAATTCAAGGGCTCCGTACCTCTAGCTCGATGGTGCGCAAATTTTCGAGGACTTCGTCCGCATTGGGGTCATGATGGGTATGTCCCGCATCCTCCTCCTTTTTGATACGGACGGCCGTTTTTGTGCGGGCGATATGCTCTGCCTCAAGCTCGCGAAGCAAGGTCAAGACCTCATAATTTGACAGAAAAGCAGATCGTGCTTTTATGATCTATCTAATTGTAAAAGATGGTGAAATGAAACGAAAATGATGAAAGAGAACAACTGACCTCCATGAGTTCATAACCAATGCAGTTCGGTTAAGATGACTTCGGAATGGGAGGAGAGTGGCTGGGCCGATTAGCGCGCGGGCGACGAATGCCTTTTTGGGGTTAGGGTCAGGACATATCGTGGCTAGCAAATAGCAGACAACAGGCCGATATACATACTCCTCCCAACCTCAGACGCCGGAAAACCACACATAGCAAATCAAGAAGCTCTTTTCCAGTGAGCACAAATCCCTGCACACCTTTCCAATTATCTCAGTATTTGACGGGTTTTAGGCCAGAACTCTGCGCCTCACAAGACAATGAATCGGCCAGGTGTGTCTGACCCAGCGTATTGTGAAACGCACTTGGTAGACGTCTCACAGGTCAACCACAACGAGCAGGAAGTCTCGCCCCTCCAGGCAGCCTCGCCTCCCAGTTCCGCTCACCATATCCCACATCCCAGTTCTCGATGCCACAACGGAGTTATCCATCACCAGGCATACAGCCGCAAAACACGCATCGCGCCTCCGCACAACCACAATCCCCTTTCATGCCGACGCGCACACAGGGACAGGCAGGCGGGTACCCTTTCAATCAAGTCGCGGGTCCGCCAGGACAGAATGGTTCGCAACTATCTCCTCTTAGCTGATGCAGATCCGACGTTCAACTGCTAGGTCCTCCACCCTCTGCTTCAGCAACGAGCGACGTAGGCTTCGATCCAAGCGACTTCCCAGCACTTGGGTCACTATCTGCAAGCAACCAGCCAAATGCATCGAATCAGAACAACTCGGGGGGAAACGGCGCGACCCCAGGTGCCGGCGCGACGCCGACGAGCTATGCCAGCCAGGCAGGTCAGAGCGGCTCGGCGGTCCCGCCTGGTGGGCAGCAGGGCCGAGATTTCGGTCCTGAGGATTTTCCAGCACTGGGAGGCTCACAACCTACTCAGCAGCTAGGTGGTGGCGTGCAAGGCCAAGGACAACCCCCGAATCCGGCACAGGCATCCGAATCACAGAATATGTTACATCCACCGGGACTGAATGGCTTTAATGACCAGCATCGGACGAGTCTGTTAGGCTCGCTGAACATTGGCACACAACAGGTGGTCGGTGGAGTGTCGCCATCTACGCAACAGCCAGGTACGCCGGGCATGCTCAATCTCCGTGGCATACACCCTGGATTTTCGTCGCAAGAAATTGAAAAACCAAGGGTGAGTTTGGGGTTTTTGCTTCTACGTGGCAGTGTGTCTACATCGTCATTGGGGCACCATAATATGAGAACTCAGTGCATCACGGGGCAACTTCCCTGGTCACACTCGTTTCTCCTTCCTTTTTATCGACGCCCATGGCGAATCCCATGCCATTTTTATTATTGAACCTAACTTGAGGGTCGTATTCCGCCGAGCTACATCTGATGGGTGTCTTTTACAGTCAAATGGGGCACTAACACCAGGCGCTGGTCATACACCAAACCCCGTCTCTGGTCAGCCACAATCAGTACAGGCCCAGACGACACCAGTGTCTGCACAACCTCCACAGGGGCAAAACCCCGGGCAAATTCAACAGCAGATGCAATCGCAACAACAGCCTCAGCAACATTTAAATGCGCCTCCGGGTGTCTCATTACCAGGATCGGGGACATATGTCCCCAACGGCGGCCAGCATCCCATACAGCAGCAGCAACAACAACAGGCTCTGCCCAGTATACACCCACAACAGCAGCAACAGGAAGTGCCTCCACATGCTCAGAACGTGCACACGCCGGGGCAGATACAGCAACATCCAGAGACACCTGCACAGCAGGTGCTCATGTCGGCAGCAGACCGATGGGGGCTCCTCGGGCTCATTGCGATGATTAAGAACGCGGCTATCGACGCGGATGGTGGTCTCAGTAGCGTAGGCACGGACCTCGGTGCGGTGGGGCTTGACATGGGCTACGAAGGGTCCGTCCATCTTACCTTAGCATATAGCGGCATGCAGTGAATCTGACATTCGGGAATAAATGCACCGCTTGTGCACTATGCCTCGCCTGGTTATTTTGCAGTAACTTGTACTCAACGTTCATCACGCCGTGGGCAGACCAATCCGCAGCTCACACTGTAGAACCGGACTTTCACCTGCCGTCGTGCTATAACGTCCAGCCGCCGCCGCCGGGGCCGAGTAAAGCGGCTGCGTTCAGCGATGAGACGCTCTTCTTCATGTTTTACTCGAGTCCGCGAGACGCGCTGCAGGAAGTCGCGGCTCAGGAACTGTACGTCTCCCTTTCTTCACACCTTCTGTTCTTCCCTCTCAGAGTTTCCGCCTTTGTTTGAATTTGCTGCTTTCGCGTACCGACCACTCACATAAAATATCTTTCAGATGGAATCGCAACTGGAGATACCACAAGGATCTCCGGATCTGGATAACCAAAGAGAGCGGCTCCGCGCCTTCGTCCAAGATCCCCGGCGGTGAGGCAGGCACGTACACGTGGTGGGATCCCGAATCGTGGTGCAAAGAGCGCAAGGAGATGAACGTCCGGTACGCGGACCTCGAGGAGAAAACCGTCCCCGCATTCGCCATGGGGCCCGGGCTCGTCCCCGCACAGGGTGGCCAGGGCCATTTGCCCAACGCTGGCCAGCAACAACAGCAGCAGCAGGGCCTCGGTGCCCAGCAACGTCTGCAGCAGATGGCTGTCGCAGGCGGCATATAAGGACTTGGAGTAACGCCTCTTCGCGAGAAGGCGTAGTGAACGTTCCTTAACCAGAGTAGTTTTCTGTTTGCCTTTTTCTCTCTCACTCAAGCTCAAGACGCATATCATCAATGTTTGCCTGTCGCGTTTCACGCACGGATGCGATGTTTGTATCTCTAATCACCCGCCTCCCCATTTCATTATTCTTCCACATAATGTGATCAGATCATATTATTTGATGACACCTAAATCCATCCGTTTTATGGAAGTACAAAGAATGCGTGAAAGACACCACCCCATGCTACCCCGTTGCGAGTGAGGAAAGATATTGAAAAGAATGGGCATCCAGAAAAGATGGAGATTTGCGACAAAATGGGAACCCCGCATCTAATAAACTAAGCGGGACACCGTATGATCACAGCACATCCCTAGCTCTTCATAGTAACAGGTCATCACCGCCCGAATTGCCGCCACTCGCAGAGCTGCCTCCGCCCATGTTACCAAAGTTGCCGAATCCGCCCATGCCTCCAGCATGAGGTTTCGATTGCTGACCCGAAGACCAGATGGCTGCCTGTGTCTTCTCCTTCTCGAGGTCCTTCATTGACTTGGCGGGAGTCGAACCTTTGCCTGCACCATTGGACGCGGACGGGCCAAGCGACATTGACCATAAATCGTCGAAGTTCGAAGTTGGTTTAGGCGCCGGCGAGGCGGCTGCGGAGCCAGAGCCCATGGACATGCCAGAGCCGGGAGCACGCGCAGGAGTAGGACGTGAGGCGGCCATAACGGGCGTGCCAGCAGCGGGGGAGCCGGCGAAGGACTGGCGGTTGGAAGCAGGGGAGAGTATGCCGAAAGAACCGGCGCCGGCACTTGCGGGCGGAGAGGTTGGGGTCGCGACGCCCATGCCACCGCCCATGCCCATACCCATGCTACCTATACCCGCATTGCCCATTCCTCCCATGCTCATACTACCAGGGCGTTGATGCGTTTGTGCTTGATTTGCTTGAGCAGGTGCAGAGTTAAGCATCTCGAAGATGTTCAACTTTGGGGCGGTCGCGGTGGATGCGGGAGAGGCGGCCGTGGCAGTCGGTGAGGTCGGTGCCGCTTGGAAATCGTTGAAATCATCGTCTGGGGAAACTGAGTCAATGGGCCGTTGAGCTGTTGGGTAAACATACCATCCGCGGTGGCAGTCAAGGGAGCCGAAATCGCATTCGAAGCAGGTGGCGCTGGTGCTGGCGCGGGCTCGTCATCAAACCCACCCAGCAGGTCGACCTCGGGCTCCTTGGGCTTCGATGAACGCGCCGGAGGTTGAGCAGCCGACGACGCCGAGCGATTGCCAGAGCGTGGGTTTATGCGCTGCGAGGTCGAGGTAGAGCGACGAACAACTGTCTCGTCGTCGCCAGCGGTGTACTCCTCAAAGTCCCTGCGGTTGCTGCTGTCGCGGAAGCCGCCAGAGCTTGAAGAACGCGAGTTTGCATAATAGTCTAAAATCCATTGAGCTAGTCGGCCTATTAGCTTGTTAGACGACAACATACCATTGCTGCTCGACCCGCTCATACGGTCTCCGTAGTAGCTGCCTCCTCCAGAGCTGCTGCCACCACCTGGATGTCCGAGACTGTCGCTACCAAAGCCACCGTAGCGGCTACCGCCGGAGGTGAAACTCATGGGGTCATTGCCAGTACCAACGTATTTGTGACGGTTCTGTTTGGCTTTTCTACGTTCTGTACGGATCAAGTCGACGTCAGAAAGGAGCTCAACCAGCTCCCGTGCGCGGTTGCGCACTGTGCAGCACGGTCAGCAAGGCCAGGAACTAGATGAGCGCATGCAGGGCGGGCGTACCGTTCAAACCCTCGTCTTTCCCCTTGTCGTCGATGTAGTGGAAGTTCCTAAGCATCTTGAGGGTAGATATATGCGAGCGAGCATCATCGACGACGCGCTCACTACCGTGTTTGATGAGGTATTCAAGGAGTTGAAGAGCCTATAGAACATAAGAGGGATAAGCCAATCACATTAGACAGTGCACGGACCTTATAAATTTGCCTCCACTGGCGCGCTTCCTTCTCCATGAAACTTGCATATATGCATGGCATAATCTCATTAAAGTTTTGGCTGTATCCACATGTCAAAACTTGTCAGATTCCACGATCTTGAACAGCTCTCACAAGTTGAATGTCCTGCATAGAGGTTCAGAAAACACGTGTGTTACAGGTTTTTTGGGGGGAACTCACCCTTGCGCAATGTCTTGCATGAGAGTAGAACTCGCTCCCCTGTATAGCACATTGACTCAGCGAGCGTCGGACAATGGCATGATACTAACCATGGATCGTCGTTAGTAGCTTCCTTGACCTTTGCTTCCATCTCGCTGACGTTGAGGATAACATTTTTTGCCTAGGGCGTTGTTGGAATTCAAGGGATGAGTTGGCGTGGGCGAAAGGGTGCGTACCTGGTTGTAGTACGACTTTAAGTCGTATACGGTGAGGTTTGAGAGCGTACTGGTCAAGTTGTCGAAACGGTCCATAGCTGGATGATGGTGGCGAGGGGGCGAACGGCTGACGGGCGGACGACGCGGTGACGACGCGGGCTGGTGGATCTGGCACTGAGATGCAGGGTGGGTGCACTGCCAGCTGCGGCCAGCCAGGCAACCACGCGCTCACAGGCGCTCACACAAACCCCGACTGACACACAGGTGGCTGGGCCCTAACCCTAATGGCGTTTCTCTGCCCGATATAGCGTTCTCTGATGACAGCGTTATCTTGCCGAGCCACTTTGGCCACGTTGGTGGCTCGCTCATATCGCCGTCCACTGCCGCCCGCCAGGCTACAAAGCCTACAACGAGCCATCAGGGGCCACAAGACCATCAACGATTTGACAAGTGAACATCGTAAACATAGCTCTCTGCAACCGATCCCGCCGGGCTGTACATATGTCTTACTCACTCGATTCATAATAGACCCCGCAAGCGCCTTTATTTATCTTGCGCCCTCATCTCGTTCTCAACCCCGCGCGTTGTTCTCCGTGAGTATTTATGGGCGCTTGCCGTCATCCAAAAATACAGAGACGTGCTAATCTTACTGTAGATTATTGATTAGGGCTGCTCCGCCATCCGAGCACCGAGAGATCGACGGGTTCGCCAACCTCGGTGGATGAAGCGGTAGCAAGTTCCTTACTGGCCATTGATTCTCTTTGACCTTCACCTCTTCACCGACAATGTACGTCTATCTCACTCCATCATCCGCCGTTAACATGATGCCAACATTTCGTCAGTGACTGTTGTCGTTAAGTTATGTTTTCGCTGCTTGGACGCATCCGGAGCCTTTCAGGCGGCAAGCCGCCCGCCGATCTACAGACGCGCAATTTAGGAGCTCCCGAGCCAGATACTTTCCTTGGTCTACCAGCATCGGCGCCTGCACCTAGAAGTGCGTTTGATCTCAACGTAAATGCGTCACCACCCCTTCCGCCGGATCGTAGAATACTCGAGAACCCCAGTCAATACATCACCACGGAGGATGTTGCCATCGAACGCCCTGGTCCGCGCAAGCTCTCCCCCAGCACGCGTCGCTACTCTTTTGATAGTGGCGGCAGGAACACAAGTCATCGAACTCCCTCGAAACCTCGCCAGGCTATTCCAGTGACGCAGCCCGAGTCGGATGAGCCTGGTCCCTCGGGCATCCCACTCAAAGTACTAGACACTAACTTATCGCCGTTATCACCTCCGCCAGTTTCCTCTGGCACGTTTGGCCGGAGGTCGCGCCGGCCAGTTACAGCACCGGTGGATACAACACCCGAATCTTCCTCTGCTCCTTCTCGCCGTGGAACATTCGAGCTCTCTGACTCGTCGGGGCCGCGAAGGCGCAGCCATAGATATAGCAAGCCACCGTGCAAGGGAGGGAGTGCAGACTCTCCTATTTCTCCTATTTCACCGTCTGGCAAGACCACGGCATCGGCACCAACACCACAGATTGGGCACAGCCCTGCGCTGGCCGACATGACGTCTGATGTCTCGCAAGATCAGAACATGGGCAGTATACAGTCATCGCCCACTAGCACCATCGCTTCGAAACACCCAGCACGAACGAAGTCAAGGCGGAAATACATCCTTGGATCTTTTTTGCATCGTTCCGTCTCGCATGTACCGGAGAGCTCAGATACACGATTGCAAACTCCGGGTACATTTGGGTACCCAACGCCACCTGTCCCGAGCGAAAGTCAAGGAAGTTACATGTTTCCCAGATTCGCGTCGTCGCCAACCGACTCTTTTCCAACGCGAGAGAGTGAAGGAGAGTCGAGTGGATGCAACACCAACACCGAGTCGCGACAGACGACAGCAGACACAGATCCAATAAACTTCAGGACGCCAGCCTTGTTCGATGATAGGATAGAGACGTTTCCCAGGCGCATTAGGGCTCGAAGACAAGACAGACGAGGTAGACTGAAACCGACATTATCAACGCCGCCAGATTCGGGGAGTGCCGCCCGCCGCCACAATACCTGGCCGCGAGTACATTTCGAGGATGATGCAGATGAACAACGTTTAGAGGGTGGCGAGGTTTCACGTAGCAAGACAATTCCAGAGAGATCACGGCAAGAAAGGATATCAGAGGGAGAATGCACTACGGATCGTTCATCGTTCGATCGATTGCGGCGAGGCCATTATGGCCGTTCGCCAAAGCTTTCTCGAGCGCGGCTGGGTCCAGCGTTGTTTGAAGAGCAACCAGAATGTGACAACTCAGAGGTGACGTCGGGTGACGCGCCGGAGTGCGAATGCGAGAGCCCGGAGAGTCCGGGGGCCGACATAGGACCTTCCTTTTCGAGACGGGTGACCGTATCACCATCAATTTCTGGGTCTCCTTCTCCCTCCTCTCCCGAAAAGCACTCAGACATTCTCTCAACCCAGCCCTCGGCCTTCCAAGGTACGTGGCAGCTCCAGCTGGCAGTCTTTCTTCGGCCAGATGGCCCTTTCCAGGAAAGAAGACGGAGGATTGACATATATTTTGGATTGTTTCCATGCAGACGCCGAGGCAGATACCCATTTCGCTCCTTTAGCCAGGCCGCTCAGTGATAGTCGTGGCTGGACCGCTCCTCAGTCGTTTGACCACGGTGGAATGAGCCGTGCGACTCAGAATGCACAACTAGATCCTGATCGTCCGGGATCGATTGTACAGTGCCCTGGCTCGCCGTCCAGATCTTTGAGGCCGAGCGGTGCGACCTCTGCGACCTCTTTCTCTTCGGCGACCCAGCATTCAGCAAGGTCTCAACCCTCTCGCGAATCCTCTTTGCTGTCTGCAACGCCCACAAAACGGAGCAGCCTCAGCCGTCATGCCAGCAATGCAGGAGCCCGTAGCAGGGTGGGTCCCGAGACTCCGATAGGTTCACCGCGACGTCTTAGCGACAAGAGCAAAGGGAAACGCAAAGCAGAAGACGTTGATATCACCCCTCGCGACCTGAAGAAGGATGCTGGGCAACACACGACATTCTTGATCCCAGAAGAAGGACGTTGTAAGTGCCGAATTCATCCCATTACGTAAAATACCCCAGCACGCTACTACCACGAGGCTAACGACAAGTCCCACAACAGCACTGCGGCTATCCGATTCCTCGCACGCGCCGTCCTCATATCACCGCAAGCGCGCACGATTGTCGACTTCATCGCCCAGTCCAACGCCCTCGCGTCCCTCGTCCGCGCAAGCGCAGAACAGCGGTGCTCAGCCAGCCCAGCGATACGATTCGTGGTCCAGCCGAACGAGTGCGCAGAGAGGCCGCACCGTACCCCCTTCCCCCCGCGCACCTTCGCGTGCTGCGTCCGCTCGCTCATCCCTACCCCCTGCCTCCATGGCGACGGCCCCCTCCACTCCGCGCCACCATCGCACCCTCTCGCAGGTTCGCCAGCACGAGCGGCCCCAGAGCCAGAGTTTCTCGCAAGTCTCGATACCCATCAGCGCGCTCGTCTCTCCGCATGCGCCCTCGATCGGCGCTCGCTCGACGAGGTACCACATGCACGATCCGCGCAAGCCACCGAAGAAGCTTCAGGACACACCGTGGACTCTCGCGCGTCCGACAGAGGACGATCCGGGCTCGCCCCGTCATGCATGGCTATTCTTTATTGGATTTATCTTGTTCCCGCTATGGTGGATCGCTGCGTTCTTGCCTGTCCCTCAGACGCGTACTGCTGGCGACTCTAGTGTCGAAAAGGCTGTTACTATTGATGATCCTCAGATCGAGCGCGGTAAGTCACATTTTATCGTCTACCTTAGAGAGATGGTTTGGCTAATCGTAAGTCGTTCTTGTTAGATGCGAAGCGGTGGCGGCTACGCTGTAGGATCATGTCTGTCGTGTCTGCCGTGACTTATATTCCTTTCATCATCCTTGTTGCGATTTTTGCTCGCCGGTGACATTACCTGTTGTTCTCTACTTGTTCGGCATAGATTGCATTGAACGCTTTGTCGCACACTTCCCTACTTTGCAGCTCGTCCGTCTCCCCATCCGTCTCGTCGAGCGTAGCCTCCCATACACCATACTTTACTCATCTCATTCATCCTTCTTGTTTCACCACATAAATAAGTTCACCTTTGGACTGGACTGACCCATACCATTCGTTTGAAACTTTCACTCTTTGGACTGATCTATCTATAGCAGGGTCTATGTTGTAGTTTTTGCCCAACCTTTACCTGCCCTTAGCGTACACTCGAGTAAATCTATGCATGTCTGCATCTATGCGCGTTGAGTTGCCCAATTGATTGAGCGTGGTCTGTAATAAGTTTGGTGACAATCATAGTAAACAACCACAACCTGAACATGGGCATGGGGACCTACAACGCGTGTCTCTCCATCTTAGCCCCTGCCTCTACCCTCCGTTCCTTTCCGCTTATTTCATGCTGGATAGCGCGCTACCATGACTACACCGGAGCCGATCGACGTCGACATGGATGAGCACGAACGCGAGCCGGACTTCCTGGACAGCGTCGAAGGCGAGATCTCGTTCTTCCGTTCGGTGTCGCGGGCGCGGCCCATCGGCGTACACAGGCACTTCCACGTTCTCGCCATTCGCAATGCCATCCTCAGGGATACGGGCCACCCGCTTAAGGTCGAGCGCATCTGGGAGAAGCTGCGCGAGTGCTATGACCTCGACGGGCTCGATGGATTCGTGCGTCACCTCTTCTCCCAGCCCGTCCTCCAGTTTCTGATATTACATGGCCATGTTCTACAGCACGTGAACGAAAGCGCATTCGAGTCTCCCTCGTCCTCGCACTCCAACAGCCCCCAACCGGGCGAGCGCGAGCGCGTCTCGCCCTCGGAGAACCTCTTCATCCACCCGCACTTCCACAAAGAGTACGCGCTTCCGCATGACGAGGCCCTCGAGGCAATCGTCGTCGAACGCCGCATGCGCGATACACCTTCCATCCCATCCTCGTCCCGCTCCGCCTCGCCGACGCCCCAGACGCCCGCGGCTACGGAGAAGGAAGCGGGCGGCGCTCCTACGCCTGCAGCAGGAGGCACGGGGCGCGGGAGAGGTGGGCGGCGCGGGAAAGGGCGCGGACGGGGTGCGGACAGGGCCAAGGGAAGAGTAGATATGGCGGGGCTTGTCGCAGGGGACAGCGACAGCAGCGCGCTTACCCAGGAGAGTGCGGACGAGGGTCCACCGGCGACGTCCAGGGGGAGCGCCACCGGTACGGATGGAACAGAATACGCGGAAGACGATGAACCTGAGGTACAGGAGGTGCAGCAGCCTGGTGCGTTCATCCACCTTGATGGCAATTCGAAACATCTCGGTTCACATATTCTTTTCTTGTAGCGGCGGGAAGTAACACCGGAAGAGGTAGAGGACGTGGAAGAGGACGCGGTGTATCATCTCGAGGCCGTGCCTCCTGGGCGGGCGGCCGAGGCGGCAAGAAACGCAAAAAATAATCTTATCACTCAAGATACGTTGTGCGTGTAAGTCATACAAACATATAACATTATGCTCTATAGTGCGAAGTTGTGATACAGGTGGCATGCGCAATTACTCTGTTACTACATCCATCGCTTCCTGAGGATTAGTCGCAGAGATAGCACCACCTTTCTGAGCCCGTCTCTCCGCGATGAAGGCGTCTATCTGGGCCTTGAGTTCGTGATCTGATTACTTAGGGTCAGGCAGGGTACCCAAAAGAATTGTAAAGAAGACGCATACCTGGTACTACGTCCTCTATAGACATAGGCACTCGATTGAATGGATCCTTGCTATCAGATAACAAATGTGATTTGATGGTGGAACGGTCTATGACTGCCTTTGAGGACGGAAGGATCACAGGGTCTCGCATGACGGTGAACATCAAAGGGTCTAACGCAGAGCATGTCAGCAAGAGAGTAGTAGGAACTGCAGTGATAGTTACCCAAGAACTCGTCGGGTACCTCGCCGAGATCCTCTTCAGCCTCCAGTGAAGCCTTCCTCTCTTCCACCTTGTTTATAAATGTCAACAACTGCTCAACTTCAGTGGATGATTTCAAAGCGTTCTTTGTGGCAACATCTGCTGCCCGCTCAAACCATTTCTTGCTGTAGCTCCGTCCATCTGCTGCAACTGCGCGCGCGAACTCATCCTGGTCGCTCAAGTTGAGATATATCTGGATGATGTCGCTAAGCAGATCCTTGGGTCTGAATCGGTACTTCTCCATGTCGTCCACCTTGAGATTGGAGCACTTGGGCCCAACGAGCGCCTCGAGGTTGTAGTCGAGCATGGCCGCGAGCTTGTCAACAATCTCAGGCATCATGAAGGGGGTCTTCGTCGAAGCGGTAAAGACGCGCAAGAGCTCAACCGTTGACTTGCCCAGAGTCGTGTAGCCGGAAGCGTGGCGCTCAAGCCCACGCAAGGCGCCCTCTCGATCACGTCTGTATTGCGCCGACTGCGCATTCCACGTCTGCTGGTCCCGCATTTCAACCTGGATGGTGCGGATTTGTGCCATCTCGCTGAGCGACTCGTCCATGAGATAGGTGACATCGTTGATCATGAGGTTAATAAAGCGGACGAATTTATCGACGTTTCTAAAGAATATTCAGCGAGTCTTCGGAAACAAGTAGCTTGATGCACAAACTTGGCCTCAATATCTAAAGCTTCACGGTGTGTTGGGTTGTCCCAAATAGCTTTCAGAATGTATGCAATGTTCCGTCTGCACAAGTTGAGTGATTGAAGGATCAAAGGAAAGCTGAAACCAACCGTGCATCTGATAGAAAGAAAACATAAGCAAATTTCTTGAGCTTACTGGAATAAAACGACACTCACTAAATTTGTCATAGAACTGTGAGCTCGCTCCGGTCTGCTCGACCTCTGTCGTTGATTCAGTTATTTTGCACACTGCCATCATGTTTTGACATACCGACGTAGAAGTGCATGAGAGCAGACATCAGGTGTTTCAAAGCCATAGGGTGTGAGTTCAGCAATCCCGACAGAATCCCATGCCTCTCGTGGCCGTAAGGCAGAACACCGTAGAATACCATCTTCAACAGTACGTTAAAAAGCGCTTTGCTAGTAGAATACAAGGGCGTACCTCATTGATCTTCGCCTTCAAGAACGGATTCTTGATATACCAAGTTGACGTAAGGAATGTCAGAGCGAAGATAATCAGCTCTGTTTTGCCGGACAAATCAAGGCTTTCGGGTGAATGGCTAAGAAGGCCGGGTCAGCAACGATGTCCAACTATCTGAACATAACACCGTACCGGACGACAAACAGCAAATAATCCACCACATCCTCAACAATATACTCGGGAAGCACGCGGAAGGACATAGGCACATCCTTCGGCAGAGGCAGCTGCACGGCTGTTCCTGGATGTTGCTTCCGAGGATCGACATTACGGATCAGCCACGTCGAAACGAAGTTAGTAAATCCAATGTATCTGAACACTAGCTCAGGGTCGAGTAGCTGGATGCGGAAAGCAAGCTGATGCGCTTGAATCTTCGCTTGTTCAGCTTTCACGGCGTTCAATGCATGCTCTGTCCGAGCTTGGAAAGGACTCTAAGCAACGTCAGCACTGACACTCGACGCCTGTAGAAATACAACTGAACTAACCCCTCGCCATGAACCATCGCCTTCCAGATATTCCATATGCCGCTGGAGATCATCGAGATGTTTGGCAAAATCTTCATATGTCTGGATCGTGCGAAGGTAGCCGTAATGGCTCAGTGCAATGCTAAGGTAGAAAATCTCAGAGATGAAGTTCGGTGCGGAGGCTGGCGAAAGTGTCAATTGAAGTACATATATAATAAATATTGGAGGTAAAAGTTCACCCTTGGGTTTGTTTTCCTCGACCCAGTGAGCCGCTTCCTCACTCGTTGCCTTGATGCGAGTCTCTTCTTTTAGGTCAACGCGATCGGATACTGCGTAGTAGAGAGGGTCGACGCGATCAATCTACATACGCATAAGTCCCTCATGATGACAGCCAACAATTGACATATACCTTCGTATAGCCTGCATCCATGAATGGTTCAGCAAAGCGTAGGAGCACACATTGTAGGTTCATCATGAAGCTGTCCGACGCTACGGTCTCAATCTCAACTTGCATACCGGCGCGCCTGACATTGAGATTGGCAGCTGCCGAGAAGTAGCGCAAAACTGCTTCGCGAGACTCAGACGACGCTCGCACAAACGCGTTGAAGATCTGGAATAGAGAGTTCTGGAGACTCTTGATTGTTCCCCGCAAGCTTGCATTGGAGGCGTCGACATCCTGCCTCGTCCGCTTAGTGGGCTCAGAAAAGTAGGTTTGTGCTATGGAAGGCTGATGTGCACGAGTCGTCAGCGACATGCCGCAACCAGACCTAAATCATACTCACCCATTCTCTACTGAAAACGCCAAGCCGACACAGCGGGCCCATCAAGGATACCTTCTCCAGGGTCGCCCCCGTTGCGGTAGGTGGACACCATTCCGGTAGGCGTGTAATCATGATGGCAATTGGCTTCACTGAAACGAGTGCCTCAAGTCCGCTCACGACGCCACGCCAGCTCGAGTCACCTCCAGCCAGGCCCTCTGGGCGTAACAGGGACTCGTGAAAGAGTAGACGCAAGACAACAGGTCCAATTACGTCATCAATTTCATTGTCCGGGGCGAATCGCCGCGCAAGGTCTTGCAAGAAGGTTTCAATATCGGATGCGAGGATGCTTGCTGTGTCGGATGAGGCAGAGGAGAGTGGGGCAGACAGCGCTGAGAGTGAAAGAAGAGGTCGGACGAGCTCGCTAGGTCCAACTTCTTTCCTGTCCAAAAAACGTGTTCATGAGTTGTGCAAACCATACTTCTGCGTCTAACTCACCCTTGGGGTTGAGGAAACATATCAGGCATCTGCAACGTAAGACCCGTGTAGCTGATCACAAGATCGCGCAGTTTGTCAAGCAAGCTGAGTGCTTTCTGCGTGTCATCTACAGGGTTCTGCCGCAGTTAGTACCGATGTCTTCAATGACTTATGACGCCAGTATTTACCTTGCCCAAGATATTTCTTCTAGCCCCATTGATGCGCTTCCAGCATCCAACCAGGTATTCGAAGACGGATTGATCCGCGGGCAGCGATGCAAGAACGGAAACGTAGTCGAGATCATCTCTGAGCTGAGTTTAGTAATCCATGACAAAGCCAGAGAAGATTGCAACATACGACATGGCCTGAGGATCAAGCTCGAGTCGCGAGATTAGTAACCTGTCAATTATCTCGCCACTCAGACGAATAGATCCAGTAGAAGCTAGAAGCGGCTTATTAGGAATAAGCCCACAAAAAAACACAGTATCACCTACAGGTATTCTCTGCGGCCAGCTCTGTCTGTAAACCCTTTAACCACACAATGTTATACCCACTACTCTCAGCTACAGAACGCTACAATAAGATGGATCAGACGTCGTTCGGGCAGCTATCCCAGGAGCTCACATTCAGGGTAACATTAAGGATCTGAGTAATAGTCTCATCCTCCCAGACCGAGAATTCCACCTTTCGTGGAGTGTTTGCAGCAGGCTTCTTCCTCATCGGTATAGGTGAAGGAGCTGGGGATGGTGATGCCATGGGCTTCGGCTTTGATTGGGATACCTGGGGCCTCTGTACGGGAGTAGGGGCTGGCGATGGTGCCTGTGGTGGTGTTGAGGATGTTGACGCACTTCCGCTGGTTGACGCAGCAGCCTGCAACTTGGCCAATCGCTTGGCACGGATCTGGAAGAGTGAAGTATGAGAAACAATCGTTGCATTGGCCTGATTTCGCGTACGCGGTCAGCGTCCTCCTTTGGGTCATTCATAAGTACGATCTGAGAGTGCGAGGTTGAAAGCGCGAACTGTCCTTGTGCACGTCGAACGTCAAAGTCCCCCGCGGTCTCCGTATTCGGTAAGCGTACGTCACAGCCACCCACCTGACAACTTGCGCGACTTGTTAATTTCGCCGCGTCTACCAACCGTCCTAGAACATGTCCTTCAGTTGTTTAGTGACCCGCACGCTTGCGTCTGCCCGCAGCTTCTCCACATCTGCCGTCGCGTCTTTTCCAAAACTCAAATCTCACAGCGGCACTAAGAAGAGATGGAGGAGTTTGCCCAACGGCGAGTTCAAGCGGGTGCGTTCAAGTTGCAGTTACGGGTGAAAACGCAAGCACCATTTTGACTGATCTGCTTTCTCTTTTGGCTTATAGGGACGTGCGAACCACTCTCACTTGAACGTATCGAAGCGGCCAGCACAGAAGAATCGTCTTGGGCAGACCGCCTACTCAACAGGTGCTCAAACGGGTAACCTGAGGAAACTCCTGCCGTATGGCTCGGGCTGAGGTACTACGGACAATTGGCGTACCTTACCTTTCACTGTATCAACGTAGGCTTGAGACATTTGCATCGCATAACATCTTTCTGATACATTGTGTTTGTTTTCAGACACTAATATAGAGAACGCTCATCCGTATGAAGGGAGGTTTTAGAATCCCATTCTATGCCCTCATGAAATAGAACACAATGACTGAAAACAGCAGTCATAGGCCCGACATGTTGATCCTCCTTGAATCCTGTAGCTGTGGTGGCTGCCTTCGCAGCTCTATAACTTAACAAGTTCTGTGACGTTACCAGTTGATGCTTCTCCGCCTCAGAGGAGTGGTTTCTGCTTGGGCGTCGTAAGCTTCACTACCATCTTTTTGGCGGATCTGAAGGAGATCGGTCTTCAATAAAAATGTTCGCAATATATCTTTTATTGGGGCTCACCATGTCGCGGATATGCTCGTGCTGGTTGATGCGGGCAACGCGGACAAGCAGAGGTGGCGGATTGCTGTCGGTAAAATTCATGACTTCACCCTCTTTGCCGCCCTATAATGCAGTGTATTAGAGAAAGGCTCACTGCGGTTACACCGAATAGAAACCTTGCCTTTATGTTCACGACAACACTTGTCCAGCCGGTATTCAACATGCCCTTGTATGAGCGTTCAGGTCGCTTCTCCGCGTTCTTCCTCGCGAGGGCAGCAATCAGCTCGCTGATGCAAAGGCCATGACTGACAATGGCGATGTGGTCGCCCCACACGCCCGAACGGGCCGCCTTCCATACAAAGGGCATAATGCACTCTTGCAGCACTCGCTCTGCGCGAATGGCCACGTCATCTTCGCTCTCGCCTTCAGGAAATTTGTCCGCCCGACCGCGTAGGAGAGGGAATATGTTCGCGGCGTACATCTCCTCCTTGGTCATGTTCTCTGGGCCCTTCAAGCACCCTTGTTTCCCTTCCGCTATGCCAAAGTTTTGTTCTCGGAGGTCGGGCAGGATGGTAAGCGGCGGCAGGGGCATTGATTGGGTCGCGTGAAGTGTTTGCGCCGTGAGTAACGCACGCTTCAGAGGGGAGGCGTAAATGGCAGTCAGAGGGATATCTGAGAATGCCTTTGCCAAGGCCCGAGCTTGCTGACGATGTGCAGTTGTGTAAGAGCTGCTTCAACACCGTAAATTAAAGTGACCTACATTCATGCCTGTAAATGCCAGGGTTAGTTGTGGCACAAAGACTGACAGAAGATGAAGGCTACCGTGGTTGGTCAGTGGCGCATCCGCCCACCCTGCCCAGACTGGTTTCTACCACACTCAGTCAGGCGGCTATTATGCTTGACCTTGGTGCGAGTACGTACCGAGTTGTCTGTTGACTCCCCATGCCTGATCTACGAGGGAAAAGGCGTTAATATATGGATAAACGGGCTCTGAGGTAGCCATACGAAGGTAACTGTTAGCATTATCCGCTCAGGAAGACGAATCCGCTCAGATCAAAGAATGCCTGTAGTGCCCCCCAAAGCACGCCAGCAGCGACAAGCAGTCAGAGTGTGATCTGCTATGATAAATGCGACTCGCTCATGTGTCATTATGCCATCACATCGAGCCAACATCAACCCAGATATAAGGGCCGCTTCCCGCTGATCGCGAAGCATCTGAACGAACTTCAATAAAGCGCGGGAGTTGCTGACTCAGCATGTAACGAATGTTCGGGAGGTGCCTGGAAGCCAGATCCGCTTGCAAAGCTGAGCAACGCTCCTTGAGACGTGCTTGCGTGTCCCGACGCGCGTCCCGTCTTTATAACCCCACGATACCGCGACGTAACCCATCTATACCACTTCTCATTTATCATTGTCATGTCTAGCTCAACCAACACCACCGACCATGACCATCAACTCCTGGGCGTAGGCCAGCAGTGCTCGGCGCCGTCCTGCCACCTCATCGATTTCCTTCCCTTCAAGTGCCAACACTGCAACGAGAACTTTTGCGGTGATCACTTCAGCGTCAGCGGGCACAAGTGTCCGAAGTATGATGAGAGCAAGCACAATCGTGTTGCCCCGAGTTGTACGTTCAATTGCTCCTGCTGTCGCATACATCACTAACATCGCGCTTAATCACCAGGCCCCTTGTGTAACGAGCCCGTGGCCATCCCGCCGGGGCAAGATCCTAATGTTCGCATGGATAGACACATCAACACGGAATGTTCGGTCATAACTGGGAAAGCAGCGAAGAAGTCTACACCAGTATGTACAAGAGGCAAATGTGGCAAAGTGCTGTTCGCACCTATCTCCTGTGACGTAAGTGCATCCTATGCAGAGACATGACATGCTCCATTCTAAAACTGCAGCTCTCCCTAGAAATGCAGGAAGCAATTCTGTGCATCACACCGATTTCCCAGTGATCACGACTGTGTGTCACTTTCCACCGCATCGACTGCCACAAAGCTCAGGAGCAAGCCTGCAATGTCTACTCCTTCTCTGCCAACATTCAAATCATCTTACCGACCGACTACTTTTGCCGCTCGACCCTCTGCCTCGACAGGATCCTCGAATCAAGCTTCGATTTCATTGCCTTCCATATCCATCGCCAACCCGTTTAACCCCGCTGACCGGTGAGTATCCTCGAACTTACCTGCCTTCCGAGACCGCTAATGACGCTTCAGCTGTTCACCTAATGCGATAACTGACTCTACATTAAACTCCGATAATTTGACGTCGACTAAATTACTTACCACCAATACCGTATCGAAACCCACTACTAATGCTACCACTACGCCGGCGCCTATCAAAATGGCCACGGGCGGCAAACCGGCTAATCCCATCATGGACGCCATGTCATTTGTACCACCATCTGTATTTGCATCTGCATAAACCCAAATACTTCAATGTATCTATAACTACTCAGACGGGCGAAGGCAGAGAGAGAGAGTAGGAGAAAGGCTATGATGGAGAGAGCGAAGAAGGGGGTAAGTTAGCCAAGACAAGTGCATCATCACATACTGAAAGTTGATTCTCAGTTGCTTAGCGAGGAAGAGAAGCTGATGCTCGCGGGCGAGGAAGCAGAAAGAGCACAGGCGGTGGAGGAAAAGAAAGACAAGGAATGCGTTATCATGTAGCTGCACACCGGTCCTTCTCTATTTCTTTCGCTTGTTCATGTGGATATTTATTATGGATTTGTCACGGTCAATTGGTTGGACCTATAGACATTGAAATCGAACTGAAGCAAGCCAGAACTCCGGCCTTTAGCCTAAGCTAAATAAGTACTAAGCACCAAGTAGTAGTAAGAGGCAGCAAGTGGTTAGGTACCGGTTACCTGTCAATACTATGGCCCCTGAGTTCATCTCGTCTTCGACGCGTCGGCTCCCACGTGATGTATAGGTTCCTTTGACTTCGGCCTCGATCACCATGTCCGACTCCGAGCAAGATGCAAAGGTCCTAGGCAAGCGTGGCCACGACAATGGGGATGCGGATGGTATGGTCCAAGATGACGCTCCGCCCAAAGCTGTCGATAGCAACGACGACAGTGACGACGATGTCGGGCCTATGCCAATGCCTGCAGACGCGCCTGCAGGAGGACCGAAAAAGAAGCGCAAAGGTACGTATGTTTATGAGCAAATGTATATGTATTGAACGTTATGAACTCTTGCTTCGCAGTCTTGCCTCACGAGAAACTGTACTTGGATCATCTACCCGATGCAGAGCAGTATTATCAGAGTTTCATGCACAGGGACGCAATTAACTTTTGTGTCATGACTCGGTACGCGTCCGCTCCCTGTCTCCTGCCACATCTGCTTGACAAATGAACTAGGACTGAGTTCCTTGTGACTACATCTATTGATGGACACCTTAAAATCTGGAAAAAGCAAGAGACCGGCATTGAGTTTGTGAAGCACTTCCGTGCTCACATGTCCCTCATCATTGGTGTCTCGGCGAGCGCAGATGGACAACTATTTGCAAGTATCTCAGATGACGGATCTGCGAAGGTGTTTGACGTGGTCAATTTCGGTGCGCACGTTCCGTACCTTCTTGCTACAAATTGTCAGGGCTAAGTAGGATGCTGCAGACATGATCAACATACTGAAGTTGGGCTATACCCCGCTCGCATGTTGCTGGGTGCACAGAAGAGGGCAGGCCCAGGGTCTATTGGCAATGTGTGTATGTATCAGAAGATGTGAAGTTGCACACATTTATCCATTTGTAGTTCAGAGCAAGGAACCGGCATTATTCGAATTTACGATGGACGCGGCGACGACAAACCTATCATGGTTGTAGACAAGCTCCATCGCTCACCGGTGCATGTCATGACTGCAAGTCGTCCACACTCACTTTCAGAGATGATACTCATGTCACTCCAGTACAGCGACAGATTTGACTGTGTCATATCCGCTGACGAAAACGGCTTCATTGAATACTGGCAACCCACGGAGCCCTTTGAACTCCCGAAGAACGTCCCTGGTCTCTGGTCTTTCAAGAGCTCAACAGACCTTTATGAGTTTAAGAAGGTAAGCACACGAACCAATGCATCCCGTTCACCGTCTCATCCTTGGACGTAAGGCCAAGTCAATACCAACATGCATAACCCTATCCCCCGACTCCACTTCCTTTGTTACCTCCTCCCTTCCCGACCGCCAGATCCGAATATTCTCCTTCCTCACCGGGAAGCTCACGCGCAAGTACGACGAGTCACTGACTGCCATTCAAGAGATGCAGCAGGCGGGCACGGCTGTGTACAAAGTCGACGACATGGAATTCGGAAGAAGGCTTGCCCTCGAACGCGAGCTTGAGCTGCCGGGTCCAGATGGACGCATCCCGGGCATGTGGAGCAACGCTGTTTGGGACGAGAGCGGGGCATTCGTATTGTATCCCACGCTGCTTGGAGTGAAAGGTAAGGTGATTTGATGTTTTCTTGCGACTGATCGTTCACAAGGTGCTTCCGTAGTGGTAAACACGGTGACGAATCGCGTTGTGCGACTCCTAGGCAAAGATGAAGCCGTCCGGTGGTTGTGGCTTACTGTCTACCAGGGTGCACCGGCGAAGAAAGGCCTGACGACAGTTGTATGACCTACGCATGCCTAACCAACTAACAATGTGCTCACGACGTATTTTCTAGGCGATGGCGGCATCTGCTAACCCAATCCTTGCGAACAAAGGGAGTCGGGACCCTACACTGTTCTGCACAGGACACAAACGTCAACGGTTTTATCTCTTCACACGTTCTGAACCAGGGTATGTGTTCCTCCGGCCTTTCACAGTTATTGAAAATATTAAACCTGAATAACAGGGATAGCAAGATACACGATCGTGATGTCTTCAACGAGAAGCCCACACGCGAAGAACAGACGATTGCGAGCGCAAGTGCCACCGGCAAGAACGGTCCTTCGCCTGTTGCAAACTCGGCGGTCATCCATACCTCAATGGGTGATATTCACCTGAGGCTTTTCCCACAGCAAGCACCGAAGGCAGTCGAGAATTTTGTCGGTCACGCGCGGAGTGGCTACTTCGAGGGTGTCATCTTCCACCGTGTCATTCCAAAGTTTATGATCCAGACGGGCGACCCGCTCGGCGATGGTACTGGCGGTACATCTATTTGGGATAGGGAGTTCGAGGATGAATTTTCGGATGACCTGAGGCACGATCGGTGCGTTTCTCTTTGCAGGGCTCCTTCCTTCGTCACGTCGCTAAACTCTTTTAATCTGGCAGTCCATATACGCTGAGCATGGCAAACGCTGGGCCAGGCACAAATGGTTCGCAATTTTTCATCACCACGACGACGACACCTTGGTTGGATAACAAGCACACCATCTTCGGCCGAGCTCACTCTGGGTTGGAGGTCATCCATGCCATTGAAAACGTCAAGACCAACAAAATGGACAAACCATGGGAAGATATTAAGATAATAAATATTGACATAGATTAGTCCCTGGTGTTTTGCAATTTATCTCCCCGCTGTGTTCGGGCCACATTACTAGTGCACCGGAGTATAGTTGCGGTTTCTCTTGTGAGAAGGAAGCATTTAGCAAAGAAATTGATTGTTACAGTCATAAAGCTACACGATCAAGCGTTTCCATGCTCTGCTGTATTTGCATTTCAGCTCCTACATTTTCCAGGCGGTGTTTAAACCGGTCCTTCAAGTTGGAAACCATGCTTGCTGGCTTGAGCTGTTCATATTGCGCGCTTAAAACCGCCGGGCAAGAAAATTTGAGAAAAATATGAAAATGGGGAGAAGGAGCCGCGGAAGCAGGCTCCGACAACGTGATTGTGACCTGGTACACGTCGAGAGGTTCTCCGCCGAGAAAGTGCGATTGCTGCGGGGACGCTGGCACGTAGGCTACAGGGTAATCGATCAGAACTGCCACCAAGCACACTAGAACAACTTGGGAGAGATTGGGGGGAAATGTGTTGGCGTCGCGTGGCCGGGGCGGGGATGGAACCTCTGACGAATTGGACGCGCACATTTGCATGGCGTCGCGCATGACCGATAAGATCTCCATAACATCGGCGGGGACGATTGGAAGCTGCGTCCCTGATGATCAGTGCCGGCTGCTCGGCAAAGTAAATTATTTGAACGCTCACAACAGTGGGTGGCTCGGTCAGGCGGATGCAGAGGGGCCAGGATGAACTGGAGCGAGCCAGGTCGCGTTGTATGTCCTGAAACTTCCGAGCGAACAGGGGTACGTTGACGAATAGCGACTGATCGTGTGTGATGTCACACCAATAGACAACATGGGTGTGCTGTTCATCGGCCTGCCCATAAAAGGGAGGTCAATAGTTGCGGCATGTTAGAGACTGAAGAGGTTGAGCAAACCTGTTCCTTAAGAATACGTAGGAGTCGGGGGAAAGCTTTGGTCGGCTCACGAGGCAATACTGTGTCGACCAAATGGGCACAGCTAAAGAGTGAAAAAATTATACAGTCTGAATTTTGATGTCGCCACAATGAAAGCCTTGGGACGCCCTTACCGGACAGAAAGAAGGACCAGCGCGAGATCGATCGAAAATGTCCTTAATTTCGATGACGGAACCTTTTGAAACTCTGGAATCCTCGAACACGCGTCTTGCACCGCCAGAACGGCGGATTGCAGCAGATCTGAGACCATGAGATCAACGGAGAGGGCAAAGAACACGAAGCCACGCGAGCACAGCGGAAGCAGCGGCGGAAGCAGAATGTGAGACAGGACGACGCTTTTGGAAGGACCCTTCGCGGCGTCGCAGTGTCTCGTAGTGCAGTGCAGAGAAGAAGAAAAAACTGCTAAGACGTTAAAAGTGTCACCGAGTGAGAGAATGTTATGGTATAAACGTTTGAGAATGACAGATTGGAACGGTGTGCGAACACGTCGTGGAATGCTGAGAGGCAGAACGGTCCATTCGAGAGGCCAATTATCAATACATTATGATCATATCCACATATGACTCGGTAACATTGGCTTTGGCGAGAAAAAGTATCTCGTGAATAATCGCCCAGCACCCAGCGCCTACAGAGCGATCAATGCACGATGTAAAGAGCACGAAGCAGAACGAAACTATGCGCCTGAAGCAGTATACCTTATTTTCTGCAAACCCGTGATATTTGCGTCGGCTTGTCCGATCCACCTGCGAACGAAGAAGACAAGCCCAGAGACGATTTCCAAAAAGCACCACCATGCCGTCGTGTTACATGACTTTCCGACAAGAAGAGAGAAGAAAGGTGGTAATGCACCCCATGCCAGTATATAGACGAGCTTGAAGGGGAGGTGTAACTCGTTCAAGGACGGGTTGTTTGGTACCATATCCATAATGATATTGACGTGACATATGACGGATATCATGGCGAGTGGACGACTGAGAGGTAACGGAGAGTCAGGGATCGTTGAAGGAAATAGGTTTTCCAGAGGACTGGTGAGGTCTGAGAATGCGTAGATGACGTGGCTAGTATGGTCAAGCGTTCAAAGGAGCAGAGTTAGAACCTTTGAAGGAGAGGTATGATATCAGGACATACAGTAGGCATGATAATGTAACCACGATCTGCAGGCCTATGAGATGTCGTTGGTTAGAGGCATTATTCTGCCGCCGAAAGCGTTCAACTAATTGCTCTTGCTCTGGGAGCAGACTTTAAACGAGGATAAGGTTTTGAGCATATGAAGTACCTTGTTCATCTAAAATGTGTTCATCCTCAGGTTCTGCCGCAAACTTGTAAGGGATGCGTTGACGGACCGCGTTGACGTTCATACACGTTCAAGCGCAAGGGAGGCGTGGAGAATTAGCGCCGACGCGTGACAGATCTACCACGTGACGGGCGCTTATGGCCCTGCCGATCCCCGCTAATTTTCCGGCTGATAAAAACTCTAGGACGGATACAAGTTGGATACAAGACGGTTATCAGGCCTGCCCAAACATCAGGCATAAACAATCGACATGTCCAGTTCTCATGAACGTATCGAGGAGGGTCAATTTGACGATGCTCCGGCAACAGAGACGACATCCCCAAACCCCACCCCCCGTCAAGGCGGCCACTTCATCGACGACGAGAACCTTCAGTGGTCAGACAATGCATATTCCGAAGATGAACAGGACGAGCTGAATGAAGATGACTTTGAGGATGACCGAGCAGAAGACGAAGACTGGGAAGTGGCTGAAAGAGGTTCGTCATACCATTGCACCACACCGATTCTGCTGCAATAACTAGTAGATTTCACGAAACAGTTCAATCGCATACGGCAGCATGTCGCTATCCGCACTGGAAACGTGGAAGGGATGAAGTCCTCCATTAACAAGAACGCCGCCGTTGCCGCTGTCCCTAAAGTCAATCAGCCGAAGACTGCACAGGCTGACACCCAGCGCAAGGACAAAACCGCTGATCAACTGGCTGCTCTTTCAAAGTACTCCTCTCGAATTGCGAAAATAGATCAGCCCTATGTCATGGGCGCCGGCGTCAACAGAAAGGGACCTAGCTCTTACGCCAATGCGAAAGACAAGTCAGATCGTGCGACTTCAGAGCAAGTCCTCGATCCACGCACGCGCATCATCTTGTTCAAAATGATCGGCCGCGGTCTCATCCAGGAGGTGAATGGCTGCGTCAGTACTGGAAAGGAGGTGATTCTTGAGCCTAAGTGCTACATGTTGCGGCATTCATTGATGTCCTTCAGGCAAATGTTTATCACGCAGCTGCCCCTGACGGCGCCCATATGGCCCTGAAGATCTACAAAACGTCGATCCTTATTTTCAAGGATCGTGATCGCTATGTGTCAGGGGAGTATCGTTTCAGACGTGGGTATAGCAAGCGCAATCCCCGTAAAATGGTCCGAGTATGGGCGGAGAAAGAGGTTCGTAATTTGAAGCGCCTAGTGGCTGCAGGCATACCTTGTCCGGAACCCATTGAAGTTCGGGAGAATGTGCTAGTGATGAAGTTTCTTGGGGACAAGCAAGGATGGTGTGTTGGATTATTGTAAAATTTAATCATGAATAAACTCACACCATCTTGCTTTGATCAGGGCTTCTCCTCGTCTTAAAGATGCGGCAATATCTGCGGAGGCGTATCCCTCGTTGTACGAAGAGCTCATCCTCAACATTCGCCGAATGTACCACGAATGCAAACTCGTCCATGCCGATCTTTCTGAATACAATATCCTCTACCACGACTCGCACCTCTACGTCATTGATGTCTCGCAGAGCGTGGAACACGATCATCCATCCGCCTTCGATTTCCTGCGGAGTGACATCAAGAATGCTGAAGAATTCTTTGGGCGCTTTGGTGTCAACTGCCTCGGTCTGCGGCGGTGCTTCGAGTTCGTGACGCGCGAGAAGCTGGGTGGACAGCCCGAGAGCAACGATGCCGATATTCTCAAGCAGTGGTTGTCTGAAAAGACACCCGAGCCGGTGGATGAAACCAGTGACACAGACGAAACGTCGGATGCTCCTGGAGCATCGGCCCATGAAGACAGTGTCTTCATGCAATCATACATCCCTCGGACGCTCAATGAAGTGTATGATCCGGAACGTGACGTAGAACTTCTGGCCAAGGGTGATGGGAAAACGCTCATCTATGCCGATACAATCGGGCTTGTCGACTCTAGTAAGCGTTCGAACGAAAGTATCCCTCAACATGTGCACTTTGAGGTGGACGATGGTTCTGGCACCGACAGCAACGTAGGGTCAGATGACGACTCGGAAGATGCAGACGAGAACCAGGATGGAAAAGATTATCAATGTCCGAAGCCACGAGGCCATCGACACGAAGATAAAGATGCCAAAAAGGTGCGTTCCATCACCCTGGCATGCAGTAGGATGCTTACAAGCGACGACACGCCAGGAGCGCAAAAAATCGGTAAAGGCGGAAGCGCGAGAAAAGCGTAAAAACAAGATTCCGAAGGCAGAGAAAAAGCGGAAGGTTAAAAATACAAGGTCATGAAACTCTCCTCTTGACGGGCTCATCTACGTATCTTGGAACACGAGGTGTATGCGCGTGAGATCGACTTGTGCTCTTTGTGTTTTGCATGCGTACTGTACGATGTATTGTACTTTTATTAGCCGACACGTAAACAAATGCGTGGTGTGCACACCGGGGTTAGCGGGCGATAACAAATCAAGCATCATGCATCAGTGACGCATCCGTGGCTGGCGTCGAGCACGGTCTTGATATATTTGTAAAGCGTGCCTTGCTGAACCTTTAGAGGTGGGGCCCGCCACGTCTTACGGCGACTCTCCATCTCCTGCTCCGAGACATATACTTCGATAGTGTTCTTGACAGCATCGACGGAAATGGTATCTCCGTCCTGGACGAGGGCGATGGGGCCACCAACCTGAGCTTCAGGTACAACATGGCCGATGCAGAAACCATGAGAGCTACATGCATCATCAGCTATCCTATCCGAGGGGCGGTCGAGACATAGAAGCACGCACCCTCCGCTGAAGCGGCCGTCAGTAAGACACGCGACGTCATGACCCAGGCCGGCTCCCATAATCAGACTCGTGGGCTTGAGCATCTCAGGCATGCCTACACCCCGATTTCAGAGAAGTTCTTTCCTGCATTGTAAACTCAACTCACCTGGTCCACCCTTGGGCCCGAGGTATCGCAGCACAACGACCGTCTTCTCGCCCTTCTTTATGCTGCCGGTCTCGACTGCCTTGACGAACTCTTCCTCGGAGTCAAACGTCCGCGCCTTGCCGGTGAAACCCAACCCTTCTTTGCCCGTGATCTTCGCAACTGCACCTCCGGGGGCGAGGTTACCCTTGAGAATCCTTGAGAAGGCCGCTGTGAGACTCGCGACGGAACAATGGAGGTAGAAGACATGACCCACCGGATGTGGCCGGTCTCCTTGATAGGCTTGTCCAACGGGCGAATGACATCTTGAGTAGGTGAGAGCTCGCCATACTTATGCACCCAGCGGTCGAGATTCTCGCCGAGGGTGGCACCAGTGACAGTCAGAGTATCACCGGTGATAATGTTGTTCTTCATGAGGAAATGCAGCACCTCTTGAGTTCTTTGTCAGCCAATCAGATCAAGTAGAAGAGGCAGATCAACTTACTGGGGGTACCGCCAATTTTGAAGATGTCCTCCATCACGTACTTGCCGCTTGGCTTAATGTCAGCGAGGAACGGTGTTGCCTCAGAAACACGAGCAAAGTCGTCAATGGTGAGTTCGACGCCAACAGAGTGTGCGATGGCAATCAAGTGGAGGACGGCGTTTGTTGATCCTCCGAGAATCATGACGAGCCGCATGGCGTTCTCGAACGCCTCCTTGGTCATGATATCACGAGGAAGGATGTTCTTCTCGAGCATGTTACGCATAGCGGGACCAACAGCCTTGCACTCATCGTGCTTTTCTTGAGATTCTGCAGGGTTAGAAGAGGAGCCGGGGAGTGTCATACCAAGGGCTTCGGCTGCGCTCGCCATCGTGTTTGCGGTGTACATCTTGGTTTTCGTGAGTTGACTGTATCCTTGACTAAGTAAACACTTACTCCTCCGCAAGCACCAGGACCAGGGCATGCATGGCGGACTGTAGCGTACCGCTCTGCTTCAGCCTCTGCAGTCCGCCCGTCCTGGAGGAACTTCCCGTAAGACTGGAAGGCGCTGACAATGTCAATCGAGTCGTTGCCTCCGCATGACCCGGGGCGGATGGTACCACCGTAGACCATGAGACCTGGTCGGTTGAGACGACCAACTACACAACAAATTTAGTTGTCGAAACAAGGGGAGCAGACTTCATGACTCACGTGCCATGAGGACACCAGGCATGTTCTTGTCGCATCCTGGAACGGTGACCATACCATCAAGCCAGTGACCGCCAGCAGCAGTCTCAACCTGGTCTGCTATGAGATCACGAGATTGCAAAGAGTATGACATTCCGCGAGTGCCCATGCTGATTCCGTCGCTGACGCCGACCGTACCAAACTGGTACCCAATCATGTCAGCATCATAAATGGACTTCTTGATTTCCTGACCGAGCCCGAGAAGGTGACGGTTGCATCTATGGTAAAGGGCGTGTTATCCCGGAGAAGATAGATACAGAGACGCGTCGGGCACGGGGTAACGTACGGGTTGCCCTCATACCTAAGAAGCAGACGTCAGAGGAGGTGGGGTCGTACGGTGTGTAACTCACCAAACACTAGCTACACCAACCATAGCCTTCTGGAAGTCCTGGTCATCTTTGATTCCTTCCGTTGCATACAGCATAGCCTGACAGAATCAATCATTCGCGCTTTGACGCGTAAAATATCTCGTAGACGCATACCTGGCTGGCACCTTGGTCCTTTGTCTGGGTGACAGTCCGGCTGTACCTATTCATCACAGGCTTTTCGCCATGTGCAGAAGCAGACGTGCGCATACCACGGACGCTGCATCCCAGCGTGTTCCGGGCGCGTTTGGCTATGAGCATACGCGACTGCATGACTTTGTGAGCTCGTGAACCAGGGAACCCGGGGTTTGCTTGACTCTGCAAAAAGTGACTGACTCGTGGCCTGAACCTCTTTCCTTTCGTGGATATACAACCGAGCCGCCGAGAATTACCGAGCCAGTTCAAGGAACCAATCGGACAAAACACTCGTAAACAATTTGATATGAAAAGGCTAAAATGATAAAGGGGAGAAGGCGAACCGCCACGGCGGCGAGAATTACGGCATTCGAAGATCAAGGCTAACTTTGTACCGCCTGTGACGCGCCTACGTTGGAGAAATGCGCCTTTCATACATAAAAAAATACCAGAATGCAGGTCATCCCATCACTACAAATGGGAAGACGCTCAAGTCGTCGCAATAAGCGCTTAAGCATTACACTCACCCAACCAATGCGCGAATTTGTCGGACCTCAAGACCAGATAATCATGATTACCCAAGGACGTTTATCAAGTATACATTTCTGTTTCCATGGAACATGAATTTAACTTCGGATCGTTCTGCCGTGTCTAAAATCTGGTCGGAGCGGCATCTTATCACTGATCGTATTGAGAGTGCGATATTATTTACTGTCGTTACACCCCACTTAAGGGGCGCTTATCGACGCGTGTTGCAGGAAGTGACCAATGAGAATGGAGCTGCCCCTCCCTCGTGATTTGGCAAGATCTGTCCCCTCGAGCACCCTAAATTGATATTGATTGGCGCAGTTCTCCGCACTTGCGAATAGATATTCACCTGAGCCACACATTTAACATTCGTCGGAGCTGAGCGCCGAAGCCAAAGAACTGGTCGAGAGTGCATACTGTACAACGGCAGGCGAGCCATTAGACTACGTCGCGAGCCTACCGGCCGCCAGGTGCATATCGTCTATATAAGGAAGGCAGATCTATAAGATTAAAAGCGTTCATCAAATTCAACGTCCGCCTCGATCATGCCATGTGTGTCTCACTCTGGACGTGTCATATCTGCCAACACTGCCAGGTTCCGCCATTCGACGGCCAACCTCAACTGCTTACAAAGTGTAAAAGTGGCCCCAAAATTTGGCTCTTTGAGATCATTGTGGCCGTGGTCGAAAATACAAACCTCCGGAGCCCATGAGATGGCCAAAGTCGGGCGGCGTTCGGAAGCCTGAAGGTTAAAGCTCCTTCGGACATTTGGGTCACCAGATCAAAATGAGGCAGGTGCTAAGGCAGGGCGGGGCAAACCACCTGTGAACTCAAATATGAAAATTTCAAAAAAGCCTTGACTTCCCCATCCTCAAAGCAACCTAGGCAACAGATTATTCTTCACAAAATTTATCGCGCACTGCACCTTCTATGTCTGCGCGGATAGCGAAGCCCCGTTTGACATGAGCTATAGTTCGTTGCGCTCCTCTGACGCAAAAATGGATTGTCATGCAGCCGGGTCACGGCATCTGTTGCGCTCTCGATCAGTTCAGCGTTTGAGGAGGCTGCAACGCAGATCTCATCGCACCCGGGCCTCCTCTAGCTCGCCAGGATTTTTTTTTCGAACCTTTCGTGGATTGGGTCGTCCCGGAACTTCGGTTTGCTCGTCCGTACCAACTGTCACCCCTCGAAATCAAGATATCTCCCGCTGCCCCATTCCCTCTTTTGGGCTCGTTCTATGGAGGTGACGGATGTAAAAGAAAACTCAGATGGTGTCTGTGAAGTTCCTCCTCCCCCTCCGTAACTCAAGGCAGGCCTTCCCGCTCCTCCCTCTTCGTTGGCAGGTTTCCTGACACGAGCCACTCGAGTTTTCCCGCTCGACCTCCCCGAACGACACGCCCAAATCGCCTTCGCATGGCGTTCAACGACGACTTGTAAAGTTGTAACTTATAGCTATTATTTTCAATTTTTCGTTCGCGAAGTGGCAGAGGTTATTCCTCTGTACATCCTTGGTACCTGCGCCCTCGACTACCAATGTCCCGAGCTCATGTCTTTCTCCTGCAGCTCTACGCCATTTCCTCCCCCATCGCTCCTACCCTTGTGTCCTCGATAACGCCCTGTCTATTGTTTTCCCTACCGCCCCTGCCCATCGCTCCTCTTCAGATTAGATGCAAGGACGGCGGGCGACCTCTCCCGATCGTACCGCTTTCCCCTCAAGTTCTCGCCCCTCCGCCGATACCCAGTTGAGCTCGTCAGGAGCCAGTCCTTCCTTACCCTCTTCCCTTCATCAGCACCTTCTTGAAAACCCTCTTGGTCGTCGATCCCATGGTCCATATTATCCAACACGGGCCTCCACACACCCGCATGAACGCGGTCGCGTACCTGGGCCCTCGGAAACCTCGCACCAAGGAAGCTTGGACGCGCCAGTGGTACATGATCCGAGCCTTGTACTTCCTCCCCTGACAAGTAGATCATGGCAAGAACAGCAAGCCCACTGGCATCAATCTGGGCAGCAGCATCCTCACCACCGGCCACGTGGGTTACACATCCCCGTCGTGTCTGCACCTGCCTCGCAATCGTATACCGCATCTTCCGTTGGTCCGGCGGGGTTTCCGTCCGCGCCAACGACATGGAACGGGAGTCGCAGCCTCAGCCCGCCCCATTTTTCCGACGATCCAGAAGCACGCCGACGGACAATCTCGCAGCCACGTGCGTATGCGCGCCCGCACCCATACCCGACGCACGAACGCCCGTCGCTGCATATACAAACGTCGGTGCAGCCGCCATCGCCACGGAGTCTGCATGTGGGCCAGCGACGCTCGATAGTGCGATCATCGCCGCCTCGAAGTGCGTCAGATCGCCAGACCTACCTGTCTCTTCGCCCATCCTCGTCATCAAGTACTGGAGATGGCTCACCTTCACCGGTGGTACCGCCACCCGCGTCATATTCGTCGCAGTCTGCCCACTCGACGAGGTCTACCCACTCGCGCGGCTCATCTCACTCGCAGCCACGTTCGCAACCACATTCAGCGCTTTCGTTGCATGCCCCAACGCCAATTCGAGCTGCGCCGTTGCCCATCTCTCATTATTCTGCTGGGCCCATCAGTGCTCCCGGTACTAGACAAGGGACGCACCTGGATGTACCGCTGGTGAACACGCCTCAGTCGCGATCATGGGAGCAGCCTCAGTCATTTCCATCGTCGCTGAGAGCAACACCGTCTCCAACTAGTGAGAACACTCCTGGGCCATGGCAGCATCAGACGCGAACGCACCATGCTGCTCCAAGCGAGTCGACGCCCACGAGGCGGTACACCATGCCTCCCGAGGAAGAGATGCCACTGGGAGTTGCTGGTCCGGGACCCTCGAGCGCGGAGCAGATGTATGCGGGCGAGCAGCGATACGAAAGCTGGAGGCCTGGGCCGCCACCATACGAGGAAGCCCAGCCGACTGAATCGCATAGAAGGCAGAGAGGTAGACTCGAGCAGGGCTTGGGGGATATTGACATCAGTCCCCCTGATTCGCCCTCGAATGTGGTATTACCAGCCAGTCGAAAACGGAAGCTTGGTAGAAGCGAGCCACGGTGGCAGGGTGCAGATGGGCCGGAAGAAAATCAAGCGGAGCAGAGTCTGGGTAGGGAGAGAAGACCACTACCGAGGAGACACAAGCCGAGTTCTGGAGAAGGGCAGCAGCTGTGGCTGGAGGGGCAGGGGCCTGGACATCAGGTGCAAGAGGGCTATGGTGCGTCATTTGGCTTTGAGTTTCCAAAATATGAGCTGATAGTATATACTCTGTTGGCTCTTGGTGCACCGCAACTTGTGATCGCGGATGTCTTCGTCTTCAATTATGTTCAATGTTGGATGTCAATTCGTACGATGAATGAATCAACGATAAACATGCGATCCAGGCGACATGCCCATGGGGTACCTCGTCGAGGGTCAGTCCCCATTAGCGGTTCGGCTATCAGACATCGAAGGGGCGGGTAGAGCACGTCCACCGTCAGGAAGACTGCCGAGCATAAATGAAGTATTCCAGAGCACATTGCCGCCGCATTTACCACCAAGGGAAGGCGTCGAATGGAAGAATCAGCGTTTGCAAGGGCCAGACAGGCCGCTACCCGAGCACCTAAGACCTGAGTCGCCTGAGGATGCTGCCCAGGAGAGGAGGACGAAGGTACGGAAAGTTGAGAAGGTGGTTATCGCGTGCGATTTCTGTCGAAGTGAGTCGTCTTCAGCCCTTCCTTGATCGGCTATCTCCGTGCGTCGAAGCCTCCACGCCACGCGGTTCGTTCGTCGGCTGACAGGAACGGGCGGTAAACCGAAGCATTCAGTAGCTGACTGTGCTGGAATACAGGCCGGAAGCTAAAATGCGACGGACACAAGCCGCAGTGTGCGAACTGCTCGGTACGGAGTCTGAAGTGCATGTACGCCGCTAAGCCGCGACGTCGAGGGAAAGGCAAGACTCCCAAAGTGGCCAAGGCGAAGAGGGTGAAGCTTCCAAAGAGTGAAGGGCCTCCGTTGGTGGATCCCAGCAAGCCGCCACCGAAGTTCGCTCCGAGCGACATGCCGGACATGGCGGTGAAGTACACGGAGCTGCGGAGGAAAACCGGCGTGACGGAGGGCGGGATGATGCTGACAGGCGCCGAGATTGAGCTCTCGACAAAAACGTTGTCGTCATCGCCATCAGCTGTCGTCGAACGGCAGGCCGGGGCCATCCAACTGGCCCCGTCCACGACACATTCGCAGTCGCACGTGGTTACCCGAATAAGCAGTCCCAAAAGTCGCCGTCTCGATGCTTCCGAAGTCGACGTGGACGTGGATGATCCAGATCCCCTACCTACCTTCACCGAACGACAGAGAACTCACGACGACGAGTATACGGATGTCCATATGCGCGAGCGGGGGGAGTAAACCGCTTGAATGGCGAGCATATGTTCCGGGGGATGGCGGAGGCGGACGGGGCGTTCCTGGGAGATCGCTCGATCCGGAGAGGAAGGGGGAGAGAAGGTGAGGATCCAGTGTTCCGCCGCGTCTGAGACTCCGTGCATGGGCATGCTGGCCGAGCCGACTTAAGCTTGACAGGTCTGACGGAAGTAATAGGGGCCAGTGGCAGCTCTATTACGATAAACGGTTGCTACGCGGACATTCGGCACTCACACGCTGTTGGGCCATATTGAAAGTCTAGACGCGGGCCTCGCTCGGGAATGACCCTCTTTTCCGTGGATGCCAACCCTGTTTCTTATCCTACATGCCGTATAATCCGCTGCTATAACGCTTAGGATCTCTTATTCTACACTACTTATGTTTCTTATCTTTCTGTACTGTATCTTCCTCATATTTGCTATACTATAGAGCATACGAATGGATAAGAGAAATGCGACGGAACCGTTTTATGACGACAGACCGCAGTCTGGAAGCCCAGGGAAGCCCCGTGGCCAAAAGCAGCCCCGGGACGGGCGCGATCAGAACAGGAGAGTTTTGGGCGGGAGGGATCGACCCGATTGGCTCGGTGGGAGTAGCCGTAGCATCACTCGGCTCCGTTTCTCTTTTCTGCTCAAGCTGAAGCTCGGTGTTTATCATATCACATCCCCGCGCAGCCCTCGCGCACTCTCCTCTTGACCCCCGCTTCCTGGCTTCCATGCCGTCCATTCTCGACAGCGGCAACCGACTCTCTCTCCCCCACCCCCATCTCCTCGACGACCCACTCCGCCCCTCCTTCCCCCCTGCTCCCCGCCCCTCTCGTGCCTCCGACCACCCTATGCCGATCGACGCCCACTCACACCCACCACACATCGCTGTTGGTGGGTACAACCTCATGGTTGCAGGTCAGCGCACGGGCAAGACCTCTTTCCTTCGTCTTCTTCTCGACACCAGCAACATTTCCTGTGCAGCCACAAAAGACCAGCTTGCTTCCGTCGCCAAGTTCGTTCAGGGCTGCTCTGGCCACACCTCTCATATACGCCATGCATCCGTCAACGTCGACCTCGAACCCGACAGTTCTTCCTCCCCGCCTCAAACAATTTCTATGACTCTTGTAGATACTCCCTCACTCGACTCGGCCGATGAGTCCGCCTCGGACATCACTCTGCATGAAATACTCAGGCATGTCGACTCCCGCTACGCTGAGGGCCTCGACGATGTGAGCGCTCTTTGCGCATATATGCGCTTGTGCCTTGGCTTATCGGATGCTAACATGCACCTACTCATCTAGGAGCGGAGGGCCCAGACCGGAGACAGTCACATCCACCTGTGCGTCCAGTCCCGAACCGGGCGCCTAATCTACCCGGAGAGCTAACGGTTGTGTTCCGCAGGTGTATCTACTTTCTAGACCCGGACACGATCGTCCCCCCTTCCATGTCCGCGCCACCGCCACCTCTTGTTAACCGCCCTCGCGCCAGCTCCTTCACCCGCTCAGAGCCCGAGCCTGTCATCCTCGAGCCTCCTGTTCCTTCTCACCACCCCGTGCTCTCGCGGCCAACTCTCCCGCCACAGGAAGTAAACATCATACGCCGCCTCTCCTCCCGTGTCAATGTCTTGCCGGTTATTGCATGCGCCGACACACTCACCAATGACCGTCTGGCCGCTGTCAAAAT